CAATTGATTACACACTTGTGAAGGAGTAAAATCCTGCTAGACTGATTCTCTGACCTTAAAATTCCCCAAAGTCTGTAAATTGCTCTGTTTCATCTTAAGTGGGGTCAGCTGCGCGGGAGCCAGACCTCAAGAACATGGTTGGTTTTCTTGCTTTTTCCAGCATTTACAAGCCCAAAATGTGAAACAAGTCAGTTTAACAATATTTGCTATAACATACTAATCCTCCACATCCACTTGTTTCTTAGAATTGCAGCAAAATCAAATGTTGTACATTCCCTTTAAAATCCAGGGTAATTAATCAAAAGGTCAAATGTGGATGACCCATAACCTCAAGAAGAGCTCCTGCACTTATTTCGGAAAACCACTTTCTCAATATATTCCCCTGAAAATTACAGGATGAGATTATTGAGAGTACACATGCACATCAACAGAGGTATGACCTTTGATTTTTCTCAGTTATTCCCAGTTTTTCGCTTCCTTAGTGAATTTCTTGTAACAAAGTGGTTTAGGCCTACGAGTGCTAATGCAGGGGAAAAAAATTCTTTTCAGCCAATTCAGGGATATTAATTAGCATGCATTGATTTATAGCCATAAATACGGAGAATAATATGTCTATTAATTATTTGAGACACTTTTATGGGCCATGGGCTAGGATACAATTACAATGGTTTACAGGGCTAAGTGGGTTCCATTTGTAGCTTAAAAATAAATTACATATTTATGGCTTCAATACATTTTCTGTAACTCTATGGTGGTCATTGCAATTGTGTGTTGAAATAACTTGAAAACAAAAAACAACAACTTCAACCACCAAAAAACAACATATCTTTTGTTCGTATGTAAATAATTTGGCAAGATTACTATATGCAAAGTTTACTAATTTTCCTCTGTATTGACTAACAAGCCCTCAGAGATAGCAATTTCATGTCATCAAAGTCAATTTGAGCAGTGAGAAAATACAAGCATTTTCTTAGAAAACACTTAAAATTTTTCAGTCCACTCTCATAGGGTTTGTACACAGAGGTTGAGTGAACTTCGTATACTTATATGGAAATCTTTCCAAAGTAATGTTAACACAACTGTACATAACAAACTAAACGCAACATAGATTTTGTTGAAATGTTGACAGAGTTGGTTTGCCCCATTTGAAAAGATGATCGAGCTAAGCGGCCTCCATAGTTTGGACTGACATTTGGGATGTTGCTGCTAGTACGACAGTAACATCCCAAATGTCAAAAAAGGAGTTCTAGCGACCCAGTTACTTAGCGGGGACTAGGACTTGGTTTCACTTTAGGTACTTTCTAAAACATTTCTTTAATTTGTTAATTAAAGGGAAAGATATTCCCATATCTGGCCATCACTCATTTTTCCCTTCAGTGACCTCAGCCATCAGAAAGTGATAATAAATTATAATATGTCCTAAAAAGTCACGGTCAAATTTAGAACTTAGGGAAACTATTGAAGCATTTTCTGAGAAAACACTTAGAAATTTTCAGACCAGTCTCATTTGGGTTTATAATATCTGGTGCACCATGGAGGAATAAGTATTGCACAAACCCAAATGAGACATGGTCTGAAAATTTCTGAATATTATGGGAATCTTTCCCACTCCAATTTTAAAATCTAGTCAAACACCACAAATACTGACTCTTGAGTGTGTCATTTGTAAAATTATTTGTCAAAACTTACACGTACATCGATGGGTCGCCCCCGCCGGTGACCATCTAGCAACGGAGCTGCTAGTGCTAGCTACCATGACACGTGCCAGATCGTGTTTACACAGCCTTCAATTTAAGTGAAATTTCCTGCCAAACCTTTTTGACCCGTGTATAAACGCTCAAGCTCCGGTTACAAACAACGGTCCCGTGTGGCTCATCAGCGACCGGACCGGACGCCCGGCCTAGACTGTGTTTCAATCAATACAGGCACCCTGGCTAGTACCGGTACCATGCATGGTTGCAAGGATGTGCACTAAATCCTAGACTTCAAATTTCGAACTCAGCATTTTGTAACTTCCAGTCACCGATTTCTCGGGGTGTATTTCTTGGTGTTTCATGCCAGTCACAGGGCGTTTTTAAGTCAAAACGTATAGCCAAAAATTCGAAAAGTTGAGGACCTCCGGAGAGACGTGGCCCGGCGTCGATCACCCTGTAGGTTCCTTGCCTGTCAGCTGGCCGGCCGGCCGGCCAGGTCCGTCCAGTCCATCCCTCCGCGCCCGGGCCGACGCGATTAGAATAAGAGCGCCACGCGCGCTGCATGCACTACTAGAGCACAAGGGTCCACTGTATTAATTCAAGCCCCATTGAAAACAGTGTAAAATCAACAAAGTTCAGGGACAAATAACATGCAAGCCAACATCACTGGGTTCTCAAACAAATATTAAATTATTGTCTTGTCTTTCATCTTTTCATTTCTTTTCAATTTTAGGTACATTAGCCAATTAGATTTTAAAAATATTCACACCCATGCAAACCTCCCGAAAAGTGATAGTTCCCAAGCCTGCATGCAGCCATTTTGCAAGTGGCATCCTTCCACTTTTACAGGCAAATAGGACCAATTTTTCATCCGTAATTTTATCAAGCCTGCCCTCAGATGGAAGCCCCAAAACCAGGGAGTTGATCCTTGGGTATATTTACACAATTCCACCGTTTTTAAAGCCAAACGGTCTCCGTTTTCAAAGGAAATTGTTAGTTCAGTGCACCCACAAGGCAGTGGACTCTGCGGCTGGGTGGGATCAAGTGGATTGGGTGGATTATCCTTGTGGATTGAGTGGATTAACATGTGGATTGGGGCGTAGCTAAGGGGGGGAGGCAAGCAAAGTCGCACATTACACCACGATTAATGTGTTTTAATATAAATTACCTTTTTTCACGTTTTATGTGTCTTTTTTTAACGGAAACCCCGTTTTTCATTAGTGGCCGTTTATTTAAACGTCCCGTGGAAAGCCAATAGCGCCACATATTATGCCCAGCCAAGTTAACATTTATATAGCATAAGCAAAGTCTTAAAACAATTTCAAGATATCTCTAAATGATTTAGACATATCTCTAAATATTTAGAGATATCTCTAAATTTTCAGAGATATATCTCTAAATCATCATCTCAGCCAGTACAAAATTTCACAATTTTCATTGATTTTCCCCACAAAGGCGGTTTTCGTCCCAAAAAGTAGCCCCGAAGCCCTCAGCTGGACAAGTTTGTAGGCATGGCAACACAGTCATAGAGATGTAGAGGTCTGTGTATGGCTTTCAGTAAAAATACCAAGCTTGATCAAACAGGAAAGTTTACAAGACGATAGTGTTTCATTAAATTTTATTGTCATACTTAAGGCCAGGAAAACATGTCAAGATATTCAGACGATTAAGAGTAAACTTACTCGGTAAAAGCACCAGGTTAACTATCTACAATGTTATGCCTCCATGTACAAATACGTTCTTCTCCTGTCCAATCAATCCAAAGATTAAAAGGTGGCAGCATTTGGATTTGAAATAAAATGTCAATAAAATGTATCAATGTTACCTTAATGGTCATGGGCGTCGCCAGGATTTTTTTTCTAGAGGGGGGCAAAGCACATCCCCCCCCAAAAAAAATCCCATTATTTTCCAGCATTTTCCCGACGGATCATTTTTTCGAGGGTGGGCAGGTACATTTTCCCTCACCACGACCCATTAAATTAACAACATTATGATTTCGCGCCTCTTTTTCTCTCCCCCCCCCCCTTTTCATGTGTACACACAGAACAAAAAAGAATTGCTCAAAATCCCAAGAAGGGTGCATAACAAATAACTTGTTGAAGTTTCAGCTCAGTGGATACTGTACTTACTGAGAAAACGTCGAAAGCGTATGCACAATTTTTTGGGTCTTGTGACTGCATCCGTTACTAGTGCACATAAAATAACCCTTCTTAATTGATCGTTTTCTTCCAAATAATCCCATTTCAGGCGGAATAATGTCAGAGTGCTTTTGGTACCAGACCTACCTTCACTTTGAGAAAGGACTTTCATATAAAATTGGTTGGTACGTGTCCAGGTAATTGCAAATGTCCCCGCACGCCTTAAAAAAATAATAAAAAGTTATTTAGCAGAGCATGATAGGCAATTGTTTTTTGAAAATATATTTTAGGTATGTACACACACCATATACATACACTACATTTAATAATTACAGTTTAAATGAGTTTCACATTCTCGAAAATAGAGATGTTTACAAATGCTAATAAACTAATGTCAACTCCTTGCTGATACAATAGGATATGGAAACGCAAATTTCAAAACAATGACACCTTGTTATAAAGGTGACAGCGAGCATAACAATGAATGTTTTTTTTCACCAGAAATGTGTTATGTTGGTTTGTATAAACTAGCCTTACATCTTAGCCCGCATCATGCAGTTCGCAGGTTAGGCCATACATGACCATTTTTTGTGAAGGGGGGGGGGGGGGGGAGGTGTCATGCCAACCCCCCCCCCCCCCAAGACATTAACATTTTGAAATGGACTTTGTACACATGTATTACAGTTGAACACCTTTATAACAAGGTCCTTGGGACTAATTACGTTGTTATAACAGTACCTTGTATTAACAGTAATGGAAAACAAAGAAAGACAAAGACTTGGGACCTACAATTTTGCTTGTTATAAGCAGTGTCTTGTATTAACAGTGCTCTTCTTATCAGGGTTCGACTACACTGCATGACAACAGCAGTACTGGATGCTAGGCAAAATTCAACAAGTTCGCCAGCAGTTCTTCAGGCCTACCAGACCCAAATGCATCAAATGTTAGCAGGACCGAGTCCCCCAAAATCTACCAAAACGGGGGATGGATTTTGATGGAGTCGGTAAGATTAATACTCGGCGTGAAAGTAAACGCAAAATGCCAATATGTGACGTCACGGCAATTATGCACGCTGCAAATACACAAAAGTTTAACACATTTCATTTTTTTAAAGGGATTTTGCAGCCAATGTTTTTGAACGTCAAACTCGCTTCGCATTTTTTGTGTGTGCTGGTATGAGCAAAACGCAACTGCAAATTCGTGACACATCTGTGACCAACTAGGCCTAGCAATTCAGATAAACACAATAACAATGACAGTACAAGGACAAGTGCTTAAGAGTCACAATTCTAGATTAATTACATAACAGTATCTTGATTTAATTACATAATTAATTATAGCTGGATTAAAAACGTATGTTATAAAAAGTAAGAACCATTAGATGGTCGTACTCAGGCAAAATGGTTATTCAGTTTCATTCAAAAACCTCTGTCACATTGCTCTTATCGCTTGGTGAAGTGTGAAGAATCAAACTTTAAAATATTCCTTGTTCAATACATTCTTGTTCTTTGATATTATATTCTCCAATTTGGTAATAAAAAAAAACACTTGTAATTGGTCTCGTAACAGCAAAGCATCCCATAATAGTGTCTACTCGTGTAAATTATTGAAGAAAAATGACCTGTCCATGCACAATGAGGGCGCCCTTTGTAAGCTCTCTATTTAACCAGAACTCAGTCAGTCTGTTCTCCAGATTCTTTGCCAACATGTCTATTGGCATTTTTGGCACTCTGGTTCCTGGAAGCTTCAGCCATGTGAAGCATCTCATCTTGAGTGACGTAATCGCCGCTGTCTGGATCCATGTGATGTCCGTTCACATGACCATTCGCTTGTGGACGTGGGAGGGGCAGACTGGCAAGCTGATCAGTGGTCACATAGCCGGGACCTGCCGGCTGGGTCGGGGCTAAGCCGTCAATGTCTCTGGTGTCGGTGGCTCCGTTTGGACGTGCGGCCAACATTTCAGTGGCTTGCTGCCGTGCCACAAACCCTCTGTCTTCGTCCAGTCCAGAGTCATCATGTGATGGTATGGAGTCTTGTGCATCATTTTCAGTCCTGCCATTGTTGTTGTTGTTGTTCGTGAAGTTTTCGTTGACCGGGCCCCCATCGGGACCAGGTGACATGATGTCGCGTGCCTCTGCTGCTGTTACGTAACCACTGCCACTGCCAGCCGATCCATTCATTTGAACAGGATTGCTGTGCACAGGGGGTCGGGCAAAAGATGGCGGGGAAAAATTAGAGAGCTGTGCCTGATCAACATAGCCGGAGGGTGCAGCATTATTAACTGTGTCATTTGAGACTGTTCTGGCTGTCGGAGCATCCCAGTTGTTGGGCATCATTGCTTGGGTGACGTATCCATTCATGTCCGCCTGTTCAGTTCCGTTCACACTCTCGTCGTTGTCGGAGTCTAAAGCGACTGTTACGTACGTTAACCCCCCTTCTTCATCATCATCATCCGAGAGAGAGTCCAAGCTTTGCGCTCGGGCAACGTTCGGGATTCCCAGCACCTCGTTGGTAGGCCTGGGTTCAGAGCCTAGTTGACTGAGAGGAACAACAGCTCCACTGGCTGCTGCTGAGGTCCTGCCTATCAAGGGATTTGATGAGTCCTCTGTCCTGCTATCTTGTCCAATGGTTGGTTCAGCAAGAGTTTCATCATCTCCACCCCGATTGCCAGAAGGAACAGCTGAATCCTGGTTACTGTTGTCTAGGCTGATGCCATGTGGAGAGGAAGCAGCCCTGGGCCCTTCAAGTAATCCGAGCCGACTGTAGGAATCGGCAGGATCACCCGGGTCATAGTCCCCATCTCCTTGAGCTGCTGCCCCCGGGACGAACCCTTGCTGAACGTAGTCTGATATGCTACCATCGCCGGCATGTGTGGCCCCCGCTAGGTCTGCTCCCTTACTCTTGATGGCCTTTGAAGATGCCTTCGGGTGCTTTGCTCCCTTTGAGTGCATTGCTCCATGGGTGGAGGGTCTGTCGGCTTGAGGGTCTTTCCTCACAGGACCAGCTGCTGCATGGGAGTTCTCTCTCCGAGAAGGAAAGGTGGACATTTTCGTATATGAATCAACAGCGTCTCCATCTTGTAAATTGTCTTCGTCCGACTCTACACTCTCCCTCCTCCATTGCAATAATGGCAGTCCATCCACACGGGGTCTTGGAGCTGAGTCGGGAGGTCTTTCACCTAGGACCCGTTGGCCTTCCGTGTTCTCCTTCTCCACTGGGGACAGACCCTCTTTGGTCATGCAGGAGTAAACCATGTCGTCATCGTCTCGGATGCCCAGGTAGCTGCCCCCACTGCCTACGCTGACGGGACTGCTTGGCAAGGCTCCACCGTATTCATCGCCCGATGATGGGTCCTCATCTCTCCTTGACCCAGGAAGGAGCGGCTCAGTGGCAGAAGCGATGTCATCCAGCATCAGCTCGCCCTTCAACCCCAGCAAGGGCAAGCTGTCCAAGTCAATTATGTCATTCTGAAACCCAACAGCACCCCGCGGTTTGTCACCGATGTGGAAGCCGTCCGTTATGACTGGCATATCGTCGAAGATGTCAATTACGTTTGTCTGTTTAGGGCCGAGATCGACAAACAGTTGACAGGGCTTGACCTCATCAAATACTTCCACCTCCCTGACTGCACCACGATTCCTGTGCTCGGACAGGTACTCGTTGTCTTCCTGTGCAACGATAATTAAAAAATACAAACTTTACTGCATTCTGCTGGCATTCTCTTGTCTTTGGGACAGGGTGTGAGCGTGCAGATTGTTCTGACAGGCTACAGAGTTGAGAGCAAATTATTTGCAACAAGAGTTTGAATAGGTACAAGTGAAGTTTTCAACTTATTTCTTATAAAAATGAAGGTAACATTGTGTTGGATTTTGGTTAAATAAATAAATCTCTGAGAAAAATAAGCAGAATCTGTCTTGAGGTGTTATTATACAAATATTGAATGCTTCGAGTGGTGTAGTAAAACTAGCCTCCCGAGGTTATCCATGGACATTCTATTTTCCCGAGGCGAAGCCGAGGGAAAATAGAATGCTCCATGGATCACCGAGAGAGGCTAGTTTTACTTCACTACGAGATAAAGCATTCAATATTTGTTTTATAACACTTCACCCACAGATTCTGCTTGGTTTTAATATTTTAATTTATTTTAATCTGAACACAGTTGATGGTATAGTACTTTGGTTGCTACAGGTATAGTACTTTTGGCCGTGCACAGAAAGATAGCAAAAATATAAAGTATCATGTGACTCGCTCTCGGCCAATCAAGACACAGAATCTGTGGGTGAGGTGTTATAAAGAACAAATATTGACTGCTGGAACGTGTGATACTGGGAAACTAGTCTCCCTCGGCGATCTGTGCACTGTTCTATAGAATAATCCATGGATCACTTCTGGAGGCTAGCTTTGAATATTTGTATACTATACCACGTGATATCTCACTGCACTCAACCGCAACAAATATGAGCTCACCTGCAGCTGGGACGGAAGCTTGATAGCTGGGAATTTGCGGATTGACTTCTTGACACGACAACAGATGACAATCAGAAAGATAATGACGATTACAATAGTGATACACACACCAATTACAGGTCCAACAGGTGAAGGCGCAACTAAAAAAGGAAAAGAACAAAGACAGACTTAATGTTGATGATTAACCCCAACTCCCTATCATGATTTAATACTAGGAACCATACCCATCCTGGCAAATTCCATCACCATATGGGAAACTGCACACACATATTTCTGACGTTGTTTCTGGAGGTGTGCCAACCCAATGTAAAAGACTGTCAGTTTAGGGGCACTGTACCCATCCTGACAGATTCCAACAAAACATGCCGTTGGGGTTTGATGGGTTGAGTTGAGGTTTGGTGTTTAAAAGACTATAGATTGGAGGAATCCACACAGTTGTGGTTCACGCATTGACTGCCGATGAAACTTTTACCGGGTACCCCCCCCCCTGTCAATTATTAAAGCGATGTACACATGCGTGCATATTTATTTGGTACTTAAAGGGAAAATACAACATTTGCAAACATCGAAAAATAAAATGACCACGTTTTTACAAAATAACATACAGGATGTTGGTAAATGACAGTCTAAAGCATCCTGTAAAATTATGGCACCTGGTGTGAAGTCATTTTCAAGAAAATTATACATTTGTTTACATTTCCAACGGTGGTCGGCCGACCACCGTAGGAAAAACCTAACTATTTTTCACTACTGCTCCAAATTTACCATTTTTTCAGTCCAATTTTGTTTGCTAATTGGTTTTATGTTCATGAATGGGTGCAGGTCAGCTAGACTGGTCCCCTTAGCGTACAATTTTCCGGCATCTGTAAATTGATCCATTTCATCTTCAGTGGAGTCAGGGAACCAGACTACTTGAACATTTTTGTTTTTCTTGGTTTTTCCAGCATTTTCGAAAACAAAACTTCAAACATGTCAGTGTAACAATAATTTGATCTATTATACTAACCCCTCAAATAGTTCATTTCTGAAAATTAAAGCATAAGCCAATGATGTACATTCCCTTTAAAAAAAATCATTTCATAATTTGAATATAACCATTTAATAGATTATTGTTCTCAAATTACCAGCAGCTAATTTGTTGCGTTTTCAGCGACGCCAGTATGTTTAGTTTACAATACAAAATCCTTTACTTTAGTACGAGTATACTCGTTGCGGAAAAATCCGGTATGCCTGTCACCTACTACGTCTGTATCCGTAGTCGGCAGTCAAGCGTTTTACATAACATGCAAAATGTTGTTGAACATTTCAGAGCAGTTTTTTTAACTTGCCTGGTACAGGGTTGATTTTACTACACGACGCTTTCTTTGACGATGTTCCCATGGAGTTGCGCGCCTGTATGCTGAAGGAGTAGTGATGATCTTTCTTTAGATCTGCGTAGGAATGAAAAATTAAATCTCTTTTCAAGATTCTCTTATGGATTGCACGTGTTTGGACATTTTTTCGTTTTTCCAAGATTTGGAATATTACTGGGTTCTTTGACGTGCATCACACAACACACGGGACCTACGGCTTTACGTCCTATCCGAAGGACGAAGCAATAATGGTAAAGTGCCTTGCTTAAGAGCACAAGCACCATGTTCCCCTTCAGGATTCGAACCCATGTACCACGGCACTTGAGTCGAACACCGTAACCATTGGACCACAGCACCCCATTAATATTGGAGAGGCACATGTGACGTTGCCTATGGGCACAGTGGGTGGAGCCTAATGGATCGGGAATCGGAGAGTCTTTGAGACGTTGGTGGCAGCAAACTCACCGGTCCTTTTCACTTGTTTACGTCATGCTTAAGCTAAAACGCGCATGCTCAAAACAATGGAGAAAGGACCAGTGTGTACAAAAGTCTCCCATTGCATTCGAGTTTGGTACAGAATTGCCTAAGCCTATTCTCTGTTCAAAGGCTGACGAGTTCATCTGCAATTACTAGCCTAGCCTTTCGCCAAGGCCATCGTGGCTTAACTTGCCGGCATTAGACAAAGCGGCGAGAAGGGCAAAGCGACTGGAGCGGGAGACCACACACGCGAGTGGTGAAGCCACGAGGGCCTTTTCCAACTTGTCAAGAATTTCTTATGTTTTTCCTTATAATCTCGATTTTTGCTACCCCAAAAGGGTAGCAAAATTCCAACCAATCAGGGCGCGCGTGGCTACTACTCGGATGCGCGGGGGAGTCCCGGATGCTTGCACAAAATTTAAAAACAAAAAAATGCGAGTCCAGTTTTCCACGAGATCGTGACCGCGTAATTGTTCTTTCATTATCTTATTTTAATTTTACATATAAAAGTATTTCAAGAAATTATTTGAGTGTATGAACTTATTTCTTCATCTGAATTTATAGTTATTTCCCCATACGTTTTCCATTACTCACCCTTCTTTCACAAATGGAAGCAACTAGGCAAAATCTGCACTGTGATTGGTAAACCTTTCAGCGCTCTACTTATTTGCATAAAAATATGAATAATTCAACAAAATCAAGTTAGAAAAGGCCTCGTGGCTTTGCCACTCGTGCGTGCTGACTGAATCTTTGCTCCAATCCGCCGCTCTAAGCCACGATGGCCTTGGCGAAAGGCTATTACTAGCCAGAAACGTATAGCCCTGGAGAGGTCTTGTGCCCTGAATCAACTCACCATAAACTGTGTAGTTGGTGTCGTTCACCCCTGCATCCAGTCTGGTTGGCAGGCCGGCCTCACTGCTGCTGTAGGTGATGACATACCCCAGTATCTCACCATTCAGTTTGAATTTATTCTGCAGGGGCTGTGGGAGGAAATATAAATTAGGGACTTTGTGCACAAATACACGTGCTCCATCTTTAAGCCACCCTCAGGTCGACCTTGCGACAACACAGAACAGTGACCGACTGGCTTTTCAGGATCAAGCTACCCCTGAGCTTAGACCGTTGGGAACATTTCGGCTGCCTATTTTTTTTGCGACCTGAATGTAACTGCGATGATATTAAGACGATCGGCATCAGTCGGTGCTAAAAAAGAATCAACAGTCGCAAAAGTAGAAAATGTGTAACTTCTGCGTCGCAGCGGAACATGTTCCAGACAGGCAAGATTCAATCGCAGTCGACCTGTGTGAAGTTACGACGTCCTGCGAGCATCCAGATCATCGAATTTTATTGTGAATTGTCATAGTCCCGCCGTGAATGACATGAGAATGACTGCCAACATTCTGTGCCCAGATGCCGCTTGTTTCAGGTATACGGTTGACTCTCCTTAATACAAACACTGTTAATACAAATTCTGGACTGGTTTTAGCAAACATATTGGTCCCAACTGTGCATATTATATGTGCACAATGAATGGTAAGGGCACTCAACTTGATACAAAACTCTTGATACATTGTATAACAAACATTTTAGCTAGGTCCAGCTGAATTTGTATTAACGAGAGTCGACTGTATTACCAGGTTTTCTCAGTTTTGTGAACTGAGCATGACTTTTGTGCTTGATGCCGACGGTTTTGACGCGGCGAAAGCAAACTGCAGGTCGACCTGAGGCCAGCTTTGGAGAGAATCGTGATGGATGCTGGAGTGACATTGATGCCAAATGCCTCGTGCCCAAATGGAAATGCTCTGGCTTTGAACACATGCAGATGAATATTGGTCATGTGACGTGCGTACCCACGAACCAGTGCGCATATGCAGTATCTCCTGCAAACAGCGCCCTCAAGAGTGGTTACGAAGCACCGTCCACTGTTCATGCACAGTCAACAGCACCCATGAAAAACAATTTCAATTTCCAAAAAAATTTCACTTTCTGACACATTTTAGAATTCTGTGAAAACTAGTTTCCATCCTTTTTTATACCTTAAAAGAACAATAAAATAAACTTAAATAAAACAGACAATGAAATAAACTTAAATAAAAAAAACATTCAACGGAGTCAATCGTTCCAATTTTGTATGTCAATAAAGGGATATTCGTTTTAAATTATTTCACTTGATTGCTCACTTTTATGTCTGAACAATAGATTCAGGAAAAAAAAGATTCCCATTCTAAAAAATTCCTTATGTAAATTGAATATTGCCGATGTTCCACGAGAGATTGCAGGATATTAAATGTGGTAAAAAAAAACCGACTGTGACGCAGAACAATCTGAGACTCACTTCTTTTACAATGGGATCAACCAATAAAAGGTGAGTACTTCTGTTCAATCGAAGAAAAGACAATTTTGGAAATTTTTATCTTTTTCTTATCAGGGGTATGAGTGATAACAAGAGCTGAAAAAGGTTTTTAAAAAACTGAACTTTGGAAATCTCCTATACTTTAGTACACAGCAGGAGAGGGAAAAAAGCTGAAATCCAAAACAAAAAAAGCTGAAATCAGCCTTAAGCTGAGATTTCACACCCCTGCTTATGACCTTTCAGGACAGGGAAACTAAATTTGTTCCAATATTTCCATTGACTCACCTTCCATGAGAGATGCACGTGCCTCGTGTCATTCTTCTGGTTTGGTGCGTCGACACAGAGGAAGTGTTCTGGAAGATCTATTGGCGCTATTAAGAGATCAGAGAGTGTAAGTCCTAATGATTACAATAGCACAAAATTGCAGTAAAAAAAGAATATTTGAAAATGTTTGCCAACATTTCATGTGCATGTAATATCAAATTCTTTGAATGATCATTATCATCTTACCCATTAATAAGCATTGCAAAAAAAGAAGAAGGAATATTTCATACAGAATATTTGTGTAGTTAAATTCTGCACTCAGCTAAAACCAGCTGCAAACTAATCAAAAGCAAAATTATTCACATCACAATTTTTCTGGAAACACTTTTGGCATGGCCAAACTTTCTCTGTCACAGGCAAAAAATGTCTGTGCCCTAGCAGCGCCGTGTTCAAGTTGGCTTTTGGGTCTGTTTCATACGGTGGCCCACAACTGTCACGGCAAAAGCAAAAGCGCCACGGCAAGCGCAAAAGCGCCGCGGCAAGCGCAACAGCGCCGCGGCAAGCGCAACAGCGCCACGGCAAGCGCAAAAGCGCCACGGCAAAAGAAAAAGCGCCACGGCAAAACAAAAAGCGCCGCGGCAAAAGAAAAAGCGCCACGGCAAAACAAAAAGCGCCACGGCAAAAGAAAAAGCGCCACGGCAAAACAAAAAGCGCCGCGGCAAGCGCAAAAGCGCCACGGCAAGCGCAAAAGCGCCACGGCAAGCGCAAAAGCGCCACGGCGAAAGCAAAAGCGCCGCGGCGAAGGCAAAAGTGCCACGGGTTTATTGGGAAGGGGCGTAATCATACATGCCGCTACTACATCAAAAAATAAAATGGGAAGGAGAATGGCCGCCACCAGGAATTCTTATTAAGCACAGAATTTAATTTTTTGAGAAGTGATTTTATGGCTGAGAAAATAGCAAGGCCAAGGAAAACCGGTCAGGAAATAAATCGTCGATATTAATTTGTTGTAGGATAATTATTATTCCAAGAGAGTTGCTGCCGTGAATCAGAGTTTATCAAGGAGTGGGACTCGCTATCAGCACCATCAGGGCCGTTCCTCATTTCTTTACATTTCTTGGGATGCAAACAATTACGAGGACGGGAGGCTCTGTGAGCTGATGCATTTTTTTGAAGAGTTTTTTCCTTCCGACTAGCATGCAGAGAAGAGTTCCGTTAATTTGAGACTTAGTTCACCCATGGGCGTCGCGAGGGGGGCAAGGGGGCGCTCCCCCCCCTGGAATAGCACACAAAAAAGGAAGGGGAAAAAACTGAGAGAAAAAAAGAAAAGAAAAAGAGGCGCGAAGTCATAGTGGTGTAAATTGAATGAGTTGGGGGGGGGGGGCAAAATGTCCCTGCCCCCGTCTAAAACTGAGAAATCGAGAATTTGTTCAGAAATACAAGATTTTTTTGGGAAAAATATGTTTTGCCCCCTTTAGAAAAAATTCTGGCGACGCCCATGAGTTCACCGGTGTGTATACCAGTGTAGGCACACAATTGAGCTGCCCAGAGTTTGGATATAGAATAAGAAAGAAAGAAATTAACTCAGAACCTAGAACTCATTGGCCCACCCACCCCCGGCTCAAGAAACCAACAAGCCGAACAAGACCTCATGATGCTTAGCGATAGCGATGATGAGTTGCCCTGTGGAAAGTCTTCCACATCATCGCAGAATCAGCCTGCAGGGCAGAAAGAGGGCTTGTTTCCGGCATCAAATAGTTCCGTATTCACTCGAAACAAAGCAAACGGCTCTTTTCAGAGCCACCAAATTTTCATAGAAGAGCTTAGAACTGTGCATCTCAACGATAACACTTCTCCTTTGTTTAGTGTCTCTCCCTTACCCCCCTTTTTTAAGTTAATTTCTTTCTTTCTTATTCTATATCCAAAGTCTTCGCCTGTGTTACGTTCCGTACATGAAATCCACGACCTAACCTCCTCTGTCGAAAGCGTTGCAACTGTCTAATAGAACGATCCATTTCTCGATTTGTGAGTTAGGCTTCAACTCAGTCGTGTTTATTGGGAAGGGGCGTAATCATACATGCCGCCACTACATCTAAAATTAAAGGGAATATACAACATTTGCAAACATCGAAAAATAAAACTACCAAGTTTTTGCGAAATACCTTAATAGGACGTTGGTAAATGACAGTCTAAAGCATCCTGTAAAATTATGGCACCTGGTATACTGTCATTTTCAAGAAAAGTGGTATTTTTGTATCAATTTCCAACGCTGATCGGCCGATCAGCGTTGGAAACAACTGGCTTTTTTTCAAATACTGGCCCCAATTGACTATTGCACTTGTTTGCAATCGATTACAAACCTATGAACGGGTACGAGCCAGCTAGACTGGTTCCCTGACCTTACAATTCCCCAATGTATGTAAACTGCTCTGTTTCTTCTTATATGGAGTCAGGGAACCAGACTACAGGTAAATGATCGTTTTTCTTGGTTTTTATAGCATTTTCGAACCCAAAACCTCCAAAAAGTCAGTGTAACTATATTTGCTTTATATTTCCAATCCCCCAATTCCATCCATTTCTGAAAATTACAGCAAAAGCAAATGATGTATATTCCCTTTAAATGGAAAGGAGTATGGCCGCCACCATGAATTGAGAAGTGATTTTATGGCTGAGAAAATAGCAAGGAAAACCGGTCAGTGCAAGCAACGTTCAGCGAAGAGTTTTGAAATTCCCGCTCTCTGGGAATTTCTAACCTAATGGGCCCGCGGGCGAGTTACGTGTTGACAAGCCTTACCCCCCCCCCCCCCCCACTGCCGCAGCCCTGCAGGAGAGCCTTAATCGACTTCCTATAGATGTGTATGATATACTGAAAAAGAAAAAAAAAATAACTCATACACTCTGGGCAGCTCACTTTCGTGCCTACACTGGTATACACACCTGTGAAAAAAGGCTCAAATTAACGGAACTCTTCTCTGCATGCTAGTCGGAAGGGGAAAAAAAAGTTTTCAAAAATGCATCAGCTCACAGAGCCTCCCGTCCTTGTAATTGTTTGCATCCCACGAAATGTAAAGAAATGAGGAACGGCCCTGATGGTGCCGATAGCGAGTCCCACTCCTTGATAAACTCTGATTCACGGCAGCAACTCTCTTGGAATAATAATTATCCTACAACAAATTAATATCGACGATTTATTTCCTGACCGGTTTTCCTTGGCCTTGCTATTTTCTCAGCCATAAAATCACTTCTCAAAGAATTAAATTCTGTGCTTAATAAGAATTCCTGGTGGCGGCCATTCTCCTTCCCATTTTATTTTTTGATGTAGTAGCGGCATGTATGATTACGCCCCTTCCCAATAAACCCGTGGCACTTTTGCCTTCGCCGTGGCGCTTTTGCTTTCGCCGTGGCGCTTTTGCGCTTGCCGTGGCGCTTTTGCGCTTGCCGCGGCGCTTTTGCGCTTGCCGCGGCGCTTTTTGTTTTGCCGTGGCGCTTTTTCTTTTGCCGTGGCGCTTTTTGTTTTGCCGTGGCGCTTTTTCTTTTGCCGCGGCGCTTTTTGTTTTGCCGTGGCGCTTTTTCTTTTGCCGTGGCGCTTTTGCGCTTGCCGTGGCGCTGTTGCGCTTGCCGCGGCGCTGTTACGCTTGCCGCGGCGCTTTTGCGCTTGCCGTGGCGCTTTTGCTTTTGCCGTGACAGTTGTGGGCCACCGTAGTTTCACGCAGCTTTTAACCACAGAAATTTATAACACACAGAAAAATGTAATTGCTTTTTATTAGCAAAACTGGCAACCAGCTACAAATGTCACGGAAGGTACAGGCCTTTTTAAAACCCTGGCTTTGTCTTTAAGGCCAAAAAAAAAAGTCTCCGGTTTCTGGTTTGGAGCTTGCCCAAAAAGTGGTGCGGCGATGCGTTTTTTTTTTTTTTTTTTACCTGATTTTTTTGCTTCAAATGTCGGCTGATGACTGCAAATGGTGCCCGCCTAAACTTAGTGCAAATATATGGGAGTCCACAGAGGCCACATAAAGCTTATTCTCGATCATAACCCCCTCTAAAAACACGTTAAAATTGTGCAGCAGCAGGATTCCAGTCAAACCAGTGAGTTTGGCGGTTTTGAGACATCATCTTTCATTGAAAAAAAAAAATTTCATTTTGCCGACGCGCATGGCTACCGCGACGCGCGCACATACCAGAAACCGGAGACTTTTTTGGGGGGCCTAACTTCAGGAGATTTAAGGCCTCCAACTTCGGGAACTTCAGCAACATTTTGCCTGTTTATGCTTCAGGAACATTCAATCAGTTGACACGAAGCCAAAGGTCCCAACATTTCCAAGCTGTTTCCTTCCCAGCGATTCAGAAGTCAGAGGTAATGATGTGCATCGGGTCAGGTTGACTAGGCCAAACCAAAACATTAGAGATATAAACCGAATCCGAACCGAAACCAATTTTAACTCCCTCAAACCGACCCGACCCAACCCGACAAAAAATAAGGTAAAATCGACCCGAACCGACCCGACACGAAAAAAACGAATACCTTGCTTGGACAAAGTGATCACCTTTTTGTGCCTGCCCTTACCCACGTGACATGAATTCTTTTGCAAAACCATCGTCTCTCTCTCTGTCATACTCAGTGGGTTGATCGAGAGTAACTACGCTTTGAACAAACGCATGGCATCATCACGCGGTATCATAAAAACTGTTACAATGTATCTATTTCACTGTCAGTCCCATCCGACTGGAGAAATTAATACCATGGGAACTTGATAGTGGGCTCGGTGGCCACACCACACTAGGGCTGCGGTCACAGTGACTGTCAATAATATTGCATCACCTAAAATTTCTCAACTGTTTCGGTTTATTTCATTTTTTTTTCTTCAAAAGATGGCTAAACTGACCCGACCCAAAAATGAAAATGCCAAGCCGAAACCGACCCACCCGACTTTAAAGATGGACAAACCGACCCGACCCGACCCGAAGTCGGTTTCAGGTCGGCTCAGTTTCGGGTCGGGTTTGCACATCATTAGTCAGAGGCAAAGTTGCAGACAAAGTCAAGGTTTTCGAAAACCGCCTATGTTGCCTGTGACCGGTTAACGGCTGATTTTCCTTCTCATATAAAGTAACTGAGCCATCTTTTTCTGCTCATCAGTTCCATTGGAACTGTTGGCACCTGGAGAATGGTGTATCTACCTTTCTCAGTGGTGCGTCCTCGGGCAACTTCGGTGAAGACACTCTCTATGGTGGGTGTATAAGTGTCCTTTAATGCCTTCACTCTGACGTAATACAGCCCATAGGCATGCTCCAGGTCTCCCAGAGTGTAGGAGACACGTTCAATGTCCTGTGTATTTTGAGTGTTTCAATTATTCATCAAGTGAAATATAGGGTGAGAAAAAAAAAAAAAGGTAATGGAATATTAAACACAACCCAAATTTCAAGGTTCTGTCCATGGATCACAAAAAGTTCAGTGTTCTTTCAGCAAAATGAAAACAAATCACATGGGGATGTGTGTGAATTGTTTTCGTTTTGCTGAAAGAATGCACACCTTTTTTTGTGGTCCGTGGACAGAACTTTAAAACTGTGGTTGTGTTTAAAATTCCGTAACTTGAAAAGTATATGAGTGATTTGAATGATTCTTGTACTAAAAGAAAGCTTATAAATATGCCTTTCATATCCTAGATTTTGAAGGTGCTACATGCAGAACTTCACTAAAACAATAGTCCTGACATTTGAGTTTCGTTTTTTTACTAACCCTGTATATTTTTCTAATATAATATAATGATTTTGAATATAAGGCAATGAATTGTGCAATAAACTGCAAGATCGTAAAAAAATCCCCCACATTTTGGGGGAAAAATTACAAAAAAGAGATTTGAAATTCATCGGAAGAAACAAAATTGAATTTGTGAGAGAGCACGGCCAATACAAGCTTAAAGCTCCACTGTAAATCCAGATTTGAAAAACTAAAACAAGAGTCATTCCCCTTGTAAACTATGTAACAATACTCCCTTTCATACCAAGCTTCGGTTTTGAAAATGTATCTAAAACTACGAAACTTAGCAACTGAAAACACCATCTAATTCTCTGGTTTTGTAAACATTTTTCAATATTTTCCATCAAAAGTTCACCTCTTTTCGCCGCCAGCTGTCGTCAGCTGAGGAACCTTCCCATCTGTACTCCAGGGTGTACTTGATGTAAGTTGGTAAGGGATCGGGAGGGCGCCAGTTGACCAGGAGCTCCGAAAACGACTGGTTGGTGACAGTAAGATCACGAGGAGGTTTCACCCTACCTGAAAACAGCGTCAACAAACACGCGCATCAGCACAACGGTACTGCTCTTTCAGAAGTAACGGGGTTGATGGGTTTTGTACACCCTCAACCCCCTCCATCGGGTGCCACTTGCCCCTTCGGATGTCCAAAACACCATGGACCCTCTCTCAGCAGGCAACAATTCCGGTGATTCACAATGCAGTGCGAAACCAGGAGTTTGCCATGGAGAGTCCATTTTCAAAGTTTACGGTCGACAAAACATGGCCTATTTGAATGAGAGTCAGTGGTCAACTTGAGCTAATTCGTTATAGATTAGGTATATACATGCTAACCGTACAAAAAAAAAACCCACTACATTGATAACAAGAAAAGAAAAGGGCAAACAGATCCTCGAATCATACGCTCACGAAACTGCTGACCGGAAAAACGAACAATTTCAAATGTACCGCCCTGCGAATTTGTCAACCATCTCCCACACTGCACTGGGAAAATTGAACTCTCTCTGGACAGCTGTAATGGCAAACTCTTGGTGGCGCACCGCATTGTGAATTGCAACAATTGTATAGTAGTGTACTTGTGACTGGACTCATCAACAATACTTGAGATTTAATGGGAAAAATGTCCCCTTACTGTCTTTGTACACATTGAAAACAACCTCCTCTGAATACGCTGTCAGCCCCAAATCATTGGTGGTTTGGATGCGGTACTCGCAGCGAGTGCATGACGAGCATTCCTGCTTGCAATGATGGGTGCTGTTACATTTCGGAATAAGCTTGAAGTAACCACATTCTGTCCAAATTCCTCCACTGAAAGCACACAAAAAGAACAACAACATTTAAAATTAACAAAACATTGGACAATGTTAATTTTACTATTTTTTCCTTTGAATTAAGTAGGCCTAATTATTTATTTATTTATTTCTTATTCCAACTGTGTAGCCCATTCAGTGGAATCCACTGATCTCCCATGGGGCCCAGTAAAGAGAAGACAATGTGAAGGAATTACAGTTTTAGAGGTGGGAGGAAAAGCCCAGAAGAGTATTCTGGGAAAAACCCTTGGAATCAGGCAGGGACTGAAAACCCAATCCACATATTGGCCCGGGCGGGATGCGAACCCGGGTCACAGCGGTGGAAGGCAAGGAAAGTACCGCTACACCAACCTGACTTCCCAAGTAAACGTGCAATTTTTTACTGCAATCAACGTTTCCCTTTAAACAGACGCAGAATGGTACAGAACTAGATGTTGAATGCGGAATCTGCTCCCTTTACGTTGACTTTAAAAATAGAGGAGTGGGGGTGTTATTACAATAAATTAAGGGGTTCCATCCCCTGAACACTTGTGAGCTGTCCCTTTAAACAGAAGTAGAATTGTACAGAAGTAGACGTGGAATGCGGAATCTGTTGTTGGTGGTGGTGTAGTAGAAATGGCGCCTATGTCACATAAGGCTGTGCCGTTTGCGCCATCAGCTGTGCGTGGGTATATTGTCTGCACGAAAAAATTAATATATTGGTATAGCTTAGGAGTGGTGCTGGTCGGAATCAATCGGGAAACGGGAAACAGAATCGATACTAGTAAAGGAAAGCAAGTAACCAAAAAGAGGGAAGGTTAATTTAGTAGAATTTGCTCCCTCTACCTTGATTTTTAAAAAGTAAGGGGTGGGGACGGGAGGGGGGGGGGGGGGAGGGGGGGGGGGGGGGACGGGAGGGGGGGGGGATGACGGGAGGGGGGGGATGACGGGGGGGGGGGGGGGGGGGGGTTGAAGGGGTAAATAAAGGCTTCTACATATCTACCCTCTATACATGAGGACATCGTTGGAACTGACATCATGGCCCTGGCCTCCTCTCGTCCATTCACAAGTCACCCTCAAAAAGTCGAAGCTGAAACAACTAAAATCTGATGCTGGTTCTGGTGGAACTGTAACGTTTCAATAACATGAAAGGAATCCATTACACACTTTGTTGTGGGGGGGGGGGGGGGCTGTGGTTGCTGTACCTTTTCAGATAATTTAGTATTCAATTATACAGGGTGGATACAAAAAAAACGAAACCGAGATATTATTGCTAATTGGAACAGAAATACGGCACATGTGAATACAAAGGGAGATATCCTCTGTTAGGGTTGAATCTCCTCTTTAAAATGACACCCAGATCATGTCCTTACAATTACGGTTGACTGAGCAGTGACCAATTTTATGAAAGGGCCTATTTAGAGACTTGCGCCACTTTTCCTGGTGAAATCTCTTTTTGTCCCCACCTGCCTTGATTGGCAAGCATAGCCTTTCACTCTGTGACAATTGACACCACAAAAAAAACACAATTGAAAAGTTGCCCAACCTTCTTCAGGATCCCTGGTGGATTTTAAGGAGAAAGCATAAACAAAAATATAGGGTTTGCTTTCAAAGCCAAATTCTCTCTCAAAAGGTGAAACTCATGTCTAATCTTTTTTTAGATACTCACATGAAGTGTTTGTACTGTTTCTTTCGAGTCCTTCTGCAACTAGCAGACCGGTAGATAAGCTCCTGTTCGGAATCAGTGGTGCAGCAAAACAACACCAAACAAATAACACAGCTTGTGTCCAGTTAGGTAGCCTGACGCCCATCATGTTGCTAAACAACAGAATGACAGTAAAAAAAAATAATATTTTAATTCACATTCTTCAAATGAAAATAAAAATGGCTTCTCATGGTGGACGAAACTATTATGATAATAGCCCCTAAAAGAAATAAAATCAAAAAAAAAAAAAAAAAAAAAAAAAATCCATTCAAATTTTTTTAGGTAGTTGCATGTAGCTACCTATGGAAAAATGCATTGTTGTTCTGCCACTGACATACTTGACTTGCTATGCCGTGAAGAATGCTACATGTAAACTGACTATCTTTCCGGGGACTGAATTGAAAATAACAGCTGCTCATATGGGCCCTGCATGCCTGCATGCTAAATTTCCCCCAAATATTGTTTCCTGAATCTGAAATCTTGAAATCTAGACTTTTTTTTTTAACTTGATGCTTAACCCTAACCCACCTCACTCCTCCAAAATCCTCCTGGCGGTTTTGGAGGATTCTAGAGGATTGAGGATGAATGGTGATTGAATCAAATGAGGATTCTGGAGGATTGAGGATGAATGGTGATTGAAGCACAAGAGGATTTTGGAGGATTGAGGATGAATGCATTTTGAGGCAGGACTGTCTGATGATTTTGAAGGATTTGGCGTTGGTTATCCTTCATTTAAACACGAGTGCAAAGTTTTGGGATGAGGAGGATTTTGGAGGATTGAGGATGAATGCATTTTGAGGCAGGACTGTCTGACAATTTTGAAAAATTTAGGCGGAGTTGAAAAATTTTGGAGGATTTTGGAGGATTGAGGATGGTTGTAAGCAACAAGGGCCTAGGGGGTTAGGGTTAAGCTGTGAAAGTTTTCCTGGAGGAAAAGGTCAAGTGTATATGGCCCATGACCTCGAGAAGACCACCTGCACTCATTTCAGAAAAACTCTTTCCCAATTTTTCCCCGAAAACTACAGGATGACTAGACGCATAGAGGTATGAAGTTTGATTTTTCTCGGCTATTGACCAGGTTTAATAGCTTCCACAGGAAATATTAGGTTAAAAAAACGGTCTACACTGTTGATTTCAATGGAGGAAACACATATTTTCAGGGAAATTTAAAGAGGTTGTGGAATGCTCAAAGACATTTCCGTCATTTTTTGGGTATATGTAGCCTAAGGTGTGATGAAATAAAAACGACTATTGTTTCTGTCATGAAATGAGTACAAAAGGTACTTTTGAGAGCTGTTTTTCAGGTCCAGTTTCGACCCGAACGTGCAACTGTGTAAAAGTCGTCGTTGCGGGCAGCAAACAAAACACAGTAAATCGTGACGTAATAAACAGGACTCCCGATGCACAGTAGCATACACGAGTCCTGATTATTACGTCACGATTTACTGTGTTTTGTTTGCTGCCTGCAACGACGACTTTTACACAGTTGCACGTTCGGGTCGAAACTGGACCTGAAAAACAGCTCTCAAAAGTACCCTTTGTACTCATTTCATGACAGAAACAATAGTCGTTTTTATTTCATCACATCTTAGGCTACATATACCCGAAAAATGACGGAAATGTCTTCGAGCATTCCACAACCTCTTTAATACGCATTGCTGTGTTGCTCTAAGTATGGAATAGTTCCAATATTTGAGGCACATTAAAGGGACATCACGTCCTGGAATGCCACCAATTGAATTGGGCTACAAAACGTGTTTTAAACGAAATTGTGTTAATTGAAAAGAGTGTTTAAAAGTACCGTTAAGATACAAACATCTGCACAACTACATGTATCCTTAAAAAAAACTGGGCATTTTTGTGTTATTCTTGTGAGAACGAATATTGGGGGTTAACATTTTGACTCTCATTTAAATCGAGCTGTTGGGTGCTAGTTGTGAATCCTGCTGCCTGAGTTCTACCAGTGCATTGCACTATGCGGACGTGCAAGAAACAACATTGAATGGATCATTTGAATAGCCACGACTGGAAATATACATGTCTCACAATGTCTGGAACGTCCGATGTAAACAAGCGGTTTTTTGTTGTCTTTTCTCGGGAATGGTACTAAGACATTAGGTTAGTTTCCTTTCAACCAGACCTTTGAAATTGGATTAAAATTGTTGATCACAATTTTCAATTTGTGAAAGGCATACAACTGAGGCTAAAAAAACCCTAATTCTCCAGTAAACAAATTGCTAGTAGGCCTACTTACATCCAATAAATACAAGGCAATGTCTAAAAGAATGTAGTATCCAGACCCCACCTCAGCGGTTGTGTACACAAAGTCTAGGGAGAGTCAAGAAAAATATTTCCTAACAAAATTGGAAATATTTCTCACTCAGTCCCAGATTCATCTTTTAAACATATATATATGCAATGACTGACCTTTACTGAGATAGAAAAAGTGGCGTCAGGTTGCAACATTCTTTTCCGCAACAAATGGAAAGAATGTTGTAACCTGACGCCACTTTTTTCTTCCTTATTTCATATACATGTACAGCGTGTGTCAATAAAAACGCAGGATTAGAAACAAAAATATTAAGAATATAAACCACCCCTATTCATCATAATGTTAACCCTCTTTTCAAAGTACCTTTCCTTCTCTTCACTATGCTTTTTATCCCATCTCATTTGGACAATCCTGTCCAGAGATAGAGTACATTGAAGAAGGGTTATAAATTCCAAGCTGGTCTGATTTGTGAAATCACACATACCTAATGAAAGGTTTGAATTCATTACAGGTGAAAGTATTTGTGGATCACAAAGAAGGACATGTGTGGCAGGATTAGGTTTACATAATCCTTTAGTCCACAATCAATGCTATTTGATATGTCAGAGACGACATTCATGATGCTTTGAAACAATGATAGTCCAGTTATTAAATTTAAGTGATACTTATCATCAGTTGTTTCAAAGAAAGTTTTGTTCTGGTTTAATTGTCTTCAATGCATACCTGCATTGTACATAACTGGTCGTTGTGTTAAGGTCATTGAATCAGACCAACCCGCTTCAGAAGGGCTTCACAAAACTTGTCATAACTTTTGAACCAAAAGTCCAAATTCCACCAAACAAAAATCTTGTCAAAGATGAAATTATGGACAATCAAATCCTTATCAAATTAGGCACACCAGTAGCATAATTTTTTCAGAAAAAAAAATCGCTTTGAATCCTGCGTTTTTATTGACACACGCTGTATTATCTCAATAAAGGTCAGTCATTGCAAACATGTTGAAAAGACAAGGGAAAGAATACCGTACAAGTACATCACTGTTTTTCAATCAATTTCCAAGCGCCAAAAACTTACTTTCTATAGTTCTATCATCTATTTTCCCTCCTCGACTCTCACTCACTCTCTACCCTCCTCCAATCCTCTTTATTTACCAGTTGCCTACTTCACCGGGATTCGAACCCGCAATCTTCTTATTTATAATTTAATCATACCAGCCTTATCCGCTACACTAGTCGAATGATCATTGCCAGTAAGGGACTATTTGATGTATTTAAAGTATAAGGCTAATGAATATTTAATAAACTGAATATTCATGACAAATTAAATATTCATGATGACGTATTGCACTATCATTGGGTACAGGTGGTGACGTGTGTCGATGTCACGTCACACACACCACATACATCAATAACTAATGCCACAAATGGCCGCCAAGACCGTCTGCTGCCGAGCTGATGTGTGCATCCAAAGTGTGCTCTAAAAAAAATGTCTTCACATTTCCAGAGCTTTCTGGATTTGTCTTAGGTGAAATTACAAATACAAGGTGAGGTGAACATTGATGTGTTTACTGGCTGATAACTGACGTACCAGTATGGTATTTATTCCAAGACATGAATCAGGGACTGAGCAACATTTCCAATTTGTTAGGAAATATAACACATTTTCTTGACTCTCCATAGACTTTGTACACAACTAATGAAGTGGCATCAGGATGCAACATTCTTTTCCATTGGTATTTCAACACAAGCCTGATACTTGAACGAACATGACGAAATTATACTTTTAATACAATCCGCCAAACCTTGGGTTCCGTCGTTCGACGAACGATTCCAGACTAGGACAGTGGTCCACAGCGCTAGTTGAGTCTGTTGATTTCCAGTCTGTTGACTTGTGTACGCGCGCCGCCTACATAATTAGTACTAGCACGACTAGTGACGATCATTGACCATGTTGACGATTATGCCTACGTACACAGTCGTGTTTCAGTCAGAATCGCTCATGATTTTTTTCATGCCAAATGTATCATTTTAAGCACAGGACCACCATAATAATCACTGAACGAACGTTATCAGGAAGGAAAACTCGGCTGTTTTGGCATATTGAAGTTTCCTTCTTGGTACAACTTGTAGTTTGCGGTAATTCGCGGAATTACGCGTTCTGAGTAATGTGTGCAAAGAATAGATTCTGATCTGACGTATACTACGTACGTCTGGGTGTTACGTACATGTACATCGTAAACCAATCTCGTCCCCAGTGCTTACTTTATTTCCAACCGCGTTTCCAGAGAGCAGGTAGTAGTGGGCGCGTACTGCTCGACACCCTGGGGACGAGGTTGATCGTAAACACGTTGAGATCGAGACTGGTACCATATTACTTATAACCATCTACATGTTCCAAAAGACGTAACCCTATCATCATCTACACGCTGAAACAAATCATATTTTTTATTTTAGAACGAGTAGAGGGTGATATACATTTATTTTCGAACGTGTAGATGGTGTTACTCCAAAGTACAAGGGAAAAACATTACTTTGGGTAAAAACTTTGTTGTAATTCAATGGAAAGGTCGTAGTTCAAATCATGTTATTATTAATAAAAAAAAACCTCTATACAGACTGCTCAAGAAAGAATATTATTTTTTGTCCAGCTGCTGTTGTGTATCGACGTCCATTCTATCGACTCGATGAAAATCGTATAAAGAATCGAAAAAAAAACGTGGAATCGAATAATATTAAAGACGCTCGCCCGATAATGTCGTGTACCCAATACCACACCCGTGCACAACTGATGAGCATCGAGAACTGTCTACGTGTACCACCTGGCACGGAAAGATAATGATGTCATGATGTGTCGGATCGGTTCGCGGACGAGACTTTCAAGTTCCAATCGACAAATGGATTTTTGGAAAACGTGAAAAATGTCGGCAGGCAAGTAACGAAATAATGCACGTAAATATAAGGCCTGTAGGGGAATAAGTGGATCTCATGACAAGGCATAATGATTACAATTTCGATTTCCAAGAATTCTACGCCGATCCACTGAATTCACCAAAATGATCACGAATGATGACTGGCAAATTTACTATCTGCACTACCAATAGCGCCTACGTGCACACTGCATATCAAGTCATGTTAGTTGTAATTTTGAAAGCACTTTCAAAGAAAATGTGACTTTCCTACCATTTGGTCAGGTGCTGGTTAAATTACTGCAGTCTTTTTTGGACAAATTCACTGCAAATTTTGCCTGAAAAAATACAGCAAAACTTAACACCTTCAATTTTTCCTGGGTATAGCCCCATGGTGATTATCAAGCAAACTTAACAGTCCCAATTTTGATTTCCTCAAAATCAACTTTTCTCCGCAAATAGCATGTATGACCGCTGTGTATTCTGATATACAAGGATGCACTAATTACTTTAAAGCAGCTGGAATTGTTCTATACAAACCGTCTAATGACAGGTGTGTGACCTGCAGGTACAGTGGAGCTCTGTATTCAGTTTTATAGACTCTTTGCATTGCAGCCATCCTTTACTCCTAGAACTATGAGGCTCCACGTAGTGGAGCCTCATAGGTTCAGAAGCCCGCAAAATTGTTGTCAGCACAAAACACTAATTAAGTACAAAAACGTCCATCCCAAGCAGGCCGTTTTTCACAGAACCGCTGCACAGTTTGCCCCTAAACTCCATACAATACCTCATGACATACTCACGTTATGTGCACCCAACAAACATCGGTGGATTCTGTCTGTTTTTCGGCAAAAATGATGAAAAATATGCCCTTTCCGCACTGAGCCAACCTAACACTTGAAACGAGCACGCGTGCAGAATGATCGCAGTCATTTTCGGTTCGATCGCTCGGAGCGCGCCGCGGGGGGTACGTACTTGCACTTGTACGCATGTGCATACTATCGTTCCGCTCCTACACCATACCCCCCGCGGCGCGCTCCGAGCGATCGAACCGAAAATGACTGCGATCATTCTGCACGCGTGCTCGTTTCAAGTGTTAGGTTGGCTCAGTGCAGAAAGGGCATATTTTTCATCATTTTTGCCGAAAAACAGACAGAATCCACCGATGTTTGTTGGGTGCACATAACGTGAGTATGTCATGAGGTATTGTATGGAGTTTAGGGGCAAACTGTGCAGCGGTTCTGTGAAAAACGGCCTGCTTGGGATGGACGTTTTTGTACTTAATTAGTGTTTTGTGCTGACAACAATTTTGCGGGCTTCTGAACCTATGAGGCTCCACTACGTGGAGCCTTATAGTTCTAGGAGTAGCCATCCTTGAGGTGGGTGTGTTTTTGTGGGCGGGGATACGCATGAGTTAGACTCTCTTGTGCATTCATTGTTACTGAATTAAGTTACTCCCCCCCCCCCCCCCCCCCCCAATTTTTCTTTTCATCGGAGAATAATTTGCTCAGTTTTATGTGTGTGACTTAAAGGCAATATACATCATTGGCTTTTACTGTAATTTTCAGAAATGAACTATTTGAGGGGTTAGTATAATAGATCCAATATTGTTACACTGACATGTTTGAAGTTTTGTGTTCGCAAAAGTGCTAGAAAACCAAGAAAAACAAAAATGTTCAAGTAGTCTAGTTCCCTGACTCCACTTAAGATAAAATGGATCAATTTATAGATGCCTGAAAATTGTAAGGTAAGGGAACCAGTCTAGCTGGCCTGCACTCGTTCATGAACATGTAACCAATAGCAAACAAAATTTGAACTGAAAAAAAGGGTAAATTTGGAGCAGGAGTTGAAAAATAGTTTGGTTTTTCCAACGGTGGTCGGCCGACCACCATTGGAAATGTATACAGCAATGCCATTTTCTTGAAAATGACTTCAGACCAGGTGGCATAGATTTACAGGATGCTTTAGACTGTCATTTACTAACATCCTAGGAAAGTATTTCGTAAAAACTTGGTAGCTTTATTTTTCGATGTTTGCAAATGTTGTATATTCCCTTTAAAGCTCCTTCCTACCATTCCCTTTGCACCTGTTTATGTAAAATGGATAAGTGTCACACCCATCTACATTTTGTTGTATTGTTTGCCTTTTTCTTCTGTTGATCAACAGTGAGATAAAGCGTTAAGCAGAGTAACGGCCTCCAGCCACCATGGATTCCTTCATGGCCGCGGCGTCTGATCTGGACTCCATTCTGGACCAGTTTGAGCAGAACGAAGGTCCGTCTGAATTTTTATTTCTCATGTTTCGTTCGCCATACTTTGCAGAAATACTGTCAAGTCTGCATGTGGGCAATTCCATCACTCTGGTCGTTGCATTCGGAGACTTCCCACCAATTTGGAAAACTAAACAAAAATAATTGCAGTGAAAGTGAATTTTATATATTTGGTACCACCTTAGTTTAGGCCTCAATGTATGACATGGTTAACGTAAAGGTATAGTCCATCATTTGTAATTTGTGCAATTTGTTCGTTTGAAGCAACAATAGTGCTCAAATTATAAAGAAGGGTGATGAACAGCTAATCTGATGAAGTTTCAGCTCAGCTTCAGCTGTATATTTGGAGAAAAACAACATTCTAGGATCTCGATTTCAAATCAAAAGTTGCTGAATCATGTTTTGAATTGTTTTGAATTGCAGCTATACGCGATGTCGCGCACTGATCCGACAAATTATAGCAACCGCGCGCGCCTGTGTGTCGTGCCAGTGCTTGCGCGCGCTGCGCCGAATAACAAAACGAACTACTAATTTAAATTTTCCTACGGTGCGTCTTACGACGCACCGTTGGAAAGGCCTCCTTTCGTTGATTACTTCAAAATGATAGCTTGCCAGAAAGATTAATTTCACAGGGAGTTTAGTCCACTTACTATCTTTCAACCAAGTATGTTTTTCAACAATAATACGCCAGTTACTTTTTCAGATGGCTGCAAATGATGGACTATAGCTTTAATGTTAGCTGGTAAAACCTAACTCCCTAGGGGGGTGTGCAAAATCGTATTAAAATTAGAGGATTCAGGACTGTTAGGAAGATATAAGCACTTTAAATGGCTGTTCTGACAAGGGTTTTCACCGTAGAGCTATATTAAATTAATAGAGCGCTGACTCGATGTACAAAGTGATGCCTGCTGGGCGCGTCCATGTTTGTGCACAAAACCTACGGAAAACTCGAAATTTTGTATGGCTTGTTTATGGCTATTTGCATATCTGCGTTTGTATTCTATAAATGCAGGTTCGTTATCGAAGCCGGTACGCCCAAAACCGAAAAGCACAATCAGTAAATGAGAGGTTTATTTTGGCTCTGTGCAAAAAACGCTTTAATCGTCAAGACGCACTTAAGTTGTTTGTGTATGTTGTACTTGCGTGTTGCATTTAGAGTACACTTTCAAAAGTCACTCCATCTTAATGTTCTACAAACATACGTCAAAATGTCTCTGCCCAAGATGGCTTCAAATTATCTCCATGCGTAAGAATGAGGAGTATGCGCTCTAGTTCTATGATTTTCACTCTCAGTACGCATTGATAAAAGTCTGTGAATTTTTTTGCAAGAATTTATTGAAATAACAATGTGGTAGATGTAGCTTCACTCCATACAAACACCCATGACATTTTCCAAAAAAAGCTCCTTTTATGTTATGGAAACATCATGTTGTTTTACGGATGTTAGATTATAACGTTACCAACGGGACGTTATTTACTGGGTTGGAATCGACAGAATACGTGTTATTAGGGAACATGATACATGCGTGTTTATCAGTTCAATCCAGTTAGCCGTGTCATGCGTGACTAATAATGCGGTAACCATTTGGCCTTCATGCTTGAGTTGCTATATTGGAAAGGGAGTGTAGGACATTATGAATTGGTGACAGGTAGGGAAAGGTTATGACAATGAGTTCCAAATAACTATTATTCATAAATACCTAAGACAGTTTACGCATTCCTATTGGTCGAGAGCCCGTCACGTGGCCGGTCTTAAACGGATGATAAAGACATGGCTAGCTGGTCTTAAACACTTTTCCAGTGTCACAATAAAATGTGGACTCCTAAAAATCCAGTGCCTCTTATCGTTTTATTGGTTGAACGTACACAATCCTCATGTAGGCATGCGCAACACTACCAGGGAGTCAGAATTTTATAGTTCTAAATTCAAAATGCAACGTGCCAGGTGCGTTCTGCGCGACATCGCGCAGAACATGATATGCGCGCGTCAATCTCCATAAAAGGGTTGTTTACATCTTACTCGCCAGCTGAACACTCCATTATTTTGCAAGAGGGATGTTTCAAAAAGCATAAAGTGAATTTGTTGAACAAAATCGGGATGTTTTGAACGAATTTTATGATTTTTTTTCACCGAAAAGGTATTTATGAATGGGAATAAATATGTGCTCCGTCGGTATTTATCACTCTGTTTAATACCGCTTAGAGTCTGGGTGCTGATAATTACCCTCGCCTCCGGCTTGGGTAATTATCAGCACCCAGACTCTAAGTGGTCTTAAACAGAGTGATTAAAACCTCCGGAGCACACATTTATTCCCTTAGTAATGACATGTCCGTGTTTGCGTACATGTGACGTTCTGATGAGAGTTTTAAAGGTAATATACAACACTTGCTTTTGCTGTGATTTTCAGAAATATGGATGGATTTGGGAGTTAGTATTTTATAGCAAATATTGTTACATTGACCTGTTTAAAGTTTTGTGTTGATACTAGACCCTACTTAAGACGAAACGGAGCAATTAATAGACGTCGGGGAATTGTCATGTCCGGGAACTAGACTAGCTGGTAAATTGGGGGCAGTATTTGAAAAAAAGATTTTTTTTCCAAACCATGGCCGGCCGACCGTCGTTGGAAATTGATACAAAAATTCCGTTTTTCTGACATCACACCAATCATTTCACAGGATGTTTTGAGGCTGTTGTCATTATTTTGGTTTTGTAGTCGTGAACATAAAAGATGCCAATTGTTTTCCTTAAAAACACTTTTATTCAACAATTTTTATACTATTTCTTTAAAATATGTGTAGTAGTCTTATCAGAGAATACAAATATCAATCAATCTGAAAATCTCCCCACAAAATAAATAACTCCTATTTTTTAATTGCACTTTTCTCCACTACTGCTTGTGCCCAATTAGCCTCACATATATTCATCATAAACGATGAATTGATGTGGTTTGTTTTTTTCTTTTTCTGGATAGACTCAACCTTTGTGATGCAACCAGAGCCCGTGCCCATCGGCAAACCGACGCTGCAAACCTACCGGACCCCCAACTCCACCCAGGTAGTGAACGGCGGCAACGGGTACCGCACAAGCCAGGAGACGGGTGGATACAGCTCTGTGGATAACAGTAGCCTAAGCAGCAGCCAAACCACGGTACAACATGAACCCAATTCGACCGACTTCCTGCTGGATCTGTCCGAGGCCGACTTTGCGCCGGCGGCCCCGCAGACACTGTCTCTAAACTCCCTGGGGATCACGTCGGACTCTTACCAGCCAGCGTCAACTTACGCTGTGCAGAGTGTTGTGAGTGCCCCAAACCAGTCAACCAGCTTGGATGGAGGTAATCCGGGTGTGCCCACCCACACGAGTAGAACTGACTACTCTGGAGAGCCTCTCTCTCAAACGAACGAGACAGTCACTTCTCCCACTCCCCCAGTCAGTTCTGCATGGGTCGTGGGTGGTATCCCTTCAACTGCAGACACAGGATCACTCATGCCGTCGGTTGCTGAGCCGCACGTCTTGGGAAATTCTGATCAGGTTCGTTCCGGCTCGCCATCACATGGCTTTCCTAGTGCAACTGTGAGTTTCGGAAACACTGATGCAAAAGGAGCCCAACCCAGTGCTGTGAGCCAACCGTCGCAAAATGAAACAGGACGGGGAACACCACCTGTGTCAGGCAACTCACTGAGCATGGACCAGTCGCCGAGGAAAGAAGGGGACATCCAGAAAGAATCGGATGTAAGCACAGAAAAGCAGGATCCCAAATCCGGTGCGACCGAATCCAATGAATCTGAGGTAAAGCCCCTTAGCACAGCCTTGATCCCAGCGCCGCTAAGACCTGAGCTCATGCACGAATACGTCAAACAAGGAGCAAGACCTAAGATCATCACCAACCTTAAAACCCCGGATAGTCCAGTGAAGGCTGTCAACGAAACAGCAACAACCCCATCAAAGTCAAACAAAGGAGTCGGACAACCAAAGCCCACTGTGGGCTTTGGAAACATTGCGAGTGTCAAAGTAACGGATGCTGATCTTGAAGCATTAGAAAAAGAAGTTGGCATCATGCCGATGCAAGACAAAGGCAAACCTGTCACTCAGCCTGTACATCAGCCACAAGGAAAGCCCGGCCATCTGAACATTGACGACTTGAGCGTGCCAGGAGATAGGGTCAGCCCTGTGTCCAAGCTCCTCAATGAGCAATACACCAAGTCACGGCACCAGGAGCCCGCCTTGCAACAGGGCAACGAGCTGGCTGGCTTGGATCCCTTCTTCAGCCAGAATGGCTCGACATCCAGGCCGGATGCGCTGGTGTCTGCCGTCCCAAGCACACATCTACTTGATGCATCTCCAGTTCCCCAGTCGGGCATCTCTCCCACAAACCCTTCACTAACAGCAATACCCGCAGATCCCTCACCGCAAAGCAGCACCAAAGAAACCGCTCTTCCCAATGATGTGCTCAGTAAAAATGCCAAAAATCTCCTGCGGAACAACCAGGCATTGCCTGGTAGGCAGCCTTACGGAAGCAGCCAAGTAGAAGACCCATCAACTCAGATCAACAATAGCAACTCCCAAATTCGGGCATCCAAAATACCAGTCAGCGGAGGACAAGTGCTTACTACCTCCCAGGCCGACCTTCAAGGAGTGCCCCCTGCAGTGTCTGCAATAGCGGGGACCCAAGGAGTCCAACCTAGACCTCAACCAGACATCAGTTCTTTGGATCCCATCCCCAAGAGCAACACTAATGCCAACCAGCAAAGAAACCTGGCTTATCCGGCAGGGTTTCCTGCCCCGACACCTGGCACTAGGAGTTCCACAGACCAACGGCAGCCGCAAGGAACTGCCCCAACTCCTTCTTTCTTGCCGGCTGACCCGCCAAGCTATCAAGACGTCAGGAATGCAATGGGAAGTGAGACAGAAAGAAGATCAGATGGCCTTCGGCAGGGACTGAGCCTGAATTTTGACCAAGCGGGCCCACGTAAGGTGGCCCATGCGCTGCCCCCGAGCCCCATCGTCGAAGATATCCGGGGAAGAGATGATGCATTCGGCGCGCCTGTCCAGAACTCGACGTCTGAAAACCTGCACCCGACTCGGGTAGACATTACCCAGCAGCAATCATTCCAACCTCCACCCCAGGTCCAGCAACCCCCGGCCGACGTCAACCCGCCGGCGTTAGTCGCGGCTCCCAACGTTGTCGCCCAAAACAACCTGTTCCCGGACAATGACTCCATCACGCCATCCAATGAGACCGACTCCGAAGAAGGGGAGTTTAGTAGACGGGTGATGGACTATTCCGAGGGCGTCATGCAGCTAGGGGCTGTGGCGCCAGTCTGGGTACCAGATGCAGAAGCCCTGAACTGCATGAATTGTCAACAGAAGTTCACTTTTCGGAAGAGGAGACATCATTGTAGAGCATGTGGCAAAGTAAGATCAAACACAATATTATTTATATCAAAAATTAATCTGTTGGTAGTCTAGAGAACTCTTTGTCGTGATTCCACTCCCATGTTAGAGAGTAATGGTAGGGGTGGGGCCCAATTTGGGGGGGGGGGGGTTAAGGAAACACTCACACTTACCCTCTCTACCACCTACAGTTTGTGTTTGCTACTTTACTCCATGTAGGGGTATCAGCACATGTTTTATTGCCTGGTTTGTAATTGTTTTTGAAGGTTTTCTGTGCCAAGTGCTGTTCTATGCGTCTGAAATTGAAGTACATGGAGAGCAAGGAGGCCAGAGTCTGTATCAGCTGTCTCAACGTCATCCTAAGAGGTAAGGCTTGTTGCAAAGCACCATACAGAAAGTGCACTGAATTCGGTACAATTTCTTCCCCTGTTTTAGGTAAAAAAGGGTAAAGGGGGACGAACCTGTGTTCACAGGAACGGAGTGCCCGTCTCTCTTTCGGAGCGATTGGGCCAGACTCGAGTCCATGAAATGCTGCTGTGGAGGGATCGCCACACCTCCTCCATAGCAAGTCTGTTGCCTTCCCAGCAATGAACAATGTTGGTGCCCATTTAACACCTGGGTTGAGAGGAGTAATTGAGGTAAAGCGCCTTACTCAAGGGCACAGCACGCATGGCCACGGCGGGGCTCAAACCCACAATTTCACAATCATGAATCCTGTGCCCTTACCGCAAGCCCACACGTGACCACGAATTAAGGCTTGTTGCGAAGCACTATGCCTGTTTTTCCCGATTTCAATCCCATCCTTCAGGGAGTTTTGGTCCCCGGTGACCCATGATGAGGAAAAAAAGTGTCTTGCTACAGGCTTAAGTTTGATTCTCCCCATTTGTTTTGATTTGCGGATCCATCTGTTCAACCCAATACATTTTTATGTCGCCCAACTGAATGTTTCGGGAGACACCTACGCGTCCTAAATTCTATATGTCGGTTGTCCGTGTGTTAAAGGTTATGCTAAAGTTTTTCAAATTACTCTCATTGCCTAAGTACATTTCCAGAATTCCATGACACTTTGACACAAAGGTCATTGAGTACCAAAGACATTGTGGAATATATTTCAGGTCAAAAGTCATAGATCAAAGGTCAAATGAGGTCAATTATATGATGCAATTCACAGAAGGTTAGGTTCCGTTTTTGACACAAATGTATAACTTAATACATTCTTGCTTTCATAGATTGGATGAAAATTGGATGGAGTGACCCTTGGGTGGGAAGCCACAATTCTTCATGTGATTACTGAGGTCAAAGGTCAATAGAGGTCATGTTCAAATATGCTTCCAATGTTTCTTTGTCCATAGAACTTGATGGATTTTCATATAATTTTCAGGGAGTGTTCCTTGGGTGGGGGTTCATCACAATACTTTCTGAAACGTGGAGGTCAAAGGTCATTTCGCATCGTTGTTTAAAAATGCACAAATTTTGACATTTTTTAAACACAAAACATAAGGATGTGCATCGACCGCGGAAAAGGGTGACACATGCGGTCCACGAACCACTTGTTTTGAGTATGAGCACAGAAACTAAATACCCAAGAATGATTTCTTTAAAGATATAGTCCATCATTTGTAATTTGTGCATTTTGTTCGTTTGAAGCAACAAAAGTGCTCAAAATCTACAGAAGGGTACTGAACAACTATTCTGATGAAGTTTAAGCTCAGCTTCAGCTGTATATTCCGAGAAAAACAGCATTCTAGGATCTCAATTTCAAATCAAAAGTTGCTGAATCATGTTTTGAATTGGGCCTGAATTCAGTGTCAGAGACACGTTCTCACTGAGCCGATTGCAGCTACGCGATGTCGCGCACTGATCCAACGAATTATAGCAACCACGTCTTAAGACGCACCGTTCGAAAGGCCTTCTTTCGTTGATTACTTCAAAATGACAGCTTGCCAGAAAGAATAATTTCACAGGGAGTTTAGTCCCCTTACTATCTTTCAACCAAGTATGTTTTTCAACAAAAATTACACCAGTTACTTTTCGGATAGCTGCAAATGATGGACTATAGCTTTAACCCTGAGAATGCGACTGGTTAAATTTTGATGTCTGTGACTTCAGCGCAAGCTCTTCAGCGGACCCAGGTGGAGAACAATCCAGTTGCAGAGCCCATACCGCCCCCCTCGCAGGACCCAGACAACCTCAGCAACATCAGCAATACCAGCGAAAGCCTGGCGGCCGGGAACATTGGGAACAGATCCTCACTCCGCCGACCGAGCTCTGACGGTGAGCAAAATAGTAACAAGCAGTGTCGTAACTGGGGTCCGATTCACAGGGGGCACTAATAGGGGGTTTCATTGACGGAAGGGGGCACTCAATGGGCTTTGAACAGTAAAAAGTTGCATTTTTGCCTTCCTCAAATTTGGTGGGGTGGGGGGCTAGATAGGTTACTGGCTTTGAGTACACCCCCATTCCACCCCTTCCCCCCTTTTATTTACCCCACAGGAATCAAGATTTCTTTTTTAGATGATGCAGTTTGCAAAATAACCTTTAATCCTAACTCCTGCCCTTTTGGCTAGAAACCATTTTGAGTACTTCAAAATTCTTGAATTGCTATCGTTTTAAAAATTGGATTCAGCCCCCATCCTCCAAAATCATCCGTTTTTTTCTTGAATTTGTTCAGTGGAGGGTTGACCATTGCCTCAATCCTTCAAAATCCCCCGACAATCACTGTTATTAGGGGGTTGGGGCAGTGCCGATGGCATTCAGAAGCAGTGCGGATGATATCGAGTACAATGCAGGGCTCAATTATGCATGACTGAGCGTAGACAATGCAGGGTTAAGCCAATGTACTCGACACAATGCATCCTCCAAAATGAACCGACACTATTTTTCCATTCATTCTCAATCTTCCAAAATCCTCCAAAACTGCCTGGAGGATTTTGGAGGATTGAGGAAGGTTGGGGTTAAAGCTGTTTCAGACAACATGTGAATGTGTACGTGAGACAGTTTCAATATAAAAACATTCTCAGCAAAATTTTGAGCACGAAAAATGGCCTTGACATGGTTAAAGTGATAGATTTTGAGAAAACAGGTTTAAAATCTGATGTCTCTTTACTGGAGCTATTTCAAAATTAAATGTTTATCAGTTCATACAGTTTGGTATGGAGGCTTTAGAAAAAACATTACAAAAATACCAGCTGTTCAAAAAAAAGCTCTGTGTCAGTTTTGGTTAGGTATAATAAAACTTGACCTGCAAATGCAATTCACAGATTGCATCAGATTGCAGGGATTGCGTGACATCATTTTGGTTGATGGTAAACAACCTATATATCTTCCTCGTAGGCTCGCGTCCCAAAGAAACACGCAAAGTTCGTTTCTCCGACGGCCTCAACCCGGGCGTTGAGCAACCGACCCAAGACGCAGTCGTCATGGGCGGTCCGACCCCCGTCGGGATCGAGGTTGGCGGCGTGCCTCCATATGCAATAGAAGGCAGACCCAGGGGCCTTGGGGATGCCTCAGCGTCCAGCCTTATCCCTGGGAATGAGGAAGGATTGCCTCCCGTCATTGTCGCTTCAGACGCCAGAGGAGGTAAGCTATTCCCAAGAAAGATGAACCTTAGACAAGAGACCTGACCGGATTGCCGTTCCGGTGCTCTACCAACAGAGCTATCAAGCCCTATGCTGGTGGTTCCCCTTCATGTCATTGTCTTTGTTCAAGGGGCGCTAGTCAGAAGCCGTAAACCATATGCCATGTAGCCAGGGATCACGTCTGAAGTCACGATGCTAGAGCAACATTAGCAATGCTGCCAAACGGAGAAATAGCAAACGGGTATCACACAGAGAGGATACGGCTTTTCATTGCAAATTTCAAATAAACCACTAAGGGAAACTGACAAGGTGCATTCTAATAATTCTTTCAAAGTTGAACAAAGAAATTGACTGGAGTGGTGTTTGAACCTGCGACCTGCGGATTGCTGATCCGGTGCTCTACCAACTGAGCTATCCAGCCCTATGTTGGCGGTTCCCCAATTTGTCAATATCCTTGTTCAAGGGGTGCTAGTCAGAAGCAATAAACCCGTATATGCCATGTAGCCAGTGATCACGCCCGATATTAAAAAAATGTTGATCCTTACGTCATAGCTAGCTTTGACAAGCTTAGGACAAGCTGGCTTTTTTTCACACTCTCAATCCACCGTAAGAGATGTGAGGCTGTATTCAGACTAGATTAATTCATTATCCCTTGTTTTGCCCCAAAGTGCCCTGCCTTATACCGCCCCAATCCGCCCTGCACTCTGTGGTTTCATGGATTCATTAAGGAGTAAATACAATGTAGTACAATGTTATACAAGTGTTAATGTGTTGACTCTTTCTCTACGAAACCCTCCACGACACTTTGATATTTGCCTTAACTTGCAGAACAGTTCATTGTTTTAAGAAAGTCGTTTGCTCTATTTTGACTTTTCTCTTTCAGAATTCAGTGTAAGGCCGAACCCTAATGCTGATGAGCTTATACAAGAAATGAAAAGTAAGTATAATGTTGTACGTAGGGTTTGATCATGGAACATACTGTGGTGTTAAAGTGTTGCAATTAAGGGAAAACCCTGTGGATTTTACCGAAGCTGTTTTTCAAAAATATTCAAAATATTTCCTGAGCAAGCAAATGCATATATATTTTTTATTAAAAAAAAAATAATATAATGCGCATTCATTACATGTGCTTTGTGATATTTCTTTTCCAGACGCAAGTGCTCTACCTGTGGTATTCGCTTTGAATAGAAACCTGCTAGTCCGAACAAAGATCTTGGATTGTAAGTATTGGATGCCTGCTTTTCACTCCTTAATTCCTGCACTTGGGATATCGCGGGTTTTTTTTTTTCCCCCTTGCATTTTTTTTTACCCCTTGCGTTGAGTCAAAGTATTTGACATCTGGGCCCCCATTTTTGCGCAAGTTGTGTGAAACTGGAAATGGCTCTGCCATGATCAAATTGAAGCGGCTTAGAAGAATGTTTTGTTGTTGTTGATTTGAATCATTAAAATAGAAATTTAGAAATTGGAAATTTGGTGCCAAGTGAAACGAGGTTGTCCGTGCTATTAGTGGAAAGTATGTTTAATTTTGGGATATAAACGGTAAAAAAATACAGTGTGGGCAAAATTGATGTAGACTCTTGACAGACTTTACTTTTCCCTTTTTATCACCCTGGCTTTCAAGCTAGACAGGGGGTAGTCCGTGTCCGTGTGTGTGTCCCGTGTGTGTGTCTGGTTAAGTGATTGGACTCAGGCGAACAGTGCAAGTGACAGGCCGTGTATGTTGAAGTCAATATAAATACACTAGGCCAGCTCACTGGTCCCTAGAAACACCGCGGCTACCGAGCTCCAATGGATGCTTTATGTCACTGTGTTTCTCTAGTGTCATGAAAGTTATTGTTTCGTATTATAGTAAACAGCCTCTTTATAGCTTCACAGTTGTGGACTAGCACAGCTGCCCACCCATTTCTTTGCTAATCCCTGTTCCTTTTAGTCCATACTAACTGCCTGTGCCAGGGGACCGCGAAAGTTTTACTTGCAGTATATATTTTACGAGAAATGAAAGAGTTGATGATTTAATGGGCCGTTTCCTTTTCATCTAACAGTGAACTGCTGCGTGAACAGAACCTGCTGGTGTTTCTCCACCAAGGGCATGGCCACGGTGGGGCAGGACGAGATCGTCATCGTCTTGGAGTGTCTACCGGACGAGAAGGCGATCCCTAAGGATATCTTCCATCATCTCCAGTCCCTGTATGAGCAGGCGTCTAGAGGTAACGGACCCTTCCACCCTGCCAATCAAACATGCGCACATTGACCAATTAGATTGTGGCGTTTGGTCAGGTGATCACGGTAGCTGGGTCAAATTCGGTCACAAGAACTGTGAGAAATGTCTACAAATCAGAGGTGGGCGGGGCTTATGATCAAACCATAGAGCTATATTAAATTACTAGAGCGCTGACTCGATGTACAAAGTGATGCCTGCTGGGCGCATCCGTGTTTGTGCACAAACCTATGGAAAACTCAAAATTTTGTTAAGCTTTTGTGCGGCTATTTGCATATCTGCATTTGTATTCTATACCGGTGCGTTATCAAAGCCAATACGCCCAAAACTGAAACGCACAATCAGTGAAGAGCGTTTTATTTTGCTCAGTGCAGATGACTGCAGATGATTTTCGCTGTGACATTTTTAACCATCATAACGCGCTAAGTTGTTTGCGTGTGTTGTTCTTGCGCATTGTATTTAGTGTACACTTTCAAAATTTACTTCATCTAATTTCATTATGTTCTACAAACAGGCACATAAGTTCAAAATGTCTGTGCGCAGGATGGCTTCAAAGTGTCTCTGTGCGTAAGAATTAGGAGTTAGCACTCTAGTTATGTAATATACATTATAGCTCTTTTGGTCAAACCCAGAATGGTCTGTTCACCCTGAAACTATCAGACCCTTCAGAAACAACCAGCTGGCCATATGTTGTGTCCTTGGGCAAGTCACTTTACCCATACTCGCCTCTCTTACCCAGGAGTATACAGGCATGCAACTTTTTCCCAGATCAGCTGATTTCCTCTTTTTTCACTTCCCATGTGTGCCATTGAAAATAGAAAAACACTGTACAAAGTCTTGGAAAGATTTGAAAGATTTTTGTGACTTCCCAGTTGCATGCCTGAGTATAAATGGGAACCGCGGGTGGCCAGAGAGTAACCTGTGATGGACTGGCATCCCATCCGGGGTTTGAGAGAAATAGAAATATAAGAGATAAACGCTGGCTTCATGAGCCATGTTGGCTCGGAATAGACTTTACTACTTCCTGTTCAATAGTTATTTCTCCTCCAGTCTGAGCCCTGGCACACTTTCATGAAACTGCTTAGAATTTTGCACGGCAGACAGGGTACCGCACATGTCCAATTTCAGCTTCAGGATTCCAACTTACAAAACTGCCAGGGGTGTTTGGGCTAAATCCTTGAATTGTCGATATTTTTGTTGTCACCAGGTACGACGGTATCCCACATGGGCCACAGTCTCTTCAGTCAGAGTTTCCTGGGCGGTCGCGAGCATGGAGGCTTCCTCTACCTGCGACCGTCCTTCCAGTGTCTGGCCAAGCTGTTACTCCCAGAGCCGCCTTACCTCTTCGCCATCCTGCTGCAGAAGTGGGAGACCCCCTGGGCTAAAGTCTTCCCCCTGCGGCTGTTGCTGAGGCTGGGAGCGGAGTTCAGATGTAAGTATGGAACACCACTGAAACCGTACTTTTACTATCTACTTGTCTTTACATGAAACCCATTAACCCTAACTCCCCAGCCTAATTTACTAGGAACCATACCCGTTCTGGCAAATTCCAACACCCACATGGGAAATCGTACACACACACACTGTTGGACTTAGTTTCTGGAGGTATGCCAACCCCAGTGTAAAAGACCATCTGTTTAGGGGTACTGTACCTATCCCAACAGATTTAAACACAAACCTGCTGTTGAACTTTGATGGGTTGAGTTCGGTTAGGGTTAATTCTATTTGTGATACATTGGTTCAAGTAATGTGTGCCCTCAATGGTGAAAATGTAGCATCTAGGTTTCACAATTATCCTGGAAAACTTAATTTGCTGTAGTCTTCAGAAAAAGAAATGGAAGAGTGCTTTCCCACCTTTTGATTTCAAAGCCCTGGGAAAACTCACTGAAAACCATTTTTTTGTTGTCTTATAACAAAAAATGTATATTTTGGGAACTAAAGTTGCCACGATGCTGCAGGATATCTGCATTTGTTCCATGCGTGTACAGTACCCGGACTCATGCATGGTAATAATACGTAACCCTTTGTATTTCTTGCCAGACTATCCTTGCCCGTTGATGAGTGTGCGTTTCCGCAAGCCGGTCTTTGGGGAGATTGGACACACCATTATGAACCTTCTGGCTGTAAGTCGGTCATTAACGTTTTCTCAACCACTTGCATTAAAAGATTTTTAAATTTATCTTTTATCCATAAGCATCTGTATTACATTGTAAAGGGTGAGTAAAAAAAGCGGGACCCAAACCCCAAAAATATATTTCATATTTAAAAAAATATGTAGCACCAAAAATAAAAGTGATTGGAAAGCCAATCTCATAAAATATTTTAGATGAAAAAATTACTGAAATTGCTCAATCTGTTCAAAGAATATAAACGCAATGACTCTAAAACCTTTTTCGTTCATGAAAAGCAATATATTGTGCGTTCTGACTGTTTGGAACAACAAAGAAAATGACACAGAATACTTGTTTCAACAACTGTCAACAGCTGTAGTACACAATATCTTTATTAACAACCCTGCTTAGACAAACAATATGATTTATAAAATCCACTTTTTTTTCACAAGACGGGCCTTCAAAAGGACTTTGTTGAAAATTTGTAACTTTTAAGCTGAGCTTTTACGGCTGGTGATGTTTGAAGACGATTATTGATTTAAAATCAAGTGGGCTAATTCGTATTTTGGCAGTTTGGTTTTTGAGTGTTTGCAAATGATCCTATGTGCCTTTAAACCTTTCTGAATCATTAAGAAATCACCAAGTTTTAGAAGATTGTGTAGGATTGAAGAAAGTACAGTCACTATTACTTTACATGGGGCTTGCAAGAGGAAAGTAAAAACAGTGTGCCGTTTGGTTTGTTCATTATGGAGTATTTTTGAGGTTTCAGGAAAGTCCCTGGCAAAAACAAAACAAAAAAACAGCCTCAAGAGTTTAGAATAAATCCTCCCATAATTGGATCATGCAAAACCTTAAATGCTATTGAAAGTCACTCAACCAAGTCAAATTCAAAATTTGCATCGTTGGACAAATTTTCAGGAGCACCTTTGTAAATGAGTTTCATTTCAGTAATTTTGAGATGTCGTTTTAGTCAGTATCTTGATTATCTTCCGGAGAAGTGTTCAGCATCCTAGTCTTGTTTTTTTTTTTCCGTGTCAGGATTTCAAGAACTACCAGTACAAGTTGCCAGTTATCCCCGGCATAGTCATCCACATGCAGGACCGGGAAACGCTGATCCAGATACCAAGAAACAGATACAATGAGGTACAGTGATTTGTTATTATTTTTATATTACTAAACGTACCATTAGGGAGACACCTTAGGCCAAAAAAAAAAATATTCGGTCTCTGGTCAGACCAAAGTTCCGGAATTGACGCGGCGATGCGGGTTTTTTTTTTTTTTTTTTTTTTTTTTTTTTCTTCAAGCTTGGATTGTACAGACAAGGTGGGGTACTATTTTGCTTTTTTTGGTGTCCTCATGTACATTGGTGTCCTCCATAATTTGCCTTGGTGCTTTCGATCATTTGCCTTGGTGCAATTTCCCATTCTTTGGTGCTCTTTGGTAAAACAAATTGAGGAGGTGCGGAAATAGAGGGCGCTGTTGGAGCTACCGCGGAACATTTTGGGGAAAAAAAGATCGACGCGCATGATTAAAATCGACGCGCGCTGACCAGAGACCGACTTATTTTTCTTTTTGGCCTTATCGTTATTTTTTTCGATAATAGGGAGACACCGGCTTTTAGGGAGACACATAACTGTCTCCCTAATGGCACAGCCCTCCTTTAGAGGCAACATTTTACTGTTGCAATTAAGTTATATTTGTTGCTCGTGGTCTAATTCTTGGAAAAAGGACAAGCGAAAATTGGGTTAGGGCACATTTAAGTTGGAAACATTTTTGTGCACAAGTCTATGGGAAAGTCTCCCTAATGACCCATTCCTGGTAATTATTATTATTACTATTATTATTTATGTTTGGTAATGAAACCAAGGATTCCTCCAAAGCGCCCTTGGCACTGTAAGCTCGCAAGCATGAAGAAACCTGTAGAGGGAAGACATTGAGAATAATTACAGTTTTTAGAGGTGGGAGGAAAACCCCAGAAGAGTATTCTGGGGAAACCCAGGGCATCAGGTAGCGAAATTCAAATGTGACCAGGGCAGAAATCGAACCCGGACCACAGCTGTGGAAGAACCGCTGCACCGCACTTGAGTGATGTGTTGAGTGATGTGTAAATTGTTGCCTTGTTCGTGCTTTTGTGCTTGTTTTCATGAATAGATAACAGAAAATCTGAATTTTGACAAATTTGAGGGATTATTAGTACTGACAAGTGGTTATATTTCACGGGGATATCACAGGTTATGAAGGTGGTGAACAACTCCAACGAGCACGTGATGGCCATCGCCGCCAACTTCAGCTCGGAGTCAGACTCCCATCTCGTGTGCATCCAGAACGACGAAGGCACCTACCACACCCAGGCAATCAGCATACAGAACAAACCAAGGAAGGGTGGGTACCAGACCAAAACTAGTGTAGACAGTCGGGTACCAGACCAAAATAGTTTTAGGAGTGACTCCAGTGGACTTGGTCTCGGACAGCAGAAGGGTATGTATGAATTTCACATTGACTAGACCCTGGAGTTCAATGAATGCCATGGTACGGTGTTTGACTCATGTACGATGGTGCATGGGTTCGAACCCCGCCAGGAACTTGGTGTTTGTGCCCTTGGGCAAGACACTTAACTACAATTGCCTCTCTCCACCCAGGAGTATGAATGGGTACCTGTGAGGGTAGAGGAACGAATGTGCGCTGATATCGGCTACCGCGTGGTCCCATGGCCTGATGAACGGGGAATATCTGTAAAGCGCTTTGAGATTGTTGATACGATGGAAAGTGCTATATAAGCGTTACAATTTATTTATTTATGAATGACTGCAAGAGTTGATCTTTTCTTACTTTGGTCTGTTTATTACCAGTAAGGTCTCAAATCCATGCGTCCGTTTTCGATGTGTGTAATATGCGCTGTGCGTTTACCCGTTGCGTATCCGTGCTTCGTACTCGAAAAATCCATGTGTCGAATTTCCCTGCACACTTGACAGACGTTAAAGCTCAAATAGAAAGCGCGCAGCAGTTTTGCGAGTAGAAAATTCAACCCTCAATCAAATTTGGATTAGCTTTGGCAAAGTACACATTTTAGGAAATAAACATTGACAAGATTATAACTTCTATCATGTGGAAAGTCAGACTTCATCCTCAACCAAACTTGCTGACAACAATCTTTGGGTAGGGGACTTAAAGGGAAAATACAACATTTGCAAACATCAAAATATAAAACTACCAAATCATTTTGAAATACCTTGCTGGACTGTTAGTGAATGACAGTGTAAAGCATCCTGTAAAATCATGGCACCTGGTATACTATCATTTTCAAGAAAAGTGGTATTTTTGTATCAATTTCCAACGCTGGTCGGCCGACCAGCGTTGGAAAAAACTGGCTTTTTTTTTCAAATACTGGCCCCAATTGAACATCGCACTTGTTTGCAATCGATTACACACCTATGAACGGGTACAAGCCAGCTAGACTGGTTCCCTGACCTTACAATTCCCCAATGTATGTAAACTGCTCTGTTTTTTCTTATATGGAGTCAGGGAACCAGACTACAGGAAAATGATTGTTTTTCTTGGTTTTTATAGCATTTTCGAACCCAAAACCTCAAAAAAGTCAGTGTAACTATATTTGCTATATATTTCCAACCCCCCAATTCCATACATTTCTGAAAATTACAGCAAAAGCAAATGATGTATATTCCCTTTAAGATGATTTGAGACATTTGAGGTCAGAGGTCATCTAGGGGTCAAAATGAGGTCATTGTTGATTTTGTTCAGATCAACTGAAAAGTGTGCTTACTAACGTACTGTATAAATACTAACCAGCATGCCAGGGGGATCGCGCGAGTTTACATATAACTTGCAGTATTTTTCCAATTTGTTATCATTCAACAGTTACCGGAGCCAGCTTTGTTGTCTTCAACGGCGCCCTGAAGACCACCTCGGGCCTGACGGCCAAATCCAGCATCGTGGAGGACGGCTTGATGATTCAGATCCTGCCAGAGACCATGGCAGCGCTGCGTCAGGCCCTGCGTGACATGCTGGACCTGCCCATACCCTGCGGGGCGTTGCAGGCCGAGCAGCCCGACGAAACAGTGACCGTCAAATGGGTGGACGACGACAAGACTATCAATATGGGGTGAGTGTCTGATCGATTTTCCCTGCCCCCTTGTTTTTAAGCACAAATAGGTCTTGTTACGATAATGGCGCCCTCTTGTGTAACATTTAGTTAGTCCATACATGAGGTCACTAGCATGACTAGAGCTAGACCGAGAACTGGAGCATGACCCTAAATTCTTAAATGAAAGTATCTAAAGAACTGTCTCTGTGTCATTCAACTATATCATTTATTGATCTCAGGCTCAAAGTACTCTCCAAAAGAATAGTTAACGAAAAAGGTCTTCTTATCCTTTTAGGTAAAATATGCTTTGTAAACAGTTTAATAGTTTAAATGTATGTCTTGCCGTGACAGGGGTAGCCTGTTGTTTGTTCTGATGGTGTTAAATGTTACCTTTGATACCCTGAGACCCAGGTGAAGTTCTATACTGAATTTTAAAAAAAAAAATTGGGGGGGGGGGGCAAGCCGGGCGGGGTGGGTAAAAACCTGGTCAGTGAATTGTGGAAAATGTGTGGAGATTTCTAGAAAAAAAATTTGAGGTGGGAAAGTTTTTTTTTTTGGGGGGGGAGTTTTGGAAAATTGAATTTTTTATTTGGGGGGGGGGGGGTGGAAAGTTTGGCTTTATGTGTTTTTTAATCTCTCACCAGTCAAATTCCAATTCATTTTCTTAATATTTTAATTTTTCCTTAATATTTGTTGGTATCAACTTCAAGATTTTTATCGTGAACAGATTATGTTTTCATGAATTAGACTTTTTCTACACATTTTTAGGAGCATCGCTTTAATAAGTGCTAAGATTTTTAGCGCTAAAAAACCCCAATGTTTTCATGTCCTCTTTTGGTGTATTTTTAATCATACATTTGTTTTTATTGACTTTGATGAATTTTTTTTTGTCTACTGAATCAATTCTTTTATCGTATTTCAATGTTTACTTTTTTTATTGCAAATTTTTGCTAAATGTTGTGATGTTGAATTTTTTTCCGTCATCTACCCCAATTCGGCCTTCGGGCCCCGATGGTAGATTTTTATAATAAACCAAAACGAACGAATAAATGAATGAATGGGATAACATTAAGATAAAATGAATATAAAATTATGGTCCGAAGAGAGAGATGGCACTACAGACTAAACTTTTTCTAGATTTGTGGTAACATAAACTTGAATCTTGCCTCCTTCTTTGTTTCTTCAGTGTCGTGAGCCCCATCGACCGTCGCTCCTTGGAAGGCGTGGACAGCATCCGCATCCACAACGGCACCGACTTCCGGGGCCGGTCCCACTCCCTGCGCTGGACCGAGGTCTTCTTCCTGGAGAGCAACGAGTCGCCCGTGGACCTGAGCCGGCTGGCCGAGATGCTGTCCTCGGCGTTCTGCGTGGCCATGACGGGCCAGCTGGATGAGCTGAAGGAGGCTGGCATGGTCATGCTGGCACTGCGGGTGACCGTGGACTCGGATAATGTAAGATTTTATCGACAGAAAATAATAGCGGATGTATAATAGTCTACATATCAACCACAGGTGCTCACAGCATGGTACGCAGTTGTTATGATTGTTACCCCTGATAACCAGGCCAATAGAAACATTCCCATAGATTGCAACTTCCTTGGAAGATGACAGCTCGATGCGGTGGCGTAAATCTGTGCAGGGGATGGGGGATGACTAAAATAATTGCTCGGCCGCGAAAATCCAAAAGAAAACAAGGGGGTGGGGGAGCTGGGCACCACATTACACTAGGGGGCGCTGTTCATGATAAAGATGTACTAATCTTACAACAGAATAGTGCATTTACAGCTTTTGGACTTTTTTTCTACTATTATCGGTGCTATTATACATTTTGGTGGTTAGGAAGTTTGAAAAGCACCTCAAAATCCGCATTTTTTGTTTCTCATCATTGTAGTGTGGTTCTGTCTGCACACATCGACGTCTGATCCTCAGACCACCTCAATTCATTATTCAAATGAACTGAGGCCAATTTTTGATCATTGTGCATTCATTGTTGCCTGCAACATCACGTCTGATTCTACTTGTGAGTGCCTTGCGATGGTTAGTTTGTCCACAAATTATCGGCACTGACAGGATAGACAACAGGTTGTCGAATTCAGACATTTGTATTGTCTCTGTTGACAGGTCGGCTACGAAGCAGGGTCAAAGGGCGAGGTGCTTCCACCAGTCTACATGAATGAACTGGACAACGAGCTGATACCGGTCTTACACAACGCCGTGTCGCAGCATGAAGGGGGACCGGTCGTCATGGAGCTGGTCTTCTACATCATCGATTGACCCCAGACTTGGGCTAGGTAGGTACTCGCCCCGATTCTGTATAAACACTGTATAGAAACATCTATTCATTTGCACACCAGTTTTCATCGGTTGCTATGTGTTACCATTCAGCACCCCAGACTCAAGAACCATTGAATGTAAAGAATATGGGTCTGGGAGCCAGATAAGCCAATGTTGACAAAACTTCCTGGATTTCCGCTCCCGGCTATACAGAGTTTTGACAAGTGGGAAGAAAATGTGGGACTTGCACCCGATGATGATCAAGATGAAAAAAGAAAAAAGCTGTAGAGGTGGCTTAGAAAGGTCATCGTCTCATCACTTTGAACAGGAGGACAACATTACTGCATTCCACATTTTGGTTTTTTTTTACACAAACTGCTGTATTTTTTGGCTTCTAAGAAAGAATAAAGATGCTTTGTTCAGTTTATTGGCGCAAAAAAGATATCTTCGTTGACTTATCTGATCTAGAGAAATTCAAATAAACACCAACTGACACAATATGCCTATTTCTGGCAATCCATGTTTATATGATTGTAGAAATAATGTACAGTTAAAATACAACAGTAACAAATAATATAAACTATTAAGTTTGCATTTTCTGCTATAAAAAAAGGAAGATGCAAAATTTCGTTCGCTTTTCATTTTAGAGATTTTCGAAACATGGGGCCGTTCTACTTAACATGTAAACAATAACGCAAGACGTGTTTCAAAAATATTGTGCTGTTCCTCAAGTTATATTTTTGTGACGTAATTTCTCTGTTTCTAGCATTTAGTTGTTAACCTTTATGCACCGTTGCATTTTGTCTTCACACGGAAACAACCGTTGTAAAATGTATCACAATGATAGAGCCATTTCATATTTCTAATATTGAGAGCAATTTGGTTATTTGACTTTTCCTGTGTTCACGAGTTTTCGGAAATGTTTTAAAAAGTATTTTCACGTTTAGAGGAACTCTAAAAGAAAGTTGTTTGGAACTGCACTGAGTATACTAACTGGGATCTGTCTGATAATTTAACGGTCTAAATTAAAACTTGATTTTTGTTGCTGTATTTTTAAGTTTTGGCTTGTAGCAATGTGTAATATATTTTCATGGATATTCACTTTAACATGTTATTGGTTCATTGCGCATAACTTTATTAATACATCATGTACATTATACTGTACATTTAACATAACAATTTCTATGATTTCATGCAAATAAACAAAATATGTACATCCTCGTAAGTAATTTTCATGTTTGTAATTTTAATCATGGGTAGATTAAATTCTGAACAGCATTTTTATTAAATGTAGGTCCAATAAAAATGATTTTTGAAATGATGCAAACCTAATAATTCTTGTGTGTGTGTGAATGGAGCCACAGGACCTATGTGCATTGTAGACTGCAGAGGGGTCTTTCTGTAAATTTGGGGCTCTAAAGTGTGACTTTTTTGTGTCCCCGTTACAAATGACTTGTGTAATTTACCGTGCAAGTATCATTAAAATTGACATCAAACTATTTTTTATTTGTGTGGCTGGCACTTTGCTTTACATAATCACTCTTGGAGATAGAAGACATTAAAGAATATGTCCAGAATTTACATAATCTTATATCCGATGTAACGGGGACACAAAAACAAAAAACCCAGAATTGTTTATTCTAGCTGAGGGCTCAGATGACAGTTTTACTTGTCGTAAGGAATGCACAGACTATCACAGATTGTCTCAGATACGTGCACTTAATTGCTGCTAGGAGCAGTCTTAATAATAAAAAAATGACAACTGTGATCTGATAATAATTGTACCAATGTTTCACATATGGTGTATTGCTCTCATGAGTTTTGTCGTGAAAAGATGCGCAAACAAAAATCTGACTTTAAATTTTATTTCCATATAACTTTGTTTTGCAAGCATTTAGCTATTTAACCCAAGTTTAAATATGATATTTAAGCCACATTCTTCTGGATACTAATGTCTAGCACCATTTTTGAAAAACACTTACACGTAGATTTTTTTATCACAGTATCAATAAAACTGAGCACTTTCTTTCACTACTTGTAGACTTAAACAAAAATCATGTCTTGATAATATGCACACTGGGAAAGTGTGGCATTGATTTAAAAAAAAAAAAACTGGTGTTGGCTTTTGAAAACAAATAATTTGTTTCACTTTTTGGTCATTTTAAAATAAAATTGAGAAATACACTTATAAAAAAAATTTCAAATCTTGAGGATTGCGAAAACAATGCACCAGCACATTCCAGATGGAACAATTAAAAAAAGCAAATAATTTACAGTATTTTGGTTAAAGCTGATGTTGTGATCTTTAAGCAGTGTTCATAATGTGCAATTATAGGGCTAGTTTTTGTGATGATTTTTTTTTAGCCACTGGGGCCACAAACTGAAATCATACTGTTATTACTCGTCATGAAATTACACAGTCACATAATATTTACTTTAATATCTCATGTTTATTTTGCCTTTATACACAGGGACGACAATATGGAGAATATACGGAAAGAATGTAGTATTCTGACGCCACTTCTGTGGTTGTGCACAAAGTCTATGGAGAGTTGAGTGCATTTTCAAAGTATTTTCTAACAAAATTGGAATTGTTTCTCAGTCCCAGATTCATGTCTTTTTCAACATTTTTGCAATGACTGACCTTCATTGAGATAATATATGATGAAGAAACTGGCGTCAGGATGCAGCATTCTTTCCGAGTATACATGTAATGTTTGCATGTAAATCCAAGAAGATAAGCGGTCATAATTTATTAAACATGAAAGTAAAACAAATTTGACCTGGGCCAAACTGGAGCCCCTTTATGCCAAGAATCTACCAGATTTTTTTTGAATTTTTTTTTTTACTTCTCTCCAATATGTATACTTCCAAGGAAGGTGATGCACAGTTTTTTTTTTATCTGAACGCTTGAATCAGCAAAACAGCAAAGACTGCCATGTAATTATGTAATGGGAATAGATCAGTGGAAATAATAATCTAGATGAAGGTATTTTTTAGGAATAGTATGAGAAATATCTTAAACAATATGCATATGTATACATCAGACAGTTGTAAATGTGCGTAGAAGGCGTTTTGTACAAAAAACAAAGATACTGGTTCCAGGTGTAGTACAGTAGAGATGGATCCGGGCACGCGATCACTGTACAATCATGAGGCCCTCTTTTAACCCCAACTCCCTAGGCATCTTTGCTAGGATGCAATCTCAACCCTGCAAAATCCTCCAACTGCCTCCGTGTGAAAATTGCATACAGCCTCAATCCTGCAAAATCCTCTTCAATATGGTTCTTGGAAGGGTGACCACTGCCTGAATCCTGCAAAATCCTCCGGCAGTGCTGTCAATATCTTGAGGCAGAGTCAGTGACATCCTGGAGCAGTGGGGAGGATTTCAAGTATAATCTAGGCCTAAATTTATGCACGGCTGAGCATAAACAACACAGGGTCCGGCCTAAGACCTTGACACAGTGCATCCTCTGAAATCAGCAACACACTTTGGCCATGTAGCCGCAATCCTGCAAAATCCTCCGTTTTGCAAAGAGGATTTGGGAAGGTTAGAGTTAATGCAGGAAAACCATTGTGTATGCTATGGTACAAAGCAATTGCCCTGTGACGGAATATCTGGACATTATCTAACACCATGCTCTCGCCATTGAAGGGGGCCTTCGTGATGGAATTGACAGCGTGCCCGGATTGTTCTATAGACCCTTTCCATTCGGCAGCCATCTTTGAGGCATTTTTCCTTATTCCAATTCATTAACAATAAATGCACAAGAGGTCTAACTCATGCGTATCCCTGTGGAACAAAAACACACACCTCAAACATGGCTGCAATGCAAAGTGTCTATTAGTATGCCTAACTGTTAAAACGGCTTTGGGGAGATTTAGAACAAATTGGTCCAATTTTTATACCTCCATGTAACATGTTCTCATTGATCACCGATAGTTAACCAATTTTTTTTTGTAAGGTGGTAATCTGTGTATTAACTGTACTTGATCTTGAAAGTGCCTTACCATAAACCATCTATGTAAATCCTAACAAACTCTTTCCTGTGTATTTCGCCTCTTTTTTTTTCTTGTTTTGCGGTTATTAAACTTTGATGTGATATAGACACTAATTTGGCAACAGCCATTTTGTGAGGTGGCACTGCAGTGGCACCAAGGCTAGCGCGAGTCACGCTCAGGTAGTACAAACGCACGTCCTTCGACCAACAGGTTACCAAAATGCGAGCGCCTTGTCTCTAAGAATGCGTGCAGCATGCGCATGCACCATTTAAAATATGGCTTTTAATTTTGTTCGCCAGATTACAAAATAATTAATCCCAAAACTGGATTTCATTTAAACCAGGCAGACTTTGGCCATTATTTTCAGACGTTAGAATGCTTTGGGGGTGCTAGAAAACTGTACTGCTTCCATAAAAGATGACTGCTGATTCGATAATGCCCGGATAAGAATTCATTATAAGGCACTGGACAGTGGCCACTGTGTTTGAAGTTGCTTAGATCTTGGATGGGAATTTTCACCCGAACTCTGGCTTTTCTTACTAAACATGAGAATTCGTAACTCTTGCTTTCAAAGCCCTCCAAAACACCCCAACGTTGACTTCAAAAGGGTCTTATGTTCTGCGACATTATAACTATAGTGATGAGCTTCCATGCACTCAAGCGCCCTCCATAGTTCTCGGAGAATGTTGGCATATTGGAATGACTGGCAAGAGACGACACTCAAAAGAGCCATCATCAAAAAGTGTTTAAAAAATCCTACCGGCCACTAGTTGGCAAGTGAAAGTTAAAAGTTACCTAGCCTTGGGACCAGTGGCCAGGAAGCTAGGGCCGGGCCTGGTGTTGCTGATGAGGTGGCAGACTGCTAGTGTCTACCTATGGCATTAACACATACATTGATGTTTTATCTTCAAGCAAACCTGAATCCTCGATCCTGGCAACAACATTGTGGTACCTTCTTGCAGTCCATGATCTGTATTGCACGTCATGTATCGCGTGCTATTCTAAAATTCACACATTTTCCTGCTGTACAAACGTCTTATTGGATAACAGCTGAAATGAGACAACAGAAAACGTAGTTGCATCTCATCTGTGTCGTTAGCTCGAAGATGAATTTGTTGCTCCACTCGCGCTCGTGGAATAACTGATAATATTTGTCGTTCTTCTGGAGATGTGAGTAATGTCTGCAGCCCAGTAGTTGAGAGAGAATTCTATGCTTGAGTCAGGTTATGATCGTCTGGGTGATATAACTCGCTGAGTAACCGGTACACGTACGATGGTGCGTTGCCACCTCTGAAAATGAAAACATAAATGGAAATTTAACTAACTCCAAAATTGGGGTAATTGAACAGAGCACATGGTTGGAATAACAAGTAAACTGGTTCTACTCAGATTCACATAAAAATTACAAAAGAGATACACGGAGTGAATGCAAAAAGGTCAAATTGTAAAAAAATACTCTGAAGCAACACCTATGAAATTATTTAAAATAAATACCATATAAATGTATGTCAATAACCAAAATTCCCCATTGAAGAATTTATGTCTTACTTTTATTGTTATTTGTACAAACACTGGCAGATCACAGCGTTACTATTAAGCAGCAAAAATACAAAGATCCAACAGCAAGAATCTCCACTTCGGTCGACGGTACTCGACAAAAGTAATCGGATGCTAGATCAGTTGTCAGAGGTCTTACATAAAATACTTTGATGGTGAATTCGGGCGATTCACAATGTAGTGCGCCACCAAGAGTTTGCCATGGAGAGTCCATTTTTGACGTTTTTGGTCGACAAAACATGGCCCATTTGAATGAGTGTCGGTAGACAACGTGAGCTAATTTGTTATAGATTGGGGCTTAGCGTTCTGCCGCCTTACAAAAAACATATTGATAAAAGGAAAAGAAAAGGGCAAACAAATACTTGAATCATACAATTAGAAAACTACTGACCGGAAAAACTAACAATTTCAAATGTCCCGCCTTGCGAATTTGTCGACCATCTCCCACAATACACTGGGAGAAATGAACTCTCCATGGCAAACTCTTGGTGGCGCACTGCATTGTGAATCGCCTGAACTGTTCAGTCATCTCAGTGGAGTCTCATAGCAGTTGTAGTTTACTTACATATTGGACAAGTAGAGGGTGACTAGCTCTGGTGGGACGTAGTCAAAGACGGGGTTGTGTATCTGCACCTTGGAGAGAACGTCGCCCTCAGCAAACTTCATCACATCTTGGGGCGACTCAAATTTATTAAAACCATCCTGCGACAAGAAGATACAGTCGAGTCTCGTTATAACAAACTCGTTCGGACCTAGCCAAATTGTTTGTTATATCAGAATTTTGTATTAAGAGGAACATCAGTCCCATGCATTGTGCACATAAATGCACAGTCAGGACCAAGGCTTTATGTTTGTTATAACCAGAATTTTGTATTAACAGAGTTTGTACTAACGAGAATCGACTGTATATTGGTTAGCACCGTCGATATCGGACTTTTCAATAATCGACATATCGGAAAACCAATATCGAGAATATTGTAAAAGTAAAAGACCATACAGATGACGCTTTGATTTAAAAAAAATATATCAAGTCCCAATTTTCCACGGCTTTCTCTCGAGCATATTGCTCAAACTTTTTAAAACAAATCTCAGCACTGAGAGTTTGTCTAGAACGGGCGGTTTCTTTTAAGGTTTTACATTGGGGAGACTGCAATTTCCAGGGAACACAGAGCACAAAGCAACGCCGCTTGGCATTTCGCGATTTTTTATTCTGAGGCACTAGCACAAGTTGCCGCCGAACTTTATTTCATTATACAGCAAACGTTAAACACAAAGTAAAAGCACAAACGGGAGATTTATTTTGACGATAATCTGACGCATTTTCGATATATTCGATATCATTTCTCAATATCAAAAATTTTGATTTTTCGATATGATAAAAAAATTGCTACCGGGATATCGATATCAAAATAAATAAAATAGTAAATTAGGTACAGGATTGAATACGCTTTGGGCCTACATGTCCTTAGCAAATCTTTTTGCTTAGAAATGCAAAGTAGTGAACACAATGTGACGTCATTATGTCTTGGGCATAGTGATGTTGGAATGTCTTAGGTGCATGTAGTTCCTCACCTGATCGTACGTGCACAGATGCTGGGGCGACAGTTTGAACATCGGGGCACACACAATCAGCTGAAATTCAACCACATAAAAAAAACCAGTCAGACAAGTTGGGTTGGGGCCTTTAAACTCGGTCCTAAAAGTGACCCAAATGTTTGTCAAGCATCTCATATTACGTGACATTTGCTGTTATTGACTTAAACTATTAAATTTAATAAAAATACTTTGCATATTGATGAAACTTTTGTTAATCATCTTGTTTTTAGGCAATCCCATTTTTAATCTCAGAAATCAGCTTGGTATCTGTCATATTCAAATTAAAGGGAAGATTCAACATTTGCAAACATCACAAAACGAAATGATCACATTATCACAAAATACCTTACTGGATTGTTTAATAGGGAATGACAGTCTAAAGCATCCTGTAAAATCGTGGCTCCTGGTGTGCTGACTTTTTCAAGAAAAATTGTATTTTTCCAACGCTGGTCGGCCGACCAGCGTTGGAGAAAACTGGCTTTTTTTCAAAAACTGCTCCTAATTTTTCATAATTATTTATTCCGCGTTTTCTTTGCAATTGATTACACACCTGTGAAGGGGTACAAGCCAGCTAGACTGATTCTCTGACCTTATAATTCCCCAAAGTCTATAAATTTTCTGTTTCATCTTAAGTGGGGTCCGGAATCAGACTACAAGAACATGATTGGTTTTCTTGGTTTTTCCAGCATCTACAAGCCCAAAACGTAAAACAAGTCATTTTAACAATATTTGCTTTAACATACTAATCCTCCAAATCCATTTATTTCTGAAAATTGCAGCAAAAGCAAATGTTGCACATTCCCTTTAAGAACCCCAAATTAGGTGAATAGCCATGTTACCAGCGTTTACTAAAAATGCCTTAACTTGTCTTAAAATGTGGGTTTTTTTTTAAGGCAATAGGTACTCACAGGAACCGAATGGTGCTTGGCAGCCAGTGCTAAGGCATAGATCCCACTTACGGCTTTCAACCTGTTGGACAAGGAAAAAGACAGAAAACTGTTAGGGCTTTTGAAGAGTTCAAATAAATTAATATACTTTAATGAGCCTTGACTTTGTTAAACTTTGACATGACACTATGTCAGTTAAAGAGGTTGTGGAATGTTCAAAGACATTTCCGTCATTTTTCGGGTATATGTAGCCTAAGGTGTGATGAAATAATGTTTTTCAGGTCCTGTTTCGACCTGAACGTGCAATTTGTGTAAAAGTCGTCGTTGGGGGCAGCAAACAAAACATAGTAAACAGGACTCCTTTATACTACGCTGCATCGGGAGTCCTGTTTATTACGTCACGATTTACTATGTTTTGTTTGCTGCCCCCAATGACAACTTTAACACAAATTGCACGTTCGAGACCTGAAACACAGGGCCTGAAAAACACACAGGACCTGAAAAACAGCTCTCAAAAGTACCTTTTGTACTACTTATTTCATGACAGACACAATAGTTGTTTTTATTTCATCACACCTTAGGCTACATATACCCGAAAAATGACGGAAATGTCTTCGAGCATTCCACAACCTCTTTAAGTAATAACGTCAATAATCCACTTCCAAGTCAAAAAACTATGACAAAAAGTAATAATAATTATCTTCACGCTAACTTGAATCCTCCATTCTGATTGGTCGATACATGTCAACAAGCCGTGCTATATTATACCTATTACCGCGGTCCATATCGCACTCTGCATATCGCGCCATTCCAAGATGCAAGGGCCATTCCAGCTGCATGCACATGTAATAGGATAACTGCTAAACAAGGTTCGTGTAAAGCGTACTTGTTGCAACTTTACTGTGGGACAAAGACTCACATTATTCCGTGTTCCACTCGTGCTCGTGGGGTAACTAATATAATGATAACAAGGTGCGTACATGTATATAGCACTTTAAACCCAAAGTTTAAAAGTGCTCCACAATTATTACCCCTTTTCATCAGGCCATGACACCATGGACTTTAGACGGACTTGTGGTGGACTTATGATGGACTTATGACGGACTTGTGATGGACTTGTGATGTACTTATGATGGACTTGTGACGGACTTGTGATGGACTTGTGACGGACTTGTGACGGACTTGTGACGGACTTGTGGTGGACTTATGATGGACTTATGATGGACTTGTGATGGACTTGTGACGGACTTGTGGTGGACTTATGATGGACTTATGATGGACTTGTAGCGGACTTGTGGCGGACTTGTGACGGACTTGTAACGGACTTGTGACGGACATGTGATGTACTTATGATGGATTTATGATGGAATTGTGACGGGCTTGTAATGGACTCCACTACAAAAATGCAAACATTCAGCAATGTTTGCAAACTGTTCTTACCCGCCGTTTGCCATGACCGTGTGCGTTCCTATGATGACTTTGTTGACCCGTGACATGACTGCAAAGACGGCTGAGTCCGTGATGACCGTGGTTTGGATCTTCTCTTCGGCTAACCTCGTTGCTATTTGCTGACCCTGAATTTCTCAACGGAAAACAAAACTTTGTTTACTTACTCCTTTGGCACCTTTGCCAGAAAGCTTTCTGAATCTCCAAAACTGCCTTTCTGAATCTCCAACGATATGCCTTGGAAAAACATTGTGGAGAATTTATATTTGATATGGGGTAGCTAGTGTTAAAAAAAAATTATGCCAAGCATTGTTCATTGTACCACTGGATGGTACTTTCACCAAATTTTCAGCATTGACAGTTAATAAAAATCAATATCACTTGCCCTGAAACCAAGACGTGCTATAATTCTGGATTTGTGCCCAAAGTTTGAGGAAAAAAGATCCCTTTTTCAGGGAATTTTCAGGGAATTCAGGATGTTGTCTTGAATAGACGTACCTGATAGGATGGTGCTCCTTCTGCTACTATTACATGGAATTTGCGCTTCCGAGCTGCGTTCTGTAATAAGAGTAAAAACACAAATAGAACACAGACCAACAAACATTTACATGCAGATGAATTTACTCATTTCATTCGTATTGCTTGGAATCATAAATGGAATGTGATACATGAAATACATGTTGATAAGCAAAGCATCAACTGCACGTCCAAACTTCAAACCTACCAGTAGGAAGGCTTGCACCGTGCGTGATTTGCCCATGGTCATGACGACCTCATTGGAGTGGATGTGTTCTAGTGCCTGCATGGCAATGTTATCAGCGCTGCTCTCCAGCTCCGTCAGTAGCTCATTGATGCTCTCGATGACGCGAACCTGAGAGGAACATGAAACATAAATGACGGTTGTGAAGCCTTGGGAGACCTGAGCTAATGTCGCCACGGGTGCTATGCACCCCTCGGGTGTTCAAAACGTCATATCCCGTATCACAGCAGTCAACAATTGTTTTGTTGTACCTCTGTCTTGGATTCTTTGGATTTTGATGTAAAAATCACGAAAACAACAGCAGTAAACACAAACATGACAATCGATGCCAACTCACAGGCATGTCGCGTGCTTGAAACAGCTGATCGTCTGCTAGTTCACTGCTCCCACTCATGTGTGAAAACATGGTGAAAATAGCGTGGGTACCAACGATACACGCGTTTCACACCGTATGTACCATATGTACAAAGTCATTGCACACTTTCTGTGGGATATCAAGTACGTGATATCCCACAGGGAGTGTGCCATGACTTTTTATAAACTTAACACGTGATCGTTCTAGGCCAATGAAAATACAGTATTCAAGACAGGGGTATAACAACAGGTACTGTCCTCAGTGATTCAGGTGATGTCCGCAGTGATTCAGGTAATGTCCTCAGTGATTCAGGTACTGTCCTCAGTGATTCAGGTACTGTCCTCAGTGATTCAGGTACTGTCCTCAGTGATTCAGGTACTGTCCTCAGTGATTCAGGTACTGTCCTCAGTGATTCAGGTACTGTCCTCAGTGATTCAGGTAATGTCCTCAGTGATTCAGGTAATGTCCTCAGTGATTCAGGTAATGTCCTCAGTGATTCAGGTAATGTCCTCAGTGATTCAGGTAATGTCCTCAGTGATTCAGGTACTGTCCTCGGTGATTCAGGTACTGTCCTCAGTGATTCAGGTAATGTCCTCAGTGATGCAGGTACTGTCCTCAGCCTAATTCTACAGCCTGTTTCACATCACAACAGAATGCAGTGTTCTATTTGTATGCATGTGAATAACTAACTTAAGTTGATCCCTATGTCGTCGGTCAATTGGCAAACTAGGTGCTGGCTGAACTTAGACTTTAAAGATACAGTTCATCATTTGTAATTTGTGCATTTTGTTCGTTTGAAGTAACAAAAGTGCTCAAAATCTTAAGAAGGGTTCTGAACAACTAACTTGATGAACTTTCAGCTCAGCTTCAGCTGCATATTCCGAGAAAAACAGCATTCTAAGATCGGATTTCATATCAAAAGTTGCTGAATCATGTTTTGAATTGGGCCTGAATTCAGCATCCGAGACACGTTCTCACTGAGCTGAATGCAGCTACGCGATGTCGCGCGCTGATCCGACGAATTATAGCAACCGCACACGCGTGTGCGTAGTGCCAACGCTTGCACACGCTTCGCCGAATAAAAAACAAAAACAACTACTAACGGAAATTTCCTATGGTGCGTCTGAAGACGCACCGTTGGAAAGGCCTTCTTTTGTTGATTTCTTCAAAATGACAACTTGCCAGAAAGAATAATTTCACAGGGAGTTTAGTTCCCTTACTATCTTTCAACCAAGCACGTTTTTCAACAATAATTACGTCAGTTACTTTTTGGATAGCTGCAAATGATGGACTATAGCTTTAAATTGGACAGAGAAATTGCAAGGCTGTGCTCGGACTATGAAGCCTCAACCTCCGAAGACAGTCTTGGGCTACCCTGCGTGTCACCGCAAACATCCCAGAACTGTGGTATATTTATGGTGTTGAATGTCAAAATTACAGCATAGTGAAGTCATTGCAATGGACTTAGTACAATGCTGTAGACTACGATGTCCTAAATACCTTCAAATAGCTTGAGGTAATGCATGCGGTATTGAAGTGTTCATATATTCACATTGTGTGGGTGATATACCAACCAAAACAGTGTGGCGTTATGTGGTGTCAAACAGAGTAAGCGTTAACTGCATTTTTAATTTGTAAATAAAGCAAGGTTTAGGTGAGTTCAATTAATCTTCATTTTTTGAATCCCACACTGTGCGACCAGTTCTAGAATTAAGTTAAATTTTTTATTTCAACAGGTTGCCCTTGCAGAAGCAAGAAGAATATAAATCCGACCCCCAGCTTTCCTATTTTTTTTTGGAAATTTTTTTTCATCATATTTTTTCTTCTTTCTAGCCATTTGCCAAGAGTGGCTTTTTAGCCTTGCTTGGGGCGATGTTGCATAAAAAAACCACTAGAAAATAGATGAAGATGCTTATTGCGAAGTGTTTTGCTCAGGGACAAAAAGTAGAATGATTGCGTTGTTGCATCAGAGTGAACCCCTCATGACTCTGCCCTAAACTTCTTGAAAAGGAACAATCTCTAACAAGATGCTTCAAAACGTCTCCTCATTGAAATTGTACCTTGAGGTTTGGACTAGGAATGCTGAAATCATCAACTTGACCCTCGGCCACCAGCATTTTCTGTTAACATGGGAGAAAAAATTCAACAGTAACTTAATTAATTGTCAATAATGGAAAATACGATCAAACAGGACTGCCCGAAAACCAAAATTCAATACTGTCCAGTAAACAAATGAAGTTGTTTTTCAGTAAAAACAGAATGGGTACCTCAAGTGCAATTTAAAGTAAAGTAAAAAAGTAAACTTTTAAAATTTCTACTCCCCCTGGATGGGATGCCAGTCCATCACAGGTTACTCCCCAGCTAATGCCGGTACCCATTTTGTACTCCTGGTTGGAGAGAGGCAAGTTGGGGTGAAGTGGCTTGCCCAAGGACACAACATATGACCGGCAGCTGGATTCGAACCCCTGACCCTCTGTCACGAACCCTAACCACTTGGCCACACTCCCCACCCAATTTAAAGTAATAGAGAAGAAACCAGGGGAACTGCAGCACTCACGTGTAGCGACTCCTGCTGATCTGCCGAGTCTACGCTTTGGCCCTTGATTATTCTGCAACAGAGGAAGAGATACAGTTAAGTTTCGGGTAAAGAAAAGAAGAAAGTCCCACTGTGGTAAACCTAGTATCCAGTGTTATAATCCTCGGCAGCTATTTAGCTCCGAAGAGAGATGTACTTTATGGAAGAATAAGAACTTACGCTGCAAATTCTTCCCTGATGATCTTGATGACCCTCCGGACCATGTTCCCCACGGCCGACTCGGAGGGCTGGGCACCCATCATCCGCAGTCCCTCCTGCCTGATGCGTGCCATCAGCTCGGCCGCGCTGCCCCATCGCGTCTGGGCGATGACCCTCCGGAGTAACGATAGGGTCTGATGGGCCACATCGTACGAACCCTTCACCCTCCTGGCAAAAAGAAACACCAAACGAAATTACAGTAAAGTGTAAGCTTGGACAGATCACTGTGGTACAGTTTCACGGGGTGGGGGTGGAGGGGTGGAGAATGGGTGTAGCAGTAGCCTTGGCCGTAGCTGTAGTAATAGCAGTAGCCGTAGCCATGGCCATAGCCGTAGCTTTGGCTATGGCTGTGGCTATGGCCGTGACTGTGGCTGTGACTGTGGCTGTGACTGTGGCCGTGATTATGGATATGGCTATAACTACAATAATGAAAGGCATCCTTAGTTCCACCTTTTTTTCCTGCAAAATATTTTTGGTTTGTGATAATGTGGTTATTTCTACGACTATGGCCGTAGCCATGGCCGTAGCCATAGCTGTAGCCAAAGCCATAACAGTAGCCATAGCCATAGCAGTGGCTATGGATGTCGCTATGACTATGGCTATGGCTAGGGATGTGGCTATGGCTGTGGCTGTGACTATGATTAACGGCTAGGGTTTTGGCTATGACTATGAATATGGCTGTTAGGTGGGAGGGGACTCAACAAAAACGATGACAATCACATGCTGTCACACTGGATTTCTTCGAATAGTCACAGTTACGTCTTAGTTTACTTTTTAGGACCCCTCCATTTTCTTAATGTTCCTATTTCTGCAGAAGTCAACTGTTGGGCGTGCGTCAGTTGTCAACCGGATGGTGCTTGGACTTTACTCTCCTTTAAAAAAAACATTCAGAGCCATAAATCAGAAGAAAAAAAATTAGATCTTGTCTTTGCAAGCTGTTTCGGTAAGTTATTTAAGTTCATGACATAAATTGATAAAAAGTGTGTATTAGGCCCCCCAAAAAAAGTCTCCGGTTTCTGGTATGCGCGCGCGTCGCCGTAGCCATGCGCGTCGGCAAAATGAAAAAGTTTTTTTTTCAATAAAAGATGATGTCTCAAAACCGCCAAACTCACTGGTTTGACTGGAATCCTGCTGCAGCACAATTTTAACGTGTTTTTAGATGGGGGTATGATCGAGAATAAGCTTTATGTGGACTCTCTGGACTCCCGTACATTTTGCACTAAGTTTAGTCGGGCACCATTTGCAGTCATCAGCCGACATTTGAAGCAAAAAAGTCAGGTAAAAAAAAAAAAAGCCGCGTCGCCGCACCACTTTTTGGGCAAGCTTCATACCAGAAACCGGAGACTTTTTTTGTGGCCTTAGTATAGTAATACATATTTTTATCAGTTTTATGTTATAAACTTTATAACTTACCGAAACAGCTGGCGAAGGCAAGATCTAAAATTTCTTTCTGATTTATACTATTACCGATATAACTTTATATACAGGAAGGGGTCCTAAAAGTAACTAGGCCATAATACCATTTGATGACAGTTGACACCAACTTACCCCTTCTTAAGGTCTGATATAAACGTATTAATCCTCTCTGTCAGATCTGTCATGGTGAGCTTGTCGCTGCTTTGTTAAAACGATGTTCACAACCTGAACAAAAAAGGGAACATGATGAGACATGCATGGCAGACTGAAAGTCTGAAAAGTCACATTAATTAACGGAAAGAATGTTGCAACCTGACGCCACTTCAGCGGTTGTGTATAAAGTCTATGGAGAGTCAAGAAAATGATTTAAGTATTTCCTAACAAAATTTGAAATATTTCTCAGTCCCAGATTCATTTACTCTTCTTAATCTTATCATTTTTGCAACATGAACGACCAGCCTGCTGACTGACAGGCTTCACTGAGATGAAGACAAAAGTGGCGTCAAGATGCAACACTCTTCCGCATACGCGCAGCAGCCATAAACATTGCATCCTGAACGTTTAACTTACCAATACGAAGTAAAAGTCAAGATTTTAGTGGCGTTTGGAGACGAGCTTCAAACAATTTTTTTTCGCAGGCATAGGCCTACCCACATTTTCTTTTTCTGTCTGCAAAAGTTATAGCGCCCTCAATGGATAGCAATAGTGAAAAATGAAATTCTCAATTGAGGGCGCTATTAATTCTTAAACTGTAGCGGGCGAGCAAGTGGTGCGCGAAATTAAAGCATGGAAAGCGACTTGGTACAACGAATTTCGTTAATTTTAGCCCCGTAGAGACGAGACAAGGTAGGCCTAAATGAAGATAACTTTATGTTTCTACGTCAGTGAGTATTCGCTTAAACAATGTGGAAAAAACAGTCTTTAAATGTCGGTGTTAAATTCCAGTGGCACTGGCACAGTGCAGTACAGCAGTGGCAGCTGATGCGGGGGGGGGGGGGGGGGGAGCTGGGGGAAGGAAGGGGGGGGGACTATAAGAAACGTGGGGGTCACAGTGTTGGGGTGGGGTGGTGGGCACCAAACATTCCCCCCTTTTTATTGACCTTTGCACCCTCGTCCTGTTTCCCCAACCCCACCCTAATCATGTGCCCATCCCCCTCGCCCCACACCCCCCCCCCCCCCCCCCAGCATGCCCAGTTGAAAATTAAAGTATATGTTGGGCGCGATTAGTCGATCTGCGCGATCGGTCGATCATGAAGGATATCTCAGACTTTACTTAGGCCTATCTTTCACAAAAAAAATCATCCAGAGCCGTGAATTAGAAAGAGAAGGTGTTCAACTGGTGGCAGCCCAGTCAACCAATATACCGATTGCGCAGTGCGATCGACCGATCGTGCACATTGACCGATCGCGCACATCGACCAATCGTGCACATCGACCAATTGTGCACATTGACCGATCGCGCCCAACATACATATCCCACATTTTGTACAGTGGTAGGCCTAGGTAATCTCAAAATTATTAACCTGCAAGTCCTTTTCATTTCAGAAAACCCGAAACAGGCAACACAAGCATGACCTGCTTCATCCAAGGTTCCACTATTCAATGAAGTCCTAGTACTGTGACAGCCAACATTTCCACACTGACTGAATGAGGATGAACCATGGAGGACAACATTGGTGAATGTTTTAACTCTTCGGGAAGAATTCCATACATGGACATCACTCATTTTTCCCAGCAGTGACCTATCAGCCATCAGAAAGCGATAACATGTCCTAAAAAAATTAAATTTAGGAGGGAGAATATTGAAGCATTTTACTGAGAAAAGACTTAAAGCCAGAGTCCATCATTTGCAGCTATCCAAAAAGTAACTGGCGTATTGTTGTTGAAAAACATACTTGGTTGAAAGATAGTAAGGGGACTAAACTCCCTGTGAAATTATTCTTTCTGGCAAGCTGTCATTTTGAAGAAATCAACGAAAGAAGGCCTTTTCAATGGTGCTTCTTAAGAAGCACCGTAGGAAAATCAAATTAGTAGTTCGTTTTATTATTCGGCGAAGCGCGTGCAAGCATTGGCACGATGCACACATGCGCGCGGTTTCTATAATTTGTCAGATCAGTGCGTAACATCGCGTAGCTGCAATCGGCTCAGTGAGAACGTGTCTCGGACGCTGAATTCAGGCCCAATTTAAAACATGATTCAGCAACTTTTGATTTGAAATCGAGATCCTAGAATGTTGTTTTTCTCGAAATATACAGCTAAAAGCTGAGCTGAAACTTCATCAGGTTAGTTGTTCAGCACCCTTCTTTAGATGTTGAGCACTTTTGTTGCTTCAAACAAACAAAACGCACAAATCACGAATGATGGACTATACCTTTAAACATTTTCAGACCAGTCTCATAGGGTTTGTGCACAGGGTGTCAAGTGGTGTCCAGGTATGGAACTCTTTTCCAGTAAATTATCACATCAAATTAAATTTTTAAACTAAAAACAAAAATAATACTTTATTGTTCCAAAACATTTTCCCAGAGAATTGTTGCTATAATGTTTACGTGTTTAATCTCTCTCCCCCCCCCACCATGACAAAACAATAAAAAGTCAGACAATTTACTGGTGCAAAAACACTCTTGCAGTTTTTACGCCAGAATTCAGATACATTAACCCTCTCGCTATTTAAACATGTCACAGACAGTCAAAATTTCTGTCCACTTCCCCTGCTATACTTTTAACACAGGCTAGTCACCAGATCATATGTCCAGCAATAGTCAAACTTGGTCAACAGACCATGAACAGACAAAGCGGGCAAATCGTGGGCACAGCTGGCCTATCAATGACCCACAGCCAAAGCAAAGCTGTATTGAATGATATAAACAGTCACAGCCAGTCAATCTTGCTTTATGTAGGCTGGGAATTCTTTACCGTTGAAAGTAGTCACTTGATTGATTTGGACTGAAAGGACTACTTGGCACAGAATGCATGTTTGCATAGGAGGATTAGTGTTTTGTTTTGGAGTGTAGAAATTTCAACGATAGCATAAAAATAAAAAAGGCCCCAAAGCACCATCAGAATTGTGATACAGAATTTTTAGTGGGACACAACATATATTTGATGTATTCATGTAAAAAATAGTCTTCATGATGTGCCCTTTGATGCCACCCATGGTTTGTCTCGTTCTCCAGAGCAATGGCATGTCGGCGGCAAGTGCATGGCTCCATATTCCGGGGATGGTGCGTACTACCGCGCCTGCATCCAGTCTCTAACCAGGAGACATCAGGGTCGCCTGATGGCGTCCGTCCGATTCAGCGGCTTCACAGAGGAGGAGGATGAAATCGTCGACGTCCGACATCTCAAGAAGCGGCCGGTCAGGGTGCCTGGTGACAGGGGCGGCACCTTCACTGACTCTGGTACATATTGCAATTCTTGAAACATGCTTGTAACTTGTACCTCATGAATGTAGTCAATGAGAAATTGGGAGATCAGATCGCCAACAACGGGCAACAGCTCTGTGATGAGCTGGTGTGGTGTTCTGGATGCTGCAGAAGGATCTAATTTTTTATTGTACAAGTACTCACTGCTGAACAGAAAGTAGAAAAGTTGTGCGAACTTTAGCAGAAAATTGTGCTAACCTTAAACTGTTTATGCTCAGCCGTGCATAAATTTGGGCCTAGATTATACCCATATATTATGAAATCCTCCGCACTGCTCCAGGATGTGACTGGCACAGTCTCAACAGATTCACAGCGATTGCCATGATTGCTGGAGGATTTTGCAGGATTGAGGCAGTGGTCACCCCCTCCAAGGATCCTTTAAGAAATAACAGATGATTTTGGAGGGTTAAGGCTGAATGCATGGACATAACATCCTTTTTTGCCAGTTTAAAGCAAATTTGGACACTCAATATTTTAATGTTATCTGGCTTAATCCCTGCATTTGGTTTAAGGTTTTATGTGCTGTTGGGGCCTGGGATCTTGACAAGTGACTAATCTATCCTGTGTGTTTGCTTTTGTATGACTTCGCAGGTAGTTCAGGTTCAGTTGCTCCTCCATCTATCACAAGTCCATTGACGTACATCACCGAAGAGGACAGATTAAGGTATTAAGATGGAACTTGTGGAATGGAACGATCATCAGTGGTGTTGCAGTCAAGTCCTGTGGGGACATTAATTAAAACCTAACCCCCTAGTACTTCCTCAGGACTACCCTGCTAAATCCAACAGAGTCCAACCGGAGTTTCCTGCTCAATCCACTGTGCCTTATTTTCAGTTGTCTGCTGAATCCAACGGAGTCCAACATGGCGTTATATAATGAGCTTCAGTTGCCTGCTGAATCCAACATTTTGCATGAGGAATGTACCCAAGGGGTTTACTGCTCAATCCAACAGTATATGACCATAGTTGGATCCTGTTGGATTCAGCAGGGTTTGGGTTAGTTAAAACCTTATACTGATGACGGCACACTTTGTTTACACATGTGCTTTCTTGTGGGGACAATGGTTTCGTAGCCCCATATAAAAGTGCACACGTAAACAAAGTGTGACCTCATCAGTACAGAGACGTATTCTAGTTTGACTAACAAGGGTTTAGGAATGCTCTGGCCTCATGACTGTCTGGTTGAATATAACTTTCTGTAATATTTTTCCCAATGTCACTCGATGGCCGAGATCTTTGGGGAGGGGGGGGCAGAATCCGCTGCCCCCCCCCCCTTTCCCTGGCTGAGAGATGGTAAAAAAAAGCCCGGCCTTTTTAGGGTTAATACAAACATGATGTAACAATTCCAAGTCAGTGACCTTACAGTTTTTAGGCACAATTTGTGAACCAGCACTACAAAACCTACAAAAGCATTCAAGAAAAAAACAAGCATAAAAAAATGAGAACAATTTGTGTTTTAAGACAAACTTATCTAAACAAAACAAAAGAGTTACAAATCCCTTAAATAAGTCTTGATACATACGTTTACAATTCAGGGCCAAGTATGCGGACCTGTTTGATGACAGTGACCACAGAGGTGGGGCTGGTAACAAAAGCAGCAAGTCACGTGACTCGTCAGCTTCCCCTATGACATCATCATCGGCATCATCAGCATCATCTTCAAGGTTCATCTCAAGGAGTAACCACAAGAGAAAGGCTCCTGTTGCAGTGGGTGGTGAAGTGAGAATATTGTCTGAGGATGTTACTCCCCCGAAAAGGTGTGTGTGAACCGGAGTTGTTGTCAAGTCTGTCGCAGGTCAATCACAAGTCATCACAAGTCATCATAGGTTATCACAAGTCATCACAAGTCATCACAAGTCAACACATCTTATCACAACTCTATCACAAGGCATCATAGGTTATCACAGGTCATCACAAGCTATCAGAAATCATCACCAGTCATCACAAGTCATCACAAGTCATCACACGTCATCACAGGTTATCACAGGTCATCACAAGTCATCACAAGTCATCACAAGTCATCACAAGTCATCACAAGTCATCACAAGTCATCACAGGTTATCACAGGTCATCACAAGTCATCACAAGTCATCACAAGTCATCACAAGTCATCACAAGTCATCACAGGTCATTACAGGTCATCACAAGTCATCACAAGTCATCACAAATCATCACAAGTCATCACAAGCCATCGCAAGTCATCACAAGTCATCAAAACGTATCACAAGTCTATCACAAGGCATCATAGGTTATCACAAGTCATCACAAGCTATCAGAAATCATCACAAGTCATCACAAGTCATCACAAGTCATCACAAATTTAAGCATCACAAGTCATCACAAGTCTCCACAAGTCATCACAAGTCATCACAAGTGTCGCACAAGCTATTCAAATAAACTGCGACAAACGGCATTCCTTCTTTATTCATTCCATGTTACTTGTGATCATATTTGTGATTTGCGACTTGTGATGTAGTTCGCTGCATTGTTGGAAGGCTTAACATCCTGATTTTTCTTTCTTTTTGATAACCAGATCCCCCGTATCTTCCCATGCACCTCCAAGCATGCCCGTCAGAGAGCTAAGTGAGAAGGATTCATTCGGTTTTCTAGATGAAGGTACAGTATTTTCTTTCATAAATTTTGCAAACACTAGTCAAAGTGGCATCATCTCTGAAAGTTGGCTGATTGCTATTGCTGAAGTTTGTAGCATTGCTATGTTGCTAGTTTCACAACTTTTGATGTGATCCCGAGCAACATGGTACATACAGATTTTGGCTTCTGACTAATTTCCCTTGAACAAAACTAGGAAGCAGCAAAGTGGAGCCAACATAGGGCTGGTTAAACTCAGTTGGTAGAGCACAGGTAAGGTGGTGTTGAGGTCGCAGGTTCAAACCCCGCCCCAGTCGAAATATTTGTTCAACCTAAAATTGAAATTTCTGCTGAGAAGATGTCAAACTTTTTATAGAAAAAAAATTGCACACTTCTTTTCTATGTATGAAGTCAGTACAAGGTTAGTTGACTGACCAGCTCAACATAGCACAGGAATTGACGTAAGGTTTGGGTTTTATTTTGAGACATTTGACAGAAGACTTCACTGACTGTAACTTGACACTAAGGCAAATAAGAAAATAGAATTGAAATTTCATTATTTTCATTTCCTTTGGTACATTTGCTCAGCTAGTGTTATTTTATTTTGCAGGTTTCAGTTGCGAGGAGATGGAGAAGCCATATTTCCCTGGAGTCTCCACTGCCAGCGCCAAGATCCCTCTGGTTTTATCTAAAGACGACTCGGGGTCCGTCGTTCAGGTAACTTGCTCTTTGTTGAAAATAGGTATCTGACCTACACAAGTTCAATCAGGACCTGATTCTATAGTCGTGTTCCCTAACGTGGCGCACTTCGAAGCTTACCCGACTTTCCTCATGTAGTGTTGCCAAACCTCTTTGTTGACAAACCTCAAATTCATGCAGTCAAATACTGGTACTTTTACCTTATTAATGCTTGCTATTTAACCTCTGTGAACAATTTCGGTTTCATAAAATTTAATCCAAAATTCAAAACTGGTGACGTCCGGAAATTGGGCACAAATTGGCAGAGTGCTCCCTAACGTGGCGCACTTGAATACATCTCGGAAAATTCCAAATTAACATTAAGAACTTCTGCAAACTTGATAAATTTTGATAAATAATTATTATCTCTACTTACATACCCAGCCAGATGTTTGTCAGAAAATTATTTTCTTATTTTTCGGGGCATTTTCAAAGGGTTCACTTTGCACTTGAAAATAAAATCGGAAAATCACGCCAAAATAATATTTTTCTTCTAACTTTGTTACGGGTAAATAAACTCGCGATTTATGAACAGGAGTGTTTAGAACTTGATGAAATTTCACTTTCTGTGAAATTTCAGTTAAAACTTTTGCTCTAGGTAGGCGCTACCGGCGAAAAATCAAAGTGCGCCACGTTGGGGGCCGCGCCACGTTAGGGTACATCAACAATATATCGACCATAAGCAGTAAGCAGTGGCATAACTAGAGTTAAACTCAATAATGTCTTTTCCGCATTCAATTGCAAGTCAAATTTATTGCCAATCGTTAAAAAAGTGTTGTGTGTTTTTTTTTAGGTTCCTGCGACTATAAATCGCTATCTGAGGGATTACCAGAGGGAGGGAGTGAAGTTCCTGTATCGGCAGTATCAGAAGGGTGAGGGCGGCATATTGGGGGACGACATGGGACTGGGCAAAACGGTGCAGGTGAGTACGTCATGCAGTTATTTGATATTATCTCTTAGACAATGAAGTCTCATTGGCCTATGTAAGGCTGTGTCCAAATGACTTGGCTGTGGCTAGCAGTAACACACATGTCTATGGCAAGTGGCTTCAGCTGCTTCCATAGGGGCATGTGTGCATATAAGCCACAGCCATATAATTTGGGACAGTGACATTACTCACACAAATTTGATGTTGCATCAAATGCACACTGTAACTTCATTTGCACCGAACTTTCTACAATGGCAAGATGAAGCCATTTTGACAATGTTTTACTTCACAACAGTTAAATTGTTTGTTGTTATTGGAGGAATGGAGTGTAGTGGCCTTGTGGTCCGGAGTATTAATTCGTGGTCTGTGGGTAATTCTTGAGGTTGTGGGTTCGAGTCCAGCCTGGGGCTATGGTGCGTGTGCCCTTCGGCAAGGCACTTTGTCACTCATTGCTTCTCTCCACCCATGAGTAAATGGGTACCTGTGAGGGCAGAGATGGTTAAATTGTGGTTGATTTTAGCTGCTTTGCGCCGAAATGGCAGCATGGAGCTGTATACTCCCCAGGGAGCTGAGATTGTCTTTGGAATGTTTCATTGGCCCAATGAGCAGGGGTAATAATGATGTAGTGCCCTTGAGCACCGATACCAATGGATATGTGTGCTTTATAATTAAACCTTTTATTTTATAACTATAGAGGAATGTTGATACTGTGTTGTGGTTGATATTGTTTTGCTCACCCTAGGGTACAAATACACTGGGAATTTCACAATGATTTGCTCTTTGCCCACGCAGGTCCTGGCCTTTCTGTGCGCTGTGCTCGGGAAAACCGGAACCAGGGAGGACTGTCAGAGACGATTGCCTGAGTTCTTGCAGAAGGTAAACTAGACCGTATTAGGGACCACTTGGTTATGGGTATGGGGTCCGTGCATGAACTAGAGAGGGCGCTATGTAAAGTAACCGTGAGAGAGAAATTGAGGTTAATACAGCAGCCACTATGAGAAGACATAGCTGACGTGTCACATCACTCTTGCATTCCGTTTGACTACCAACAGAAGCTGAAGACCACACGTGGCCATTCATCTGAGGTATTTCTCATCATTTGCCCCAACTCAGTCATCTACAACTGGCTGGATGAGTTTGAAACGTGGACCTACTGTACAGTTGGGTAAGTATATATAACACTCAATTTGTTCTTCGTATTTTGAGAGAATGCATTCAAGGATTGAAGAGAATCCACATCTAATGACATCAGGGTCCTTTAAAGCCACTCTCAAGTTAAATTTGAATAACATCTAGTATCCTGCGTTTTTGTCCATTGTGAGATTTTGAATTCCAAGACAAATTCACTAGTGATAATTTACATGATCTGTGGCAAGCTTAGGCAGCTGTGGAATGGTCTGGTGTCCGTCAACAATCTTATACAATCTGTAAATAGTGGCATGGTGCTAGGCAGTGGCATCTCAGCAAGGTCAAAGTTGTGAAATAAGGTTATGATTATTACAAAAAGGATGCTCTAGCTAGTCTGGGGGGGAACTTTCATGGACCAGTTAAGCAAAGAAATGTGCATAGCAGAATCAGTACTTGCTGAGCTAAAAAATTTGACTTAGCAGAGAGAAGTTTAGCAGAGACTCAATGGGCTCTGTGCATGAACAAGAGAGGGCGCTTTTTGACAACTTTCAAGAGCCCAGTGGACAGGACAGACTGTGTGCGCATGCTGGTTCACGTGCGTAAATCACAAAGTACGCACGATCGACTTATTTTTTGTGTGAATGTGCAAAAAGCCATGTACTATCTTCGCATGAGCATCAGGCGTCATCGGCAGTGCATTCAAGTGTCTCTTCCAGTGGTCTCCCCCAACTCTCCCTTTCTTGCCATTGAGGGGATACTTGTGCACGGAGACCATTTAGCACTTTAGACTGGTTCTCAGCTGATTTTGCTGGGCACAATAACTTGCTGAGCTGAGCAATTTTTTTTTCTCGGAATATCTATATGGAATAGATCTAAGACCTAATGACGTAATGGCTTTGTTTACATATGCGCTTTCCTATGGGGGTTAAGTCGGGATGCCAGACGAAGTAGGGACCGTCTTCCACATAGGAAAGCACACATGTTAAAACAAAGCGTGATGTCATTAGGTCTCAGCCTTATTGGGCCTCAATAATCAGCAAGCCATTTCTTTGCTCTTATTACCTCAGAAAGTACCACGGTCGTGAGAGGCAGGAGACCCTATGGAAAGCCATGAAGGGCAAACTGGATGCTGTCATCACTAGCTACGAGACCTATAGAATCTATATGGTAAGTCCATGGTCATGAGTTTACCTCAGCGTTAAGGAAAATATTTCCGAATGATCTGGAAAGTTCTCAAATATGTCTTTGCTCCTAAGTCTGGAATCCATTAAAAATACCGCAAAAAACTTATTCACCTGCTGTTACACTTACATTGTTTTTATAAGAAAGACACACTCAAGTGATAATTGCATATTATTTTTTACAATTATTTTATTTGCAGGATTCGCTGCTGCAAGTTAAATGGGCTGGCGTCATAGTGGACGAAGTTCACAAAATCAAGGTAGACATGCATGTAATGATGACCTGCTCATTGGCAATAAGGAACCATCCAATAAACCTTGGGCAAAAAAGTTTGCGGTTTGATTGGTTAATTTGGAACTACAATTTGTTCGTCAGACTAGGGATAACTAAAAACACGGCATTTTGAGCAGAGTTTTGAAACCAAGAATTCAATTCGTATAAAATTAACCCTGTCTATATTCTTCAATATTTTCCTTTTCCCCCTTTTGCAATGTGCACACGTTTGGTAATAGGAGCCAGGGTCCCAGATCACGCAAGCCTTGAAGGAAGTAAACACAATGCGTCGCTATGGCCTGACAGGCACGGCGCTGCAGAACAAACTCTCCGAGCTGTGGTGTGTGCTGGACTGGTGAGTATTTCAAAACCTCAGATAAAAGGAGATATGGCTCTTTCAATGGAGTCAGAAAATTTCTCGTGGCATTTTGACAAATTTTTAGTTAAGGCATGAATAGTCACTCAGTTTTACTAAATTTTTACTGTTAATCTTGATTGTTACCTTTCTAGATTTTTAAGAAACTTTTTAGATATTTTAAAGAAAAACGGGATACGGATGTTACACGGGCACTGCACAATTTTTGACCATGTTTGGTTCATATTTAAAATTGTAATGCCTATGTTCCCACCATAAAATGAAAGACTGACACTATAACACACCATTCAAAAAGTTGTATTTTGGAAATTAAATTTTATGTGTAGTTTGAGTGCTATTTCAAGAAATCTGTTAGTTTCACAAATGTCACAAACTCTGACATGATGGCTTGTGATAGCACGGGCTCCGTACTGGTTTGCGTGCGTATGGTGTGAAGTACGCACGACTGATTTTATTCTGACAATTTAGCGTCTTCTCGTGAGCGTCAGGCGTCGTTTGCAATGCGTTCCTATGTCTCTCCCAGTGGTCTCCCCAGACTCTCCCTTCATTGCCGTTGAGGGGGTACTTGTGCATGGAGCCCATTGATCTCCATATACCGTAATTTTCGGAATATAAGCCGCGCGGCGTATAAGCCGCAGCACGCAAAAATCTGCAAATTAAGATTTGAAGTCGGCGTATAAGCCGCACCGGCGTATAAGCCGCACCGACCGCTGCGGTTTCAATTTTGTAAGGCCTCCAAATTCTAGTCAAAAAGCTCTGAACCAGTTCCATTTACACTACAGAAGCTATTAAAGGACCACAATAGTTATATCAAATCATTTACAATCGATACTTTTACAAACAAATATGGGAATTGATGAGAAATAAACACCGGGAACTGCTGCCGGCTGCCCCGTCATAGCCCGGCAGCCTGCGCCACGCACGCCGGTGAATGACAACATTTTCCCACAGCACGTGAGAGAGTATGAAACCCACCGTGTGTTGTCTGACTGGTCAGACTGGAGCGCTACAAATCTTGCTTTGTGGCAACAGATGCTGATTTGTTTTGTCCTAAAGAATAAACAGGTCCGTTTTTACCTCAAAACTTATCAAAACTTATCAAATTGTTGCGATTACTGACGAGTAGCTGCGATAAAAATTCAAGTTTCGATCGTAACTTTCTTCGGAAATAGTCAAAACGAAGCGGACATTTTAATAGACGAATCCATTAATTTTGTAAGGGGTGATTTAGTCCCTCTTTTGAGTTTTACATCGTTTCTTGAATACATTTCAAGAAAACAAAATATATTGTGACGTTGAACAACTGATTATGTAATAAAAAAATGTTTCGAACGCCATAAATATTTTAGTCGTCTTTTTTCTTTTTTTTTAAACAGCGGAAATATTGGTAATTATTGTTCCCAAGAAAGAACACCCCTTTATTACCACAAATGGTGTGGTCCGCTGGGGGGAAAGCATGTTGCATATCGCTGCTGCACTGTACCAGTATCACGTACGGCTGGTTGCAAGTGTCGAAGACAACTTTCATCACCGTACTTTTTACCGCTCGGTACCTTTACGTGAGACGTGGTTTCGGTTTGTTAATGACTTTCTTAATTTATAATTCATTTCAGCAACACATCTTTTCTTGTACCAGTACATTAAATACACATAGTACATGTGAATCTTATTTTTATTCTTCAAGGCTCGGCGTATAAGCCGCCCTGTGTATAAGCCGCAGTAAACATTTTCATGGGCAAATTCAACGTATAAGCCGCGGCTTATATTCCGAAAATTACGGTACACAGACTGGATAGGACATCGCGTACGAACGTGCGTCCGCGCGCGCGTTTTTTGAAAAGGGTAAAGAACACAATTTCGCATTCCGAGTTGTGTACACTTTCGAACGGAGGATTAAAAAATGAAGTTGGGTTTTCTTCGGGTTCTTTGTCATTTTTGAAAGAATAAAAGAAACAGAGATCTAAATTGATCAAAATCGATGAGGAGTATAGTTAAGGTGTGCGCAGCATTAGATTGCTGGAGTCGGGAAGTAAGGAGCGTTGAAGAATAGGACAATTATTCGCAAGTAAGTTTTTTTTTTTAACGAGGCCTATACAACATGGCATGGAGGAATATGAACATAGCAACTGAATTATAATATCGTTAGTGTTGTCGCCCTGATTTTGAGGGGATGGAGGCCTGTGTGGTAGCTAGCGAGATATTCTGTTCAAATTCCATGCGACCTAGACCTGTCATGCTGGTCGCCGTCCATGTTTTTTTAAGACATAGGCCTAAACGTGCATTACTGAACCGGCAATGGGCAATGAACAAAAGTTGACTTGTTTACAATAGTTTATTCGAATAACCTTTATAACCTTTATATATGTCTGCCTTGGCTTTAGCTCTACTGAGTGGAGGGCTGAAACTTCGGTACCCTCCGTACAAGCTTGTACGTAGGGTACCGAAGTTACAGCGCTTCACTCAGTAGAGCCCTTGGCTTAACGCCTACCGAAATATTTCTATTATTTTTCTTTAAAAAGAGAAACCGAGGAGATGGTTTATGCTAACTTACTGCACAACTGGCCGATTGACCTTAATATCAAACAAAGAACTTCAACAAAGCCATATAGCAAAAACCACCAGCTGCAGGACCGAGCCGGACGAAAATGGAGAACTTCACGGAGGGATGGAATCGACTGTATCATCCACTGAATGGAACATGCGATGTGATAGGCATCTGAGCGTTTGACTTAATCAATTTTTACGATGTGGAACTGTTAACATTGATTGATTAGGGGTTTGGAAAGAAGTTGTGGAGTTCAACGCAAGTATTTTTATGAGCTCCCAAGATGACTGTCACATTATTGACAGTTTGTATGGTGAAGAAAGCAATGAGTACTTTTACGGTTTGAAATTATGTTCACAAAAACGATTCCCATTGTACACTGACAAGTAATTATATTTATTTTCAGAAGTATAGCTAAAAATTTAATTATAAACAAGACCGTGCCTAGCTTGAATTATTCTTTGACAAAATTAGTACAGTACTATTTTGGTTTGTGATTCATCTCCTTTCACACAATTTCACAAGAGGTGAACGATGTCATTCCCTGATCAATCTAGGGACGGGAAGAAGTTTTTACTGATTACTGTAAAATTAAGGTTTGTTTACCTTTTAGATTGTAATTGGTGTATGTTCAGGTTTTTTAATAAATATATCAATCATTTGAATGAATCTCCATACAATTTCTCGTGTGAGTGTTCAGTTAAAAAAAATATGATGTAATTTTAGCATATTATTAATACAATTATTCATTTCGTTGATGGAGTAATTCAGTGTGCTCTAATGACCAATGTGCCAAAAATGAAATGGCAATTTACTTACAATCATTTTTGGGAGGAGGAGGGATTAAAAAAAAAATAAGGGAAAAGGAAAGGGGGGGGGGTTCTTGAATTTCGAAAATGCATAATAAGAAAGTGTATATCAAGAAAGTATGGAAAAGCTGTTTGGAGGGATTGAGGGTAACTCTTCATCGTTCAGTTATTTTTTTTTAAAAGATTGTTTTGGAGGTACGCTTGAACTCCCTCCTGTAAGAAACATTTCACTCGATAATCCATTTTCCAAAGTAAACAAAGTGAAAGCACAATGCGCGTTTGCCCGTCTGACAGTAAACGCGCCGCCATTGTTCGGCCGCGCATTCGTGCACAAACAGGGCGCGATGTCCTATCCAGTCTGTGTATATGGAGATCACTGATGGAGCCCATAGCAATTGACTTGTGATGACTTGAATACAGTTCTGCGTTCAGAACTTCTCAACCATGCCAATTTTGAACACTGACCCACCAATGAACGATTTGTTTTTGTCTGAATCTTGACAGGGCCAATCCCGACTGCCTAGGCTCCTTGGCCAAATTCAAGCTCAACTTTGAGGAGTCGATCTCCAAGGGCCAAAAGTTCCACGCTAGCAAGAGGGAACTTGCAGAGAGCAGAAAGGGTACAGTGTCTTGCTTTTTACTTTTAACTTTTGGGGGGGGGGGGGGGAATGTAACCTTAAAAAAAACACGATAAATACAAAAAAGTAGAACACATGCAGTCAAAATGCATGACCAAATTTGACAAAATGACAACATTTGTGAATGCCAGTGCCACCCTACACCAGGTACCCACGTAAAGATGCTCGGAGTTTGTGAATGTTCAAAATAAAAATGAGTTTTGCGCACTCTGCACCATATGTCCTTGAACCAGTGCAAGCTCGCATTTAATTGTTCACTTGTGGTTCTTGTAAGAATAATAAATCCTCGTCATCTGAGTGGTCAGTAGTGTGACCGTGCAATGGAAATTCTGATTTTGTGGTGCGGCTGTGCCGTATGTTGGTACAAATAATTCAAGGACATGTGGTCAACGACCAACCAATCAGATGACAAGGATTTTTTTCAGGTGTTGTTCAATTTTAACTAATGTTTCCCAGCTGAATTTAATGGATACATTTGACTGCATTGACTGCACAGTGTGGCACGGAGGTGTGTATGAATAATTTGTCCCCCTTAATTCTTTTGGTTTTGTAGTGTCTTCCCAGTTTGCTGAGCTGCGAGACCAGTGGATGATCAGACGCACCAAGGCTCTGATCAGTCACCAACTACCCACCAAAGGTACTTATTACAAGCCACAAGTTGCAAAATAAAGATTTTTTTTTAAAATTTGTGTCTTGAATCTTGACCTAAAACCATGCTGTCTATGCTTAGCAAATGCCATAGCTGTCTGTGCCTTGAAATTTATCCCAAGCGACTTTTCTTTCCAGACGAAAAGGTGGTGTTTTGCAAGCTGTCCGCTCTGCAGCTGAGTATATACCAGGCGCTGCTGGAGTCAGACGATATGCAGTTAATCCTCAAACAGAAAGATACATGCGACTGTGGGAGTGGAAGCATACGTATACAGTGCTGCTATAAGGTTAGTGCATGAAGGGCTGTATACAGGTATGCCATGTGCTCTATCAAAATGAGGCATAAGTTACTCCATGACTCTGGCCATTTGTGTTACAGTTGCAAAAATGTAGCAATTTAATAAACTACATTCCTTCAATTTCTTGCCATTTTAAACAGCCTTTCCTTCTAAAGACCAAAATGCTTTGTGCCTTTGACTTTGTTTTCGGGTAATTAACTTTCACGTTAAATTCTGATAACTTTATTCCCCTTATTATTTTATGTCATTAAAGCAATATATGTTTGAAGTAATGGGAATATTTTTGGAAGGAATAATGACGACTTCCCTTAGTAATTCCAAATCACTTTATCTTCAAGCAGACTTGAATCCTTGATCCTAATTGGTCGATCCATGGAAACAACAGTGTGGTATTATCCCATTTAACACGGCCCATGTCATGCTCTGTGTATCGCGCTATTCTAAGATGCGCGTGCTGAAAATTGTGTGAACCATACTGCATGTCTGCTCCATCTTTACAGTTCGTTAAGTTTTCTGAAAGATAAATTTGTTATCCCATGAGCGCGATTTGAACACAGAATAATGTAGCGAGTCTGTGTCCTATATGCCAAGAGGTTTCCTATTGAATTAGACCAGTAGTATTTAAAAGAAAAATTAACGAGAATTAAATAAAAAATAAAAGAAAAATAGAATTAGCTGTTGCAAACTGCTTACCAACCAAAAGGACCTATGGTATAAATGCAAAAAAATAGTTAGTGGCCTGAAGTTTCGACCCTAGCAGAGTCTTTCTCGAAGGCTAAATGACAAGACTTTAAACACATGTATACATTACTGATGTAACAAAAGCAGTAAAGTGGAAATAGATGATGCCGAGGAAAATACACAGAGAAAGCAGGCGGCTGAACAGAAAGGAGGGTAACAAAAGGGAGGGGGATTGGGGGAAGGGGATGGTTGACCACAAGAGGTGGGGAACACAAAGGACAAAGTCAATGATGGGGAGAGGGAGAGAAAGGTAGTTAATTGGTGAATGAGGCAGACTGGAGGGGGGGGGCTTATCTGTGGTGAAAAGGAGAAGGCAAAGACAAAAAGTTATTAGTCATTTCCTTCTTGGATGTTCAGACCATGGGGTTGAATGGTCTGCAGACGTCTTATCCATAATTTCTCTCTACTCAGATGAACAATCTCTATGTGGTTTCCTAGTGCCTCAATGCCCTGTAAAATCATGTCAGAAATTGAGTGATTAGGAAGATTGAAATGATGTCCTATGGGTGTATCCAGCTTATGGGTGTTGAGAATTAAATTAATACGGAGTTTGCATTACCCCATCTTTATTTCACAGTACAACTCTGAAGGTGAAAAAGTGAAAGCGTTGACGATGACATTCATGAGCCTGCTGATCAAGGTAGCCAATCACGTCGCGTTACTCACGCCAGACGTCAGCATGTCCGACGTGCAGCGCAAGAGGGCCCAGAAGTACTGCGACATCGCGTTTGCCCGCCACCCGCAGTTCGTGGCGCTGAGCCGCGAGGCGCGGTTCTGCACACTGTCGGACCCGTCTTACTGTGGGAAAATGCAGGTAGGATAAATGTATCTTATTTGACAAGGAAAGCCCAAAGTTGTTCGACAGTAAATCACAAGTCAGTCACAAGTCTGGTCAATAGTAACAGTTCCTTGAGCAACTTGATTTTTGATTGACTTGTGGTTGATTTGTAATATGAAGCTGGGAAAACTTTAGAATTTCCCAAGAAAACACAAGATTCCTAGCAGACTATTGATGCCCATCTAAGCCACTCTCCTAAGAATTCCTCAGATCCTCAACATTCCCAAGAAAACCCAAAGTTCCTAGCAGACCATCAATGAGCCTTTAAACCACTCTCGCTGGAATTCTCAAGATCCTTATTAGAATTCCCAAGAAAACCCAAGATACCTAACGGACTATCAATGCACTTGCAAGCCACTTGCCCTAAAATTTCCAAGATCGTCAACATTCCTAAGAAAACTTTAGAATTTCCCAAGAAACACAAGATTCCTAGCAGACTATTGATGCCCATCTAAGCCACTCTCCTAAGAATTCCTCAGATCCTCAACATTCCCAAGAAAACCCAAAGTTCCTAGCAGACCATCAATGAGCCTTTAAACCACTCTCGCTGGAATTCTCAAGATCCTTAATAGAATTCCCAAGAAAACCCAAGATTCCTAGCAGACTACCAATGCACTTGCAAGCCACTCGCCCTAACATTTCCAAGATCATCAACATTCCCAAGAAAACCCAAGATTCCTAGTGGACCATCAATGTCCCTCCAAGCCACTCTCCTTAAAATTTCCAAGATCCTCAACATTCCCAAGAAAACCCAGGATTCCTAGCAGACCATCAATTAATGCCCCTCCAAGCCATAACCAATTCTTATTGCACTGCTAAGCACACTCTTTTTTCTGTTAACAAAAACATTGTAAAACTTGCAAACTGCAAAGTCTGACTTGACACCCACAAGGGCTATATTTCATTAAGAAATATTACATGATGCAACTAGAAAGCACTCAGAGAGCGCAAGCTTCCGCCAGGGCTAAACAATTCCCCGCCATATTGTCAGTACACCCAAAAGAAATACTCGCATAAATGGTGAAGAATCCGTAAAAAAAATCCTGCATGCAGACCCAGAAAACAAATTCTGAAACTGAAATATTTTGTAGTTTACATGTACATGTATATATGCCTGTGTTGGTCTACCTTTCCACTGCCCCATTGTATAAAATGGTCTAGTCCATTGACCTGCGTGGCTAGATTAGGTGGGTGATAAGGCATACAGGGTCACCGGGTCAGTGCCACGCACACGAAGCTGGTCACACAGAGCGATCTGATGAAAATTTTCCATATGATGGGTGAAAAATCCTTCAAAAAAAATTCTGCATCCAGATGCAGATCCGGATCACTTCAAAATCTAATCAATTTGTACTTATACCCAGGACCACCCCTGCCAAAATTTTCATGAAATCCGTCCATAACTTTTTGAGTTATCCTGTTCACAGACAAACACACTAACCAACCGACACACAAACCAACGCCGGTGATAACATAACCTCCTTAGCAGAGTTAATTACACAATCTAATCTATAATATAACAATATTTTGACGCTGTGCTTCTTCATCATTTTTAGATTCTAGAGAAAATCTTAACAGTCTTCAAGCAAGAAGGCAGCAAAGTCCTCCTCTTCTCCTACTACACCCAGCTGCTCAACATCATCGAGATGTACCTTAAGACCACCGATTATGTCTATCGTCGCTTGGACGGAAAAACACCGATACAGGACAGACAGAGGTTCGTCCATGAGTTCAACACGGACCCCGACATCTTTCTCTTTCTCATATCCACCAAGTAAGTTATTGATCTAATGTAGGTTTGTGGCAGTTTCTAGGGATCTTGGGTTTTCTTGGGAGTCTAAGGATCTTGGGTTTTCTGGGGAAATCTAAGGATCTTAGGCCCAAGAAAAGTCTAGAAAATCCAAGATACTTAGAATCTCAAGAAATCCCACATCCATAGAATTTCTAAGAAAACCCAAGATCTTTAGAATTCCCAAGACCATTAGAAAATCCCAGGAATTCCTAGAAAACCGAAATTCTAAGAGTTCTCTAGAAAACCCCAGATCACCAGAAAACCCAAGAAAACTCAAGATCTTAGATCTCCCAAGAAAAACCATCATCCCAAGGAAACCCAAATCCCATGAAAACCCTAGGAAGCCCAAGATCCTTAGAACTTTGAGTTTTTGCATCAGGCTTGTTTGAGTTTGAATCAAGTTGTTTGAAATTCAGAGTTTTGAATAACGTGCATCCACACTTTTTGGCTTTGAACAGAGCTGGCGGTTTGGGGCTAAATCTGACGGGCGCCAACGTGGTCGTCATATTTGACCCTAACTGGAACCCGACCTATGACCTCCAGGCCCAGGATAGAGCCTACCGCATCGGCCAGCATCGGGACGTCCGAGTCTATCGGCTGATCTCCACGGGTTCCATCGAGGAGAATATGTACCTGAGGCAGGTTTACAAGCAGGTCAGTAATTGGTTAGGTGGGGACAAGGGCTTCATCTTTAGTTTTGACTTTGTTTCGAGCTTGAAAACCATTAAGAAGCCCTTAATATCCAAACCAACTTAAAATACCCTTAAGGTTGGACTTAAATTTTAGGATTAAATTTTCAAAATGTGAAGGTTTATATTGAGCAGCAGTCCCCTTAAGGCCGGTTTATACTTCTTGCAAAAGCAAAAAGTGAATTTCATGAAGTCAAGAACTGAAGTTGTGAGGATAACCATTACCATGACCAATTCGCTTCGCACTAAAATTCCTGCAGAGTGTGAATCGCCCTTAAGTCAGGGGCCTAAAACCACGAAACCTCTCAGACGTTAAACACAAATTTCTAGAGTCAGCTTTGATTTTTTTTGTAGGAAAGCCTTTAAACTGTACACTGAATACTTAAAGCGACATAAAACAATAAACACTGTCAGTTGTAATGATATCAAGGGTTCTTGAAAAGTGCACTCGCACTTTGGGGACAAATCATTGAGAAACAATGTACCGGTATATGTTCAGTTATAGAGGTGGAAGGCAAAACCCCAAAATACAATTTTTTTTTTTCAGAGAAAACCCAACTCAGTTGTCGACCTTAGAGACCAGTGGAATTTTTGAGGAAAGCGCAACCCACCTAACTCTCGATGTGACTGTGACTGACTTTGCATAATTATTTGTATTTTGATTGTTTTTGATTGGTCGAACAGCAACTAGCCAGTGCGGCAGTGACGTCTGAGAACCCCATGAGGTATTTCACGGCCGTCGCGGGGGACAAGAAGCAACAGGGAGAGCTGTTTGGTCTCCACAACATGTTTGCGCTGAGAGCGGACACATCGTGCCTCACCAAAGACCTCATACAGGTAGAATCAGCCAGGATATTTGTCAGACTTTAGTCTGAAATCAGACATTTTGGATCTGAGAGAAAGACATTATCAGTATTGAAAGAAATGCATCTTTCAGACTTTTAATCCAATTTTCAGACTTTTTTCTTCTTCAAAATTGACAATATTATTCCTGTAGAATGCATTAAGAGTGTGTACTGGGTTGCTAATGGTACTGAGCATGCGCAATTATTTTTTTTAAAATTTAGATTGCACAAACCCTAATGACTATTGTATTTTTTCAGAAAAACCAAATGTATTCATTGTGCTTTTCATTTCAGCGCCACGTTAAGACTGAACAGGGTATTACCTTGGCCAAGTACATCTCCCCTCCACCCTCTGTGTCAGATACTGAGCAGGTAATTTACTGTTTATTTATTTAATTAATTATTAAGCAAAAATAAAAACAAATTCTTCTCAAGTCTTTGACACTGTTTTGATTATTAAGTATTAATAAATAAAGTGTCTGTAAAAAAGTCATTAGTATTTAATGTCGACTACCGTAGATTCACCCAAATTTGAAACAAAACAAAAAATTGTGTACCTTCCATGAATTTTTAGAGTGCTTACAGAAATTTCCGACTCTTTGACTGCAGAAAATGTTGCCTTACTTAGACAGAAATAAAACAATTAAAGAGGTTGTGGAATGCTCGAAAACATTTCCGTCATTTTTCGGGTATATGTAGCCTAAGGTGTGATGAAATAAAAACGACTATTGGTTCTGTCATGAAATGAGTACAAAGGGTACTTTTGAGAGCTATTTTTCAGGTCCTGTTTCGACCCGAACGTGCAATTTGTGTAAAAGTCGTCGTTGCGGGCAGCAAACAAAACACAGTAAATCGTGACGTAATAAACAGGACTCGTTTATGCTACTCTGCATCGGGAGTCCTGTTTATTACGTCACGATGTACTGTGTTTTGTGTGCTGCCCGCAACGACGACTTTTACACAAATTGCACGTTCGGGTCGAAACAGGCATGACAGGACTTGAAAAACAGCTCTCAAAAGTACCTTTTGTACTCATTTTATGACGGAAACAATAGTCGTTTTTATTTCATCACACCTTAGGCTACATTTACCCAAAATATGACGGAAATGTTTTCGAGCATTCCACAACCTCTTTAACACTGCAAGATGATAAGCTTGCTGTGTGCAAAGAGTGAAGCATGTTGTATGAAAGCATAGACTTCTGTGGTTGGTAGACACATTTTTCATTTTTCTCTCCTTATCTGCGTTGTTTTTGCCACAGACTTCCAAAGAGGAGGCCTTATCAGACAGTGATGGGGAGAGTGATAGTTCCCACGGCAACCACGGGAACACTGACGCCGAGGACGATCACGGTGTGGCGTCGCAGTTCCTCGGCGACGGCGATTTCAGCGATGAAGAGACGAACGACGATCCGCAGAAGCCAGCTTTCAAAGAACATGACACCAAAAGGAAAACAAGTCCTCCAAATTCCATCAACCCCCCTGGGAAAACAACAGCTCCGTCTTGCCACAAGAGAAACACTGCAAAGACTTTTGTAGTGCCGACTTCTAAAAGGAGAGAACACCATGCACAAATGGCATCCGGCTCTGATTCGGACGAGGACACGAAGGTGGACCGAAGAGCTGTCCGCGGAAAAGCGATCCTTCACAGGGACGGACGGGTTGAGCGGCGCATCAAAGGCGTCGCAGCGGATCAACCAAACAACAGCGCTACTAGAGTCAAAGGTCAAGCCAAGCTAGGCAAGAGGTCAGAGGCCACGTCAACAAAGCAAGATGGCGGCAGAGTGGCAGGGAACCGTATCCGTGCAAAGGAACGGAACAAGTCTACCAATGCTGTTGATGATGTTTTCAGTGAGTACTCGTGTTGTATTGTGAAGCACTGTGGTCTAATTGTTACTGTGTCCCACTCAATGATGCATGGGTTTTTAACCCTGATTGGGAACATGGTGCTTGTGTTCTCCGGCAAGATACTTTACAACAATTGTCTCTCTCTACCCAGGAGTATAAATGGGTACCTGTGACGGTAGAGTCCTGGGCCCAATTTCACGGCGTTGCTTAACAGTTAGCAGAAAAGGTGTGCTTAGCATAGCAGAAAAATGTGCTAACCCTTAGCATTATTTCACAGCGTGTGTGTGCTAACGGTCGCGCGTGCATGGAGATTTCTATTGTTACGTCACTAAGTTAAGCAGATTTTTCCTCTGAAGTGAGCGTGCCTTTTGCTGTGCTTATGCTTACGGTCTCCATGAAATAGACGGAGGCTCTGTTAGCAGAAAATCGTTTGCTTAGCAGCGCCGTGAAATTGGGCCCTGATTGCACTGATCTGGAGCTGCTGCAGAAAAACTGGTCTCATTCCTGATGAACAGGGAGAATAATTGTGAACACTTTGAAACTTTAGTATAAAGCGCTATATAAGCACCACAATATTCTCAAAGAAGGTCGTCCGCTGAAAGCATTTAGAAGACAATCGATGGTTTGTCCCACCACTAGTGAAATACATATATCGCTTGCTGGGATCTTAGGAGGAAACATACTTAGGGCCACTGGATTGCATTGCAGGCATTGTTACTGAGCACAGCTTTGAAAGTATGCATAATCGTTACGGGTAGTAAAGACAACTTTGCAAAAACCTAGTGAGCGTATGTGTGTGAGGTTTCATACTGCAAACTGCTTGGACAGGCACAGCTTTCCAAACCACATTACTTTGTTATACACTGCGCACCCATTTTACATTTTATCATAAACCTGTTGCAAAATTTCTCACTGCACTTCTGACTTTAATAAGTTCTATCATCACAAAGTTCAAAAGTATAAAATAAGGTTAAATGCAGAAATTCATTTTGGTCTTGTTTTTGTCTTAATTCCAGAGGAGTGCGGGGTCGCTTTCATCCATTCCAACATGAAGATAGTTGGGGGTAGCCGTGTGGAGGATCATGTCACCAACATTGCTATGAGAGACGTGTATGACTTGGGACTGAACTCGCAGCAGCCAGCTAATTACAACGTACCAACGCTACAAGAGGTAGATAAACGTTGCTTAGTGCAAAAGTACGCAGTTTACTAAGCAATATTTAATACTGCTTAGAAACTCGAAGAAATTGGGCCCAGGCACCTGTTCTGACATTATTTTTGACACTATTTTTGCCAAAAATAATTTTCGAAAAAGGCAAAATATAGCAGCCAACTTTTGATATTACAACCAAACGCCACAAATACTGATTCGCAAGAGTCATTTCAACAGCATATTTATGATATTTATTACAGCAACCTCATATTTTTCAACACTTATCCGGGGTGTGCACACGGAGCGTAAATTGTACCACAACAGGCCGTGCACAGCGGCCTTGTTCAAGTTCAACACACGGTCCGCCTCCACAGACTTCTTGGACTTTGTGTGTGTGTACAAAATAAATAGGGGATTATCATGTTTAGACATCATCCGGAGGCGAGTCGAGGCATGCTTTACGTTAAAACCCGTCGGCCGTGCCTGTGTATAAAAACAGCCAGATCGTGTTAACACGTCATCCGACACGAATTGGTTAAAAACTTATGTGAGGAACTCTTCAAAGTCCAATTTTTTTTTGCTGAAGTGTGCATGTATTTGAGGTTTACTTTTTATGCCCCGCGGCGAAGCCGAAGGGGCATACTGTTTCCGCCTTGTCCTTCCGTGGGTGGGTGGGTGTGTGGATGTGTGTGTGGGTGGGTGAGTTTGTCTTACATACGCAGTGTGGACTTCCGAACAAAAGACGTCCACATAATGTAGGTAGCACCGACGTTGTGTGGACTTACCCCACGTCCACACAGTGTTTCCCCATTTCTGGAAAACAGGTTTAGAGGCATTTTTGGGTTAGGTTTATCTGTAGCAGAATGAAGAGAAACACTAAAGGGAATCATAGAAAAAAAATTGGGTTGAAAGAGTTTTCACAGTTTGAGAAAAATGAGTTTTTTCACTACACGAAAGCAATGGAAAGTCCACACTAGTCATGTGAAACAAGTATGGGTGGGTGTGTGGGTGTGTGTGTCCGGACAATCTTGTCAGCGCGATAACTTGAGAAATACTTAACATATGAACTTCAAATTTGGTTTGTGGATTGTCCTTGGTAATCCTAAGAAGCCTTTTGCATTTGGGGCCGAAAGGTCAAGGGTCAAGGTCACAGTGGCTGAAACAATAGAAATTTTGTCAGCGCGATAACTTGAGAAATACGTTACATATGAACTTCAAATTTGGTATGTGGATTGTCCTTGGCAATTCTAAGAAGCCTTTTACATTACGGGCCAAAAAGTCAAGGGTCAAGGTCACAGTGACTAAAACAAAAGAAATTTTGTCAGCGCGATAACTTGAGAAATACTTTACATATGAACTTCAAATTTGGTTTGTGGATTGTCCTTGGTAATCCTAAGAAGCCTATTGCATTTGGGGCCGAAAGGTCAAGGGTCAAGGTCACAGTGGCTGAAACAATAGAAATTTTGTCAGCGCGATAACTTGAGATATACTTTACATATGAACTTCAAATTTGGTTTGTGGATTGTCCTTGGCAATCCTAAGAAGCCTTTTGCATTTGGGGCCAAAAGGTCAAGGGTCAAGGTCACAGTGGCAAAAACAAAAGAAATTTTGTCAGCGCGATAACTTGAGATATACTTTACATATGAACTTCAAATTTGGTTTGTGGATTGTCCTTGGCAATCCTAAGGAGCCTATCGCATTGGGGGTCGAAAGGTCAAGGGTCAAGGTCACAGTGGCTAAAACAATAGAAATCTTGTATTTATTCTGAGATCATAGGGATTAGGGATTAATTCATATAAAACCTACAGAAGACACTAATGCTGTCAATGAACGTTCCATTTGACCAAGGTACATGTAATTTGATGTTAGAGTGGTGTTATGTCATGGAAACAGTCACGGTTGCGGGGCATTTGTGTTTGTAAACACACCTGACTTGTTTAAAAACTATTTTGGAATTGGACTTAGACTTAGACTTAGCTTCTCAAATGCAGGGTTCATGAAAAAGATCTGTCTGCTTTAACAAACTCGTTGAATCTCGTTAAATTGAATTAATTATCTAGAATTAAGAAGACCTGACCTGCCTAGGAAAGTTTTTAACTTAATTTCACCTTTACAATTCTGTCAATGTGCTTTGTTGATTGCAGTCCATGTCCAACAGCTCTAGCCAAGAGAAGGATTCCGTCCAATCACACGAGCCGTTACCTGCTTCCCTGCTTGCCCAATCACAGCGGGCGTCTCATAGAATCAACGGGACAACTGTCCTGTTTGGGCAAACGCCTCGAGGCATAAAAAGGTACCATATCTCATTATCTGTGTGTTCGATATGCAAACCCCCATTTGAAACATGTAATGCTTTTAAAGTTTTTGTAGCAATTAAAAAACAAAATAATTTTTCGAAAATTTCAAGAATTCTGTAGTGAAGTAGATTTGCGATAACACCATAGGAAAATATCTTTTGTGAGTAAGTATTGGCTGAGAGCCGGTGGTGGGAGTAAGCGCTTGACATTTCGAAGAGTTTGCTCTGTTCGTCTTCAGGAGAAATTTTGTCCTTTTTGTTCTGAAATAACCTAAGTTTTAAAGTGACTGGACCCTCTACTCCAGAATCCTATTGACATTCTGCAAACCTAGGTGTTTGATTTTGAGGGAATCTGCAAGTAGTTCAAGTTAAAGGCAACGTTATCCGAAGTTGCCAAAAGTCAGCGATGAATAGAAACTGGGGCTCATCTTGTTCATTTTCTTACTAATTTAATTTGATCTTTTCATTCAGGCATCAATTTGGATCCATGGCTAAGACACTGAAGCATCCTTCCGTCAGAGACTTTGCCAAGCACATCCTATCCTTGCCGCAAGAGCAATACGCCAGTTTGCTCCAGGACTACTACGCAAGCAAGCATCTGGAGCTAGACTTGGCAAAGTTGTATCAACCTCTGAGGCCGGGGGCAGAAGAGCTCAATGATGCGCCAGCTCAGGGACGATCCGCACGAAGGGCGAAACCGGTACGTGCGAGGGTGTCTAGAAAACACGGCACCAGGACTAGGGGTCCACGTGGGGTTGGTCATTTTGAAAGTCTGAGTGAGGACGAAGAGTTTGATGACAGAGGAAATGGGAGAGATGGAGACGTGGAGCATGCAGAAAGACATGAGACTGAAAGGTGCTCCGACAACAACGGAAAAACATTTCAAGCAACGGTTAGAGCAAATCGGGCTTCGAGAACCGCCTCTAGTAAACAGGGAAATCTGACAAGAACAAAGCCAACCGAGCAACAAAGAAAGAGAGCAACCAAACCACTAGCTGAGAAATCCGTCATTGCCGAGAGACCTCACTTGAGGGCGAGAAGACAAGTTATGGATTCTGAGAATGAGGACTGGCTACGAGAAGACCTAAACCAAAATGAGAAAACAGACCAGTTGTTCCAACGACGTCAGCCCAAAACACAAAATAGGAATAAATCTCCAAGTGTGAGTAACGACAGCTCACTAGAACACTCCGCACTCTCCAATTCCTCGCCAACAACTGTGCCTAAGGACGACAACATGTCCTTCCTCGATGAAATCTTCCTCACGGAAAAGTCCAAGAAACCCCCTAAACCGCCCCCAAAGAAAAAATCGCCCCGCGTGCCACCGAAGAGGACGACCGTTTGTTTCGTGAAGGGGGATCTCTCAGACTCCGACATTGAAATGGAAGATTTAACCGATGCAAGGTTGACTAGTATTGATTCTATCGATACCGATGCTCGCCAAGTTTTAGAGGTCAGCGGGGGAACTCTTTGGAAGCGCAACTCCAAGTTTGCATCTCGGCAGTCGGCACTGGAACAGGCCTCCGTGGAGGCTCAGCTGGAGAGCCAATCGGTCTTTGAAAAGTACGCCGAGTCGTTTGTACCAAACGAACATTTCCTGAAGAGGGGATTGGATAAAGAGCATGAAATTTACGTTGAGGAAACTGTTATGCCAGAGGATAGTGGTTTCAGTCCAGAACTGCGACCGAGTACATCGGTAGTTGCTGAAACTGCTTCTTTTTAACAGTTACAATGTATGTCACAACACTGCCACAACTCAAGATATTCAATCAGTTATTGGCCAGTATTTCAATATAGAATTTTTAAATTTTTATATTTTTTTTATTTTTTTTGTCAAGCAGTAGTCTGAGGATCATATATTCATGTGGGCATAGCCACGGTAAGAACGTTGGATATATCGTAGCATGTAAATTTTATGCGACTCCGCGTGCCAGCCCAGCGGAGTGGTCTTTAGAAACTGTGACGTCATTTCGATCAGAAATGTGGACTAAGCTGTTGATTGGTCAATTTGGCTATCATGTTTTTGTAATACAACAATGGCTTATGGAAGACCTGATAGAAGGCGCCCGCCCAATGGTCAGAATTTCGAGGTCAAGATACAGTCTTGTTTTGCATAATTAATCACCGAATCTGATCACATATCATAGACCTTTGCTGTGCAAGGGGACATTCCATGGACTAGCCAAGCAGTGCTGCACATAGGAAAAGGCATGCCACGATAATATATGAATAGAAGCCAAATACATTTAAGTATCACTGGCTATTTTAGAGTTAATAAAAGATGCATTTTATTTTCACTTTTAATTGTCAACTGCTCCAGCTGACAAACTCTTTTTACATTGCTTTTTTTACAGTACTTTTTTTAAAATCACAATATCAAATTTTGGTATTTAGAATTTAAGTCGTTCCTAAATACATTGCTACAATCTCCATGAGTGTCTTGTTAGAAACTGCTACAAAACTTTGCCAGAGGGTGACTTCATTGAAAGGCATCATAAAAAATAAACTATCAAGAACCATTCAAAACTGCAGCATCATGGAGTGAGTTTGTTTGAAAACCAGCATTTAAAAATAATATAAATGTCGATCTGCTTATATCAAGGGTCACAGGGCTGGGAGGGTTGTTAGTAAATGAGTAATAGTGTTTATTTAAACTCCCCCCCCCCCGAAAAAAAAGCCCAAACAAATAAATAACGACCATCCCCACCCCAAAAAACACCAAATAAGCACCCCCCCCCCCCCAAAAAAAACCCACCAAATAACAACCCCCCCCCAAAAAAAAAGAACAACCAACCCCAATGTCCCACTCTTGAAGTGGACTAGAGATTTCCTTTGATAAATATGTGTAATGAATGGAGACTAGGACATTTAATTTTTCAGACAAGGTGATAAGATTAAAATAATCTTTGCATATGCATGACCATAACAGATGAAGTACTCACTCTGAGCCCCAAGGACTTTATGAAACTCCCCCCCCCCCCCCCCCCTTCTGATAACAACTCGAACTTCTATTGGGTCAGGTAAAAAATAAATACATGTAGTTGCTCGTCTGGGGTTTTTGAAAAGATGCCCCGGCCACCCAAGACGTACGTTTCCAAGATGGCGAATGGATTCTATTTTTTTTTTTTTTTTACTGATACTTTTGTGTCGAAAGGACATGTCACCCTTTCTCTCTACGAGATTTTGAACTTGCATACTTAAAGCAACAAATTTGCTGCGGAAAAAAGCCGAAATAATTTGCAAATGTACGATTAAAAAAAGTGGGTGGGAAAATGAAGCGGACAGGAACAAGAAACTGGTTTCTTTTGTAACTTTGGCACAGCCAGGGTCCATACTTTGAAACAATATGATGGTAGCTCATTGCCATTGTTTCTCTAAAACTACTTCAGAATAGGGGGGGGGGGGGGTGGGGGAGAGGGTTATAAGGGGAATTGTAGCAGGTACAGGCCAGAGGTGGGCCGGGGGTTCCATTTTTAGCTCAGTTGTGTGCAGTCCCATATGCTTAAAAGCAAACAGTAGCAATAAATTTACCACCAACTTGGTTCATAATTATTTCATTTGTACTGATTGGGTTAATATATGTATTTTTTTTTGGGGGGGGGGGTAGTCTTGCACTTGTATTGTTCAATAGACCGCTTGCAGACGCGTTCGATAATCGTCGCGCGAAGGCGCGCAACGCCATGTTGTGGGACAAGCGTATATCTATCCATGCAAATTTTGTCCCACAACATGGCGTCGCGCACCTTCGCGCGTCAATAGACCGCTTGCAGACGCGTTCGATAATTGACGCGCTAAGGTGAGCGACGCCATGTTATGGGACAAAATGTGCGTGAATTGATATACGCCTGTCCCACAACATGGCGTCGCGCGCCTTCGCGCGTCGATTATCGAACGCGTCTGCAAGCGGTCTATATATCGATCTGTTCCCGATCCCCAGCGCGTGGCGCACTCAGAGCGCCCTCTATAGTTAGGTTCTGAGAATGAACGGTAACTTATCGGATGAATACAACACAGTATTTAATTGGTTGATGTAGATTAAAAAGATTAATAACTTTTTGAAAGCTATCTTTATATTTCGATTCAATCATTCCCAGTTTTTAAAAAAATAGTCATAGTAATGATTTTAGATAATATCAACCTCCCCCCCCTTTTTTTTGCAGGCATGATCAATTATTTTTTTATTATATCGACCAATCAGATTCCTTCGTCTATCAGGGGTTGGAAGGACGAAGCATATGCAAATGTCATAGCAACCTGCAGCGATTTTCATGCCGCGCAGAATGAGAAGTTCAAGAATTTTGTTCTTTTTTTGCAGACACCTAACAATTCATTTGTAGTTTGTGCACTGCTAAATACGCTGTAGGCTTAATCATGTCGACTGGAAAAGCAAAGCCGGGGTAAGCGTAAAAGATCACCCGTTCGTTGCATGTTTTTCGACGAGTGTATCGCCTAAAAAAAATCACGCACAGTGCTGTTGGCTGTGGAGTGTGGCTGTGCGAATGGGTTTGCATATTTTCATTGCACTTGCACTGCATGCATGCAGTCTAGCATATGTCTAGTGACCGGCAAATGAACATTATGTCCCGCCCCCGGCCCTCTCCCTAAAAAGGGAAAAATCAGAGCAGAAAATCAAATGCATTGCAAAACTGTAGACCCAGTAATTGGGGCGCTAACGGCTAAGCCATGAAAACTCCTTTTTTTAAATTTAGACTTTTTTCATGTCTTTCAGTTTCAATTTCATTGAAACTTCATTAAAACAAAAGTGACTTTGAGTTTGACTTTGTTTTTGATCGGTCATTTTTGATCGGTCATCCGACCAAAAACTCAACATTCGAAAAAAAGAGAGAAGAGTTCTAGCCTACTTCTAATTTTTCTAGTGCCCTAGTTACTGGGTCTAGCACTTGGTCTTGAAGCTATAACAAAAAAATTTAATTTAGGCCTAGGGCTAGGCTTAAACCAAATTGAACTCTTTTTTTTAAAGCCAATTAGTAATGATGAATAAAAAAATGCCCCCCCCCCACAAAAAAAAGGGAAAGAGAGGCTACTTTAAAATTTTGCATGAGTTTTATTAAATGCAAAGAAAATATGAATTTTGTTGCTTTTCATGCTTTTCTGTGGACTTTTAATAGTTTTTACACTAACGTTATGCCATCATGGAATAACATATTGTGTCTAACGTCAGGCTTGTTTGTTCTGATTGGAGAAAAAAGACAAAATATAAGGCAAAGTATAAAAAAAAACATGTTTAGCGTCCCCGCCCGCTTCCTTTTTAGAGGCCGCCTCCTTTTTTTTTTTTTTTTTTTTTTTTTTTTTAAAGACAAAAATTGATAAATTTTAACGATCTCTGACGAAAGAAATCGTATTTTTAGACTTTTATACCGTGTATAAAGCTGTGGAAATAGTCAATGAGTCCAAGTGGCGGCCATTTTGAAAAAAGCTGGTAACCATCTTGAAAAATAGCCCGGCCGCGTTGTCTTGAAAAATGTGTCGGGCGGCCATTTTGAAGAAAAAAAAAAGAAAAAAAAAGGGCCTCCTCCTTCCTTTTTGTCAAAGAGGCAGGACGCTAAACATGTTTTTTTTTTTTATTTTGCCTAACAGAGAAAAACTGTGTATGGTATTGGTAATGGTAATGGTGATTATTTGTCCAAAAATTTAATTATTATTTATGAGTTTGAAAAAAAATCACATAGGGCCTAGGATGTGTTCGAACTTACACCTTTTTAAAATTCTTAGTATTTGCCCATTTTAGGGTTGCATTAGGGCAAACACCACCCACTTCACTTTTTTGGAAAATAATATATATTTCTATTTAGATGTGCAATCTGGGGTATCATCGATTTTTTATTAAAGTTGTATTTCAGAAACAAAGTTGGTTTATTGAGTGAAAACAAACATTAACACAAATATGTCTACACCAAACTTTAAACTTGTAAGCACTTTTGACCTACCAGACCTGCCATAGGCCTATCTGATTAAGATAATTTTATCCTATCTTTTTTGCAAATTATTGAATACATTATCCTGATCTACATTCATATTAAAATTGCATACACCATTTGTCAATATGACAGCAGGCTATTGAAAGGCACTCATGTGTAAATATTTACAAGTCGCTGATAAAAAAAATCTACTCCTTTCGTTAGTTTTGAAAAATCCACCTTATCGCGCTGCCATTTTTTTTAAAATCTCAAATGGTAAACAAGCATCTGTGATATCCCAATTTGTAATGTGATCCTCCCGGTGTGTTTGATCTAGTCATGCGTGACCAAGGTCCCCCTTTTGCGACGGCACAGTCATGTGCAAATATTTGGGACAGTCTGTCGGCTCCACTGCGATTTTGACCTCAAGAGGTCAACACACAGTGTCTTTTGTGCATGTTTGAGATGCAGAGAAATCTAGGTCAATGGCTTTATTATTGTGCCAAAAATAAGCCAGGAATTTGGACCACTGTATGCACACCCCTTTTGTGCAGTTTTTCAATGAAGCTTTACAGTAACAGAAACCATAGAAACACACATGCACAAACACGACGAAACATTGCAGTCAGCACTACAGTGGAATATCATTCCCTCAATTTGCTCTATTGTTCAGTTTTCCAAAGCTGTTGGTAAGCCGTGTAAGGTATCTTCCTGCGATTTTCACTTTATTTTGATCAAGTTTTAGGAGTCCTACCAGCTGGGTTGCATGTGATTGGACTGAACACAAAGTGATGCCACCCATTCTGTGGAATATTAACGTGGAGTTGCTCGATTTTGTTTTGTAAAATTTGTGTACTTTTGGTGTATAATCACATCTCCAGCCTAGATTTGGGATTCTGTAGAGAAGCCTTCTAACAATTCATGACGTTTAATGTTCAGGGAAAAATGGTTCTTTTGTGTTCTATGGATATGGCTCAATTTCTGCTCATCAAAAGTGAAGAATTCCATATAAATTGGCAGAAAATTTGTAGTGTTATTGTTTTTCGTTTTTTTCGGTACATAAGAACTTGCAGCTTGTGCTCATGCGCACATTCTTGAAAAGAGGAAAGAATGTAGTATCCAGATGCCAAGTATTTCCTAACAAAATTGGAATTGTTTCTCAGTCCCAGATTCATGTCTTTTCAACATATTTGCAATGACTTACCTTCATTGAGATGATATGTAAAGAAAAAGTGGCGTCAGGTTGCAACATTCTTTCCAGTAAGGACATTGTAATAACATCATTGGGGCAGAATTCCTGCTTATAAATATTATCATGTTGGACACAAATGGTGGTAAATATTTCCAAATTCGGTTAGCAGCTCCAATAGATTGGTCCCAGATATGTTATAATTACCTTTGAACTTTCTTCACTGGCAGTGTCCTGAAGGTGCCTGGTGCCCTCCCCGCCGCGGCCAACCGCAGCAAGCTCGCCAGCCAGGCCAGCCAGAGCCGATTGATCAACGCCAGCAAAGCGGACCGCAGCCTGACGGTGGGCGTGGCCTCCCGCACAACGCTGACCTCCTCCAGTCGCAAGAGCCAGCTGGCCCTGGATAGCAAGACAGAGCAACGGTTTGGTGGGAAGATCAACAGCATGATTCAGGTGAGATGCAGTGGCAGGGATACAAGAGAAAGCAGGCCTGGATAAGCTGATGGTACAAGGTGGTGCAAAAAGGAACCCACTTTTGACAGCAACACCTACTTGTTGAGCATTTTTCAAAAATTCAATTTAATGGTATTAAAATATTGATCTTTAAACATAAGTGACGAAAAAATGATTGCAAATGCATATTTTGCCTCTGAGATTTGGTAGTTTAAAAATGTCATGTGCCAAACCTAGGCCTGTTTGTCCACAGACGGCTTTATTCCATCCACTTGACTGAGCTCCGGAGCTTGATTTGAAGACAAAAAACACTACACTAGACTGACATGTGGACAACAGTGATTTTGGTGACTTGTATTCAAATTACCATAATAACACTATTCTTGTGATTTTTTAACAAGATTTTTTTTTACCATGTATGGTTGAAGAGCTATACTTCATTACATTATAAAAAAAACAGTTCAAATAAGTTAAGTAAGTAGATAAAAATTCCTGTCAAAAGTGGATTTCCTTCTTTTTGCACCACCCTGTAGAGTACACAAAATTCTATTCAATCAATTCAGAATCGCTATTCACTGGAAGTCTTTTCATGCATCAGGTCTACACTGTGGGCCGGACTTGGCAATTTTGGTTTCATAGGGTAATCCTATACAATGGCACTGCCCGATTTTTCACCATTCTACAGCCAGTCTATTAAAGTCTGAAGTGACAGTTGCGCCATTTTCAGTTGATCAGATGACAACCACTAAATGATGGACATGTTTTTTGATATCTCACTTTTCTTAAAGTTGGAATGGATATTTTTTTAAACATAAAATTTGTTGACTCTTGTATACGCTGAGAAAGTGTGACATCACCTTCTCCCCAGGTCAAGCTCGCTTCCTCGACGATGGTTCATGCGCATTCCTTAATGACAAATTTCACATACGTTTAACACACACGATCACAGACAGCAATTTTACATCCTGCTTTTATGGAACGTTTTTACAAGTTATTAGTTCTTGAAAACTGTTCTGCCTTTCAGCAAACTGTCACCACACCAGTTACAACCACAGCTGTGCTTATTTTCGCTTGATAGCGGAGAATCAAGCCAATTATGAAACGGATTCACAACAGCTATAGTGAAACCACGGTGTTCACTGGCTTTTGCAGTGTGTGCGAACCAGTAATCGTGGTTACACCGAGTAAACCTCTGAGTCATGGGTACTGCACTGAATTGATTCCAACTCAGCAAGGATTGAATTTGCTTTTCCCGTATAGCCTGATTTTTATCCCTGCATCCCTGTTCCCCTCTTGTTTGCCTCAGGTGTTTGATGAGTCGGGGGCCGACGTCACCCCACAGCCTCTCCTCATCATTGATCCCAATGCCGTCAAACACAACCAGAGTAAAATCTTTGGCAGTGGCGGGGACTCCAGCGGCGGCACGGTAAGCTCAAGAAGGTTTCATGGAACCCTTAAACCCTTGGATATTTGGTGTTTCTTCAGCTGTTGGCAATTCCACACCTTCCTCCCTTCTGATCTTGGAAATGCGACAAATTATTGTTTTGAAATTCGGAATAGAAGTAGAGACACTCGTGCTAAGTACATCTGCAAAGTTCTAGCTCAAGCAGACCATTCATTTTTTAATAACGGTTGTTACTATTTTGCACTTCCAATTTGTGAGTGAATACATTACTAATACACATGGTGAGGAGAACAAAAGATATTTCGGTACCTTGGGTCTGATTTTCGGAAAATCGGAAAATTGGTATCAAAAAAATATATAGCGTAAACACGGGCAAACCTCATGACTAGCTTAGAATGGTACATGTACGTGACAAGTTTTTCACTGTCCAGGAGGAGTCAATCGCAGTTTCCTTGCAACTTGATGATGTCCATTCATCCCAGACAGTTTTGTAAATAAGTACTCCTAATGTTAACCATTTTTTTCATGAGTAACAATGAAAGAATGAGTACTTTGTCATATGTACAAGCAGGAGTACATCTTCATTTGTGCAAAATTTGTGTAGGTAGTTACAACACTTCTGTTTTTGTGTTGACCTTTCACTAACTTGTTCACCGTTAATTTTCAATTTTTTCTTTGCTTTGATTGTTTGCAGCCCACTGACCTGATGTCGCAGGCATCCATCTACCAAACTGGCAATGCCAGTTTCGCAGGGCCATTCACAAGGTATGCACCCATTCATAAATTTGTCCTAAAAAATTTGAGGTATCATTTTTATACTCTGAACAAGGTGACTCCTGGTTTAGTTTGAAAAATTAATAGTTTGCCAGTAAAAAAAAATATGTTGAGAACGTGTCTTAAATGTCCATTCCCTGTGCTATTTTCAAGTTTTATCCCCCCCCCAAAAAAAAAAATCCTTTAAAATTGCCACTTTCCTAGCAATACCAAACTTATTCATGTTTGAATAAAAAAAGCCTACATTTAGTTCTGGAATTATTACTGTACAAATTTTGATTTACTTGTGGCCCAACAATAATTCTGTTTTCGCATGATAGTTGAAACTTTATTTCTAAAAAAAAAGATTTCGTTGAAGAGCACTGGTGATGCAAAGTTAATTTTGTTATTTGGATAGAAGAATGTTCTGTTGTTTTAGTTGGTCAGATCGAATTGTGCTGGTTGCATGAAGGTTTACAATTAAGTGTTGCAGTTGCCAAGTCACCAACATTTTTCAGAAATATTGCCATAAGTTTGCAAAAAGTTATATTAAAAAAAAAAAAGAGTAGAAAAATGGAAACAAAAAAGGAAAGAAAAATTGAAAAACAAAGCTCCCGACAAATTTGGAACTGTGTTTCAAAAATATGTTCATGCCCAGTTTGTGAGTTTTACCCCCCCCCCCCCCCCGGCTGTAACAAATTCTCATTGACCAGCTCAAGAGTTTGCACGAAGTGACATTTAATATGGGTCGTTGCATTGTCTAATTCCATGGTGCATAACAAACATACTTGTTGATTTTATTTGATTGACATTGCCATTGTTAAGGGTGTATGAAAGGGTGTGCATTGTGTATTTCATGGGTAGTAATATTTACTTGTAGGTCATCAACTGAGGAATGGTGAGAACAGTTATAGAATGAAAATGTACACAAAATGGATCTAACTATTCATAAGATTGAATTTGCGTCGGGGTGATGTAAATTTAAACATTTGGTTTTGCCCTTCACTGATGTATTATAAATGCTATATACTTGGTTTTGTCCTTAATGATTGTGAGAAAAAATTCACAATCTACTCGGCTGGGATTCAAAACCGTGACCACTTCCAAGACTTTGTACATGAAGTGGGGTTTGGGAGCATTCCCAAAATTTGTTTAATACAAATTTTTTTACCACTTCGCGCCGGCTTTATTCTTGCCAAAAATTTCGAAATTTTCATAAGGCAAAATTTCCCAGCCGATTTCTGATGTACAGCCAGGATTTTGAGGCTTATAACTTAATTAATGTTCAAATGATAAAAAATTAAAAGTAGTGCTGCAAGTGACTGTATTGACATGGAATATAAAAATCAGAACATTAGATGTCTCAACCCATGATATTTCAAAAAGGGAAAACAGTTACAAATGTTAAAAAGAAAAGGTTTAGTAATTTACTTTTAAACAAATGCGAGTGCACAATTAGCTCTGGCCCAAAATGCGACGCCGATGGCACATATTGAGCACTGTACTTTTGGGCAATTTTCAAGACAGACAGACTGACAGACAGACAGACCATCCAACAGACCGCCAAGTGACATGTAGAAGCTCCTGCCAGGGCTTAAAAATTAATATTTTCAAGAAATACAAACTTTACGCTAGAAAAATTTGTAGGTTTAGATAAATCAAAATGTTTACACATTGTCATTAAAGGGAATGTACAACATTTGTGTTTGCTGCAACTTTTAGAAATAAATTGATTTGGAGAATTAGTATGTTATAGCAATTTTGTTAAACTGACTTGTTTCACGTTTTGGGCTTGTACATGCTGGAAAAACCAAGAAAACCAATCATGTTCTTGTAATCTGGTTCCCTGACCCCACTTGAGATGAAACTGAGCAATTTATAGACTTTGGGGAAATTGTACGGTCAGAGAATCAGTCTAGCAGGCGTGTACCCCTTCACAGGTGTGTAATCAATTGCAGAGAAAATGCGGAATAACTAAATATGAAAAATTAGGAGCAGTTTTTGAAAAAAAGTCAGTTTTCTCCAACGCTGGTCGGCCGACCAGCGTTGGAACAATACAAATTTTCTTGAAAATGTCAGCACACCAGGGCCCATGATATTACAGGATGCTTTAGACTGTCATTCCCTTACAATCCAGTAAGGTATTTCATGATATTGATCATTTCGGTTTTTTTATGTTTGCAAATGTTGTATCTTCCCTTTAAACATGATTTAACATTTTTTTTGTTTCTTTCTTTTCTGTGTTTTTTTCTCACGTGGCGTAGATCAGTGTTTGGAACCAGCATGACCCAATCAAGTCGGTCGGCAGAATCCTTCACCGATGATTTCGCTGAGCCTGCTGCTGCTGCTGACATTGTGACTGGCTTAGGAGGTACACGACAGACACAATTATTTAAGCCAATTTTTGAAAGTTCAGTATAAAGCAACTTTTCATGCGTACTGACTAAGAAGTAAATGGTACCTGTGAGGGCAGAGATTGTTATTGTGATTGAATTAGCTTCCTTGCGCCTAACGGGCAGCATCGAGCTGTACACTCCCCAGGGAGCTGAGATGGTATTTGGATGGTTTCATGTGCCCAATGAGCAGGGTAATAATGATATAGCGCCTTGAGCACCAGTCCTGGTGGATACGTGCACTTTATCAATACCCACTATTATTACTTATAGACGTGCAAACGGAGAGGCAGATTGAGAAGGAGGTCTTGACCGAGGAGGACCTGGACAAGGCGGTGAGCATCCAACTGACGGAGACGGACACCATCTGGATGCTTGACCTCCCGGCCATCTGTCTGTCGGCAGAGAGTGACGAGGCGACCAAGGTCAAGGAGCGCAACGAGAAATACAAAGAGGTAACAGGAGTGATCATTCAAAAGAAGTGTTACGTGCAGTGGCGGCGCTACAGGGGGGCATTGCCCCCCCCCCCCCCATCCAGTCCCCCCCCCCCCCCCCCAGTTTTCTCCCTACTCTTTATCAACAAATAGATAATTTTCTTCGCTGTTAAGATTCATAAAATGTTGACACATTTTTGGCCAATGAAAGCATTATAAACATTGGTACTTTGGAAGACAACACACGCCATACGTGCATTTATAAAAGCTGTAGATAGTGTGCAGTCAACGTCTTTGAACATTTGTTATACATTTGTTGTACACCATTCTGCGATTTGATACATTTCTCATTCGTAAAAATGACTATACTTCTAAGTTGCTCTAATGGCTTACTTCCGGCTTAAATCCCTTCACCGGATTTTGTATTAAAGGTGAATGAAATTATTTTATGCTTTATAATACACCTTCATGGTGTTTGGGGACCTAAACAGATTTTAAAAATTACTGAAGCGTTTTTTAAAAATATGTACAATGCTGACAAAGGTAGGATGTTTCTGACTTTCAGCTGTGTAAGAGTCGAGATGGCAATGACCGGTACGCTGAACGTGGTATGCAGACATTCAACGAGCAGCCCAAGAATAAAGATGTACAGACGATGAAGGTCAACCACAACGTAAGTAGAGTGGCGTTTCTTGTATGTACTGTGTTTTTTGTTTTACGGGCTCCGTGCACCAACTAAAGAGGGCTCCCTTCTACCTAGCAACGACGTCCCATGGGTGGGACACATACATTTCACTGGTTGATGCGTGTGCACCGTTCCTTGTGTGTGACGCATGTACATCGCGCTTCGCGGCAAAATATTGCAGTCAGGCAAGATGGCATCGATCGGTCACCCCCAACTGTACTTTCTTTGCCGGTGTCGGAGCTTGTGTACAAAATGTACGGAACGGATTGTCTACATGCGTGATATGCCGCGTCCGCGCATAGGGCAATGCGCGCCGAACAAATGTAGAACAATGCGCGCCGTGATCGCTGACAGAAATTTGACCACTGAAAGACTGCAGTCGCGCGCCGAGTCTCGTGCACGCACGCACGACGCCCAAGTGCCGTATCACGCCTCTGACCAGAAATTTGGGGAAGTCGTTTATCCTTGAGTAAAGGTTAGTGTGTCATCCATATAACGGGAAACTGTTTTTATTTTGCATAGGATTCAGGCATCACTGCCACAACTTGGGATATGTACGACACATATGAAGAAATCCAAGATAAAATAAAAAAAGGTTTGTTCATTTTTTTTTCTCACTTTAGATCGGCATGTGTGTTTATGTGTCTTTAGGTTTTCTAATACCACGGCCTAGTTGTTCATTCTTCTTTTTGTATTAAATTGAATGTTATGTGTAAGGAATTTAGTACAGAGGTTTTACACTGATAGTGGGTAAATTGTGGGGCTAAGGTCAAATTTCCAACATTCAGAACATTTTAGTCTCTGTGAAGAGGGTTAAATTGTTGGGAATTAGGGGCCAAACAAATCAAATTTTTGATGTCATAAATAATTAGAAAGCATTGTAGAAAGTCTGGCACAGCTTGGAATTTCCTCGTTTTTATGACCTTTTCAAAATTCCCTCAAGAACCGAAGAAAGTCCTGAAGAATCTGTGCTATTGATTTATTTTGTCGCGTCAGTGCAACAAGGTTGTAATTCAATTCTGCAACAAAGTCATATCTCGCGCGAATACGCTCCGTGCAACAAGGTCGCATCTCAACGTCCATTGAGTTTGCGTGTACATCCAGGTTATTTTAAGCGAGATATGACCTTTTGACATTCTGAAACTGGTGTTTTGCATTTATGCCATTTTAGGAGATACAACCTTGTTGCACTGACGTGGCGATTTGTTGTTTTTCTCATCTTAAATACATTCTATGTTATAGCGGAAGAGGATGACATCATTCCAGAAGAGGCGTCTGAAGATCGTCCCCTCAGCACGGCAGCAAGCACCGCCTCCGTGGCAGAGCAGAGGAAACGGGCACCCACCGGTGCAAAAGATGGTCAGTTCAAACTAAGGAAAATGACGTTCGCAAATAATCTGAATGTGGTTTTTAAAAAATGGAACCTTGTATTCACGGTCTCCACCTTTTCTGTTTCCTTTACAATGCATTAAAGGCACAGTCCATCATTTGCAGCTATCCAAAAAGTAAATGACAAAATTATTGTTGAAAGGCATACTTGATTTAAAGATAGTAATGGCACTAAACTCCCTGTGATATTATTCTTTCTGGCAAGCTGTCGTTTTGAAGGAAACAATGAAAGAAGACCATTTCCAACAATGCGTCTAAAAGCCTTGCAAAAGTATAAATAAATACTTACCTAATTTTTTTTCTATTTTGACGCAAAGGTTCTCAAATTTCAAATTTGTTTCATACCGAAAAATGCTCCATCTGAACTGCCTTTGAAATTAATTAGTTTCTCTTCGTTATTGATAGGTGACAGTAGAGGCAGTCTGATGGCCAGCTCTGTTGCCGATTCAGAGACTGACGCCGAGGTCAAGAAAGACGGAACCGTGTCTGCAGAGGGAGGAGTGGTAGTCGCTGACACAGCCATCCTACAGGTAAATTACACATTCACATTTCACAATTTCTCATACAGGCACTAGTGATGTGCATTGGTCAGATTGACGAGGCCAAACCGGCCCAAGACATTTATTTTATAAACCGAATCCGAATCGAAACTGAACTGGACTACCTAAAACCGACCCGACCCAACCTGACAATAATTCTAAGAAAACCGACCCGAACCGACACGAACCGACCCGAAACCAAACCGACCTGATAAAAACCCAAGTATCTGGCTTCGGCAAATGTGTCCGCTTTTTGCGCCTGAACTGACCCGCTTTCAGTAACTGAATCATGCCGTGCGGCACTCACAACGTGACCTACTGGTGGGCCTACATGTTATAGACCGATCGAGACAGACCGCAAACCATTTGTAGTCGTACCGCGCGCAGTGACTCTGCACTAAATTAAAAGTGCACCTTGTGAATTTCCATTCTGTTCGGTTCATTTTAGTTTATTTCAGGTTTTTCCAAAATGGCTTAACCGACCCGACCTGACCCAAAAATCACAAAACCGAAACCGACCCGACCCAACTAAAATGATGAACAAACTGACCTGACCCGACCCGAAGTCCGTTTCCGGTCGGTTTCGGTTTTGGGTCGGGTTTGCACAACATATACAGGCATGATGTTCATGACAGATTTTTTAAGAGCTCAGTTGAATTAACCTCCAAATGTATTTTTTCAAATCTTATACATCCATCATCTAGAAATGGTCAAGGAGATTACAGACTAGAAGTTTTGAATCATTTCTATGAATCATTAATTAGATATCATGGTTAATTGGCTCAGTCATGGATATTACACTTCCTTTCATAACACTGGAATAGCACATACATGCTTACTCCAGAAACAGAAATTGCTTAATGGAAATTTCTGTGAATTTGTGAGAATCGACATGTCTAGGCTATGAAGTTTGTATAGTAAGCACAATCAGTTTGAAAAGAATGTTCTTTCGGGGAGATTTTCATTTTTTTTTAATGTGAGTTTTGCCCCACACCAATGCAATTTTAAAGGAGCACATTTCTGTTCTGTTTGAGATCTTGCCAAAATAAATTACAAGCTTGTACAGATGGAACTACCCCATGACCTGCTGTTGAGTTCGGACGTCTTAACCGCTCAACCGCCTGGCTATCGACTTTTATGATGGAATTTTACGTTAGGGTGATGCAAATTTGTCCAAACTATTTGAGAAATCAGCTGAATATTGTTATAAAATGACTAAATTTCAATAAAATACAGATAATAAACTTCAAAATGTGTCATTTGTGGCATTTGGACCATTTTGAAATTTTGAGATAATTTATTCTGTGGAATTGCCCTTTAAGTCGGACGCTTTGAAGACAGACCTGTTTGTGATGGAGAGAGTGGTCACTCTCAACAACTTCCAGCCCAAGCAGGCATCCTACAGAACCCTGCCGATTCTGCCTGGTGAGTTCAAAACCTCTTAAATACACACCTTTTAATTGCTTTTTCCTCCCACCCTACGTTTCCCAATGTTCGACCTGGTGATTGTCACTTCTTGACTATTTTCCCACATTTAGGCACAGATTAAGTGGCAATGCCCCACACCTTTGTAAGGAGATTCCCTCCCTTTTTAATATTTTTAGCCAACTGTATCACAATTTTCAAAAAAGTCGTCTTAAAATTTGACCATAGTGCAGAAAAATGGTTCAGGATCTGATTTCAAAATTCTGTGTTATACTTAGCATATTTCCGAAGTCAGTAAAAGATATTTAACTTGGCAAAGTAACAAGATATTCTACCTTCCAAAAAATGAAAGTGACCAAAATCTCAACTTTTGTGATTTTGAAAATGAGATGAAATCCTGATTTAAGACTTCTGTAATAAACTTTTAGATTTTTTTAAAGATTTTTAGCCTTTAAACAGAAAAGTGAACTCAGCACTGTACATTGTACATATTCTTGTGGTCAGTCATTGGTATTTCTTACAAGTCTATTCAGCTATGAATCATTCAGGCCATTCTGTAAAAGTTCATTACAGACTTGTATTTGTACATGTATTTCAGCTGCATTTTGTGACATGCATTTGTTTGTGTTTTACTTCAGAAAGGGAGAGGAATTTGTAAATTTTACGTCTATTTTGAAAAGCTTGAAAGCATGTAACTCGCAACTTTTCTCTTAATTTCTTTTAGACATTGACAAGATCGTTGAGGAGGAACCTGCAGAAGGTAGCTCAACCTCCGGCGCTGTCAACATCGCCCAGTTGGGCCCCAACCTAGACAGGCTCTGGGCCTACACCTGCAGTCTGACCAAAGGCCGCAACGTCAGCTCCATGTCCTGGAACAAACTCAACAAAGTGAGTTTTGACCCCTTAACCTTTTGACCGTTTGACCCTTTGACCTTTTGACCTCAACAGTATGATTCGTGTTGGTCTGAACATAGCTGCGAAATCTCTCACAATGGCAGATGGTGATTTAGAGTCTTGAAATCTACCAGTGTGTAGTTGGCCTAATTTCCTATGATAAGCAGAACTCAACGTAATTTACATACCTACATGCTTTTGGGAATAGGGCATTCCGCCCCATCGAGATTGATATCTCCAAAGCCTCTGAAAGTTGCCATCAATATCTGGCAAAGCTTGGTTTGATTCACACCCTCACAAAATAATGGCACCTCATAAAACTTTTAAAAAACTGAATCAACTTCATGGCGTCTGACTTGCTTCCTTGAATAAAGACATTGACAAAATGAGGAACTGCCAACATAGGGCTGGATAGCTCAGTTGGTAGAGCACCGGAGCAGCAATCCGGAGGTTGCAGGTTCAGACCCCGCTCCAGTTAATTTCTTTGATCAACTTTTAAATTATTATAATGCCCGCATTCAGTTTCCCATTGTGGTATATTTCATCAGTCAACTTTTGTTGACAATAACTACTTCAACTGGTCACACTGTAAGACTTCTGTACTTCTTTCCCTCCAGGATCTTCTGGCTATTGGGTATGGTCAGTTTGGCTTCACCGAGCAGAAAGGAGGTCTGGCCTGCTGCTGGTCACTCAAAAACCCAGAGGTATGTGGAGTTGTTCTACAAAATGTCAGAGAGACCACCTTATGGTCCCTTGTCATATAGTCATAAAGGCCATTTAATATAAGTGTAGCTTCTATGCATTATCTTCATATTACTTGGTGTGGACAACATTGAGGTCAAATTCCATGTGACATGTTCACCTTTTTCCCCCTTTGTTTTTACAGTTCCCAGAAAGAGTTTTTCATTGCGAGTCGGGAGTGACTGCCATGGACTTCTCTGCAACGAATCCAAACCTCCTGGCGGTATGATTTTTTTTTGTCTTTGTGCCCTCCGTAAGGTTCCTTTAATTTTGCCTATAGAAGCCCCCAGATTTAATTTCACACTGGGTTTAACACTTTTTGCTTTCTGGGAGCCGATTGTGAACTGACAGATTGTTGGGTTCACTGTTTTTGTAAGACCATCTATTGCCTTCAAGTTTTGAGGATCATCTAAGTATCTGATTGAGACGCCAGTAGGAAAACTGTTTAGTGACAGGTACTTATATGCGTTTTCTCCCTTTAGATTGGTATGTACAATGGTATGGTAGCCATCTATAATGTGAGAGGCAGTAACGACACACCGGTGCTGGATAGCTAGTAAGTATTGATCTGTCGAGTGTGTAATAATGTTGTGCATCGGGTAAGGTTGTCCACGGCAAACCGACCTAAAACGTTATAAATATAAACCGATTCCAAACCAAAACTGTAAGCTATCCAGGATATTTAATGAGATGACTCCTAAGATGAACCTTATGGTTTTTTGAATTTCTATCCTTAAGTGAGAGTCACGGCAAGCACTCCGCTCCGGTCTGGCAACTGAAGTGGATCGACAAGGAGAAGGGGGGCTCGTCGGGAGAAGAGAGGGGGGAGCTACTCATCTCGGTCTCCACAGACGGCAGAGTCACTCAGTGGCAGATCAGAAAGGTTCGAACCCTTCTTATACTATTCTTACTAATAAATATGATGAAATGGCTGCCAGTTTCAGACTTCATTAGCCAATCACCCAAACATGCAAAGCTAATCATTGAACACGATTTTGTGTCAACACTGATACCAGACTTATTGGCGAGCAGTAATGCTGAGAAAGACCGGCTTTAGCAATATACAATGTTGCTGTTCAGATGTCGGTCACTGATTGCGATACCTGTTGCTTGAACAGGCCTAGGCCAGCTGACCCTTGTGAGCTTGGTAGTCAGCTAGTCAGGACGGCTGCACTAGTCAGCAGAAGATCGTGGGTTCAAGTCGAGTCTGAGCAAGCTTGTATTATTTTCCCCCCACAAGCTGTTGGTGTTGAAGGCAAAACCAAATATCAAAGTTTGTATCGAAATACACAGCTGACTTTGATGGCACTTCACATATTACAAAAAGGCTCTGCTCAAATCTATGCATTAATGACTGAGATTTGCTTTTCAATATTGGGTTTGCCCCTGACTGGTGCATTCTTGTAAACACTGTTTACTCATTGCTGCAAGAAAAAATATCAAATGCTTAAGTGGGACTCGAACCCATGACATCCTGCTTACTAGAGCAGACGTCTTACCACTCGACCACCGAGCTTGCCTGCAGGGTCTGCTGGTTGGTTTGAATCTGATGTAGCAGTGGGGTACTGCAAAAGATCACCATATTTTTTTATGATTGAATTTGGGATTTGTTTCTTCCTTTGGCAGGGCTTTGAGTGCGCGGACCTGATGAAGCTCAAGAGGGTGGCCAAGGCTAGCAAGAAGCAGAAAGAAGGCAAGGAGACCAAGAGCGAGGGATTCATCTCACGCCAGGCCTCAGGGATGTGCTTTGACTTCAACCCTAAGGATCTCAACATGTGAGTGATAACCAGTATTGATGAGAAGACGATCCACACAGGAACGTAGACTACGGAAGTTGTTTTCCTCAGAGCTTACAAAGTTGCCCAGGTTGTCACATTCTACAGACTGTTAAAATTTCCTCAGATTTTTGTTTTCCATCTCAATTCCTCAGACCAGCAAATTCCAAACCCTGTTTTAATCATCAGGCCACAATATGGGCTCCATGCGCCAACAAAAGAGGGCGCCCTTTGCAACCCATGGGCAGGACATATCGCTGGTTGACGCGCACTGTTCCTTGTGTGTGACGCACGTACGCAAGGGGATTTGTACTATGTACATGCAGTGGCCGTGCTTCGCGGAAAATGAATTGCAGTCAGGCAAGATGGCGTCGGTCGGTCACCCCCACCTGTACTTGCTTTGCCGGTGAGGGGGGGGGGGGGGGGCTATCAAAATCCTCATGCCATCAAAATTTCTTAGGCTGTCCAAACTCTAAGGCTTTCACAATCAACCCAGAAAAATCCTCAGTTCACAAGAAAAAAAAAACAGTCCGGAGAAAAACAAACACAGTCCATCTGTGTCCGCAGGCTGTCAAAATCTCTCAAAAACCAAAAATAGTAATAATACCCCAAATCCAGTTCTTGGAACTGCAGTCAATTGCATGAACTTCAGATCTCTCAACCTTTTCTGAATTAGATGGAAAATGTCCATTGTTGTATTGCATTTTCTTGATTTTCCCTATATCAGAATTCATTCCTGGTGTAATTTGTATCTCTGTTAGTTTTGTGACAGTGCCAAGTATAGAGTTCGGCCGATTTGTCATGCCTAAGTTGTGCATTTTATGGAAAGCAAATTAAAACAATTGTATTCACTCAGGTTAGCAAAAGTCTAATAATTATTGTCCTGAGCTGTCTAAATTTTCATGAATTTTTTTTTTATACAGATATTTAGCAGGCACAGAGGAGGGGCATATTCACAAGTGTTCATGTTCCTACAATGAGCAGTACCTGGACAGCTATTTTGGACACACGGTGAGTTTATTCAAGCAAATCTGGCATCGTATTCATCGTTCTAAATCGGAGGACTTTGTTTTGAAGATATGGAGCAAAGTTTTAAAACCTAAACTTGACCCCTTCATTGAGTAAAAAAAGTGTAGGTTTAGCTAGTTTTTTAAATTGCCTGTAATAAGATTTATTTTAAGCCAGTCTGAAAAATTACAGATTTTGTATATTTTGTATAATTTTTTTCTGAAAAATTCAGTTTTTTAATTATTGTATCAAGCACGATACTCTTAAGGTGCAAGCCTTATCACTGATAAAAAAATCAGGATTTGTTTTAATTTTACAGAAGGTAAAACACTAAGGAAAATCCCCCTCCCCCCAACAAAAAAACACACCCAAAAAACAACCTTAAATCAAAATTAAAAGCAATCAATTTTACCTCCTCTGTCCACCAATGAGTTCATTTGAATATTCCATTACAGGGACCAGTCTACAGAATTGAGTGGTCTCCATTCCTGCCCGATGTATTCATTAGCGCCAGTTCTGACTGGAGCATAAGACTCTGGGTACAAGACCGACAGAAACCAGTGCTGAATTTCTTCTCCTCAACCGTAAGTATTCCTGCTTTTTGGATTATCACAATGAGTGTGTTGTGAGTAACTGCTTTGTTATGTAAAGGCTGAATAATTTTATGTCGATAAGGCCAAAAAAAAAAGAAGTCGGTCTCTGGTCAGCGCGTGCGTCGATTTAAATCATGCGCGTCAACTTTTTTTTCCCCAAAATGTTCCGCGGTAGCTCCAACAGCGCCCTCTATTGCCGCACCTCCTCATATTTTTTTTTACCAAAGAGCACCAAGGAATGGGAAATTGCACCAAGGCAAATGATCGAGGGCACCAAGGCAAATTATGGAGGACACCAATGTACATGAGGACACAAAAAAAAGCAAAATCGTAGCCCACCTTGTCTGTACAAACCAAGCTTGGAAAAAAAAAAAAAAAAAAAAAAAGCCGCGTCGCCGCATCAATTCCGGAACTTTGGCCTGACCAGAGACCGCGTATTTTTTTTTTTGGCCTAACATACAGTTCATGTTTTTCCTTATTTCTGTGGTATGCTGTGGCTTTGTGGTCTGGGGCTTCGAGCTTAAGATCTTTGGGCAATTCTTTAGGTGGTTGTTCTAGTCAAGCCCGGGGTTGTGGTGGGAATGTGTCCTTAAGCAAGACACTTTGTCACAACTTGCTACCTGCCACTCAGGAATAAATGGGTACCTGTGAGGGCAGAGATGGTTAATGTGATTTTTTTTATCTACTTTATTAGCAGCTTCGTGCTGTATACTCTCGAGGGAGCTGAGATAGTTTTCAAAATATTTCATGGGCCCAGTGAGCAGGGGTAATAATTCTCTTGGTTGAAGACATTTCTGTTGTTTATTCCAAGACATAAGCACTGCCAGACGAAATGTCCATGACCTTCGATCAAAGTCAGAACGAACCCAAGTAAATATAGCACCCTCTGTTGTCTGAATTAATCCATTTCAGCTAAAAGCAATGCGAACTTGGGTCTTGGAACCAAGACTAGGGTAATAATTATGTCATGCAGTGAGCACTTTTACTGAAGATATGTGCACTTAATTTTAAAAAACTCATTATTATTATTATCTTCTGGAATACAGAAAGCGGTCATGGACGTATCCTGGTCCCCCACGTCGGCTACTGTGTTTGGATGTGTCAACGAGGGCGCTGTGGAGATATGGGATCTCAGCACAAACATGTAAGTGTTCTCGGTTATAAAGGCTGTAAGCGGCTGTAAGCCTTGTATGTGACCGTGGGCAAATTTCACAGCGACGCTAATTAGCAAGGAAATTTGGAAGTGGAAATATAAGTGGGCCTGGATCTTAAAAAAAAGTTGGTTGCGGCAAAAGTTACTTTTTTGAATTTCCTACATACAAGTGCTTGAAATAAGCCATCGTTTGGTACAGCGTGGACGTCCCTATATATTTTTTATTACTTCACCATGCGCAATTCAGTATTTAAGCATTTGGAAAAAAAAACCAAATAATTTTCAACATAAGAGTTTGACATTTGACCAACTTATTGAAAACAACGTTTTGTCCTTTTGCACTAATAAAGCATGCAGTTATAAACCTCGTGCATAGAAGCCATCTTGAAGGGTAATGTTTTCGCTCTGCTTGGATCAGCATGGGAAGACCGTCTCTGCAATAACACAATGTCCTGTAAGACTGCCACCATAAATAAGGCCTTTTGACTTACGCAGCAAGGAAGATCTCGACCAATGAATTTCCTTTTTGTGTTCTTCATTGTGCAGGTTGGACCCAATCATTGTCAACGTTCCAGCGCCTGGTGTCAAACTCTCCTGCCTCAAGTTTGCTCTCAACTCAAACGTGAGTGTTATTTATATTCTGCTATTATTTTCAGCATTTTTTTAGCATTTCTTTTAGATTTGAAAGTAACACAACTTTGAAACTCAAACAAGCACCTCTTTTAAGGTAGGGCAGATCATTTGTCATTTGTGATTTTTTTTTTCATTTGAGCCAACAAAAAAGCTCAAACTCTAAAGATGTGTGCTTAATAAGTAACCTGAATGCTGTATATTCCGAGAAAACAATTCTAGGATCTCAGTTTGGGTTCAAAAGTTGCCGCGTCATGTTTTAAATTGCGCCCAAATCAGCGTCCGGGACACGTTCTCATTCAGCCGATTCATCAGGCGATGTCACGCACTGAACCGACAAATAATAGCAACCGCGCGTTTGTGTGCGTTGTGTCAACACATGTGCGCATTCATTCAAGGATTCGCTGAATTACAAAAACAAAATCTGGATTCACCCTGGTAGTCAATGGCTTGCATAATATTTTTGTAAACATTTTAAAACCAAGTTCCTGCGATTGCATCTCTGGAATGCATTGCAACAGTCACCTCATATCGTGCTTAACAAAAATTCTTTGGTACAGATGGATGACACTGTTATTGTTTCAAGTGGAACAAAAAAAAAACCCAAAACAAAAATATTGCCATTATAATCAACCTATCAAGTAGCACGAATGTCTGTATGTTATATTCTCTGCACCTGCTCGTTAAGAATCAACGGTACTATTTTTTATTGTTTCCACAGTGCATCCTAGTGGGTGACAGTGATGGGCAGGTGTCAGTGTACCAACTGAGGAACATGCCACCAGTGGAGGACAATCAGGTACGGTATCATCAGATTGTGGAGAACTCTGAAAACTCCAAGATTTTGGCGCTTTGTATGTGTATTGAAAACGAGCTATCAGACTTCCAAATAACAGAAGAATCTGGTATAGATTCTGTGCACAAGTGAAGTACCTATAGTGGTGGGAGAAATCTGAGATTTTTAAAATCTAGTTCTCCTATGTTTTTTTCAAACCGAATAATGGTTGTCCAATTTCACTTGAAGTTCCCATTCAGCTCACGTCATACCAACAAAAAGTGGTGAAACCGAGTTGATGGTTTACTTTGTTTTCACGTCTGCAGAGAGAGAAATTGGAGGATCTGATCAGACAAACCCTGGACAGTGAACTCACATCCAAGAGGTGAAACCTACAAAGACGTACTGGAGAGTCCCACCACACTGCAGCCATCTTTGTCTAGTTCCTTGTGTTCGATCACAGTCAAGCATTCCTGCATTTAATGCAGCAGACTGGGGTGTAGATAATGTTGCTTTTAAGAAACCAGGGTATTTAGTTCTTTGAAAAGACAGATCAGCATCTTATCTTTGTCTTAAAGAAATTTTCTTTCGTGAAATTTACTTATTTCGCATTTGAAATGTCAATTAGGAAAGAATTACAATAACAATTATGAAGGAATGCCTTTAAAAACAAATTCAAGATTCTTCCAAGTATATTACCGTTTTAAAATATTCAAGAACCGTCCTTTTGCACTTGTTAAACGTTTATGACACTTGACAAATCTGAAAGTCCGTCCATGGTTAAAAGTTTGACGGATTCAAATATTTCCTGTAAAATTTTTTAACAAGAAAAGTGCCTTTGTATGAATTGAAATGTGTGCATAGATGTATATAATGTTGGCCAGATTTTTTTTGGTGTGACTTACTATCCCCAAGCCAGGGGGAAGTTGTACGGGAAAAAACCCAAAGCTTGCTCGTTATTGAAATAAAAATTTCAAAAATCAAAATTAAACTACTTGAGCCTGGTTTTGGGATAGTAAGTCACATTTGAACTTTTTATACATGTATTACGATTGTGCCATGTACATTGTAAAATATATGAATAAAAGATACATGTATCATGCATGTGGCAGAATATGTGGTGTTAATGAAATTTATTGCGACCTTTCCATTCCAAATTAAATAGACCAATCTCCAGTATCAATTTGGCATCAATACGCTTGGTTGGCTTTGTTATATTTGCCAGCCAAAAAGGAAGGGTTAATAAATTTTTTCACCAAGCCCGAAATCGTTCAACAATTTTAAAAGAAATTTTAAATTTGTTTAAAAATCCATTAATGAAGCTCTTACTAGTCCGTCCATGTCTTCAAAGACACAATATACACTAGAGATAAAATTACAAACAATTAAAAAGTCACTTTGCAAAAATCTCAAGTACATTGTAAATAACCTTTTTTATTCACATCAAACTGCAACTTGTTACTGGATATAAAGGTGGTTGATGGTACATGCTTATAATTCCCTTATTTTTGGATTCAATCGATTGTAAATGTTAACAGCTTGAGAACACTGAAATTCCACTTTTTTTCTCCGATTAAAAAATACCCTAGTATTTATTAACAAAAACGCAGAACTAAAAAAAAAAGGACCCAACAGCCAGATCTTGCCAGCATGTATTCCAAAATTGTCTTTCTTTTCCAATTATGCAATCACTGAAACTGTAATCCTACTGACATTTAAAAAAAAAATTTAGATCACACTTTCCTCAATCCTCCAAAATCCACCACTTTGCAAGAATGCATGGGCACTTTCCTTGTACTTAAAAGGCATCAAGTCCTATGTAAAATACTAGTGCCTGGGCTTCACCTTCCTCAATCCTTCAAAATCTGGTGGATTTTGAAGGGAATTGGGAGGGTAAGGATTAAACACTCAATAACTGCATCAAAAATTATTCATAAATTTGAAGTTGGCTCTTCTCTGTACAAACTCCACTGACTCCTAACTGCAAACATGCAAACAGCAAACTGAAGACTGAAGTGAAGGACGTTCTAGCTTTCTGTCTTTTCTTCATCACCCTGAAATATGAAAAGGAAAATAACAGTTACAATTCTGCACAAAATTTCATGGCACTGCCAGCCACTAAATTCTAATGATCACCTAGTCTTGGCCAAAGACGTCGGTGAATGATAGAGATGGTTGCATTTGCTTGTACAACTGTTTTTTTTTTTTTTACTTTCTCACACTTAAGTTCTTGGGAAATCTGCAGCAATGGGGGCATGGCCATTTTATGTATATTAGACCGTTGGTGTAAATAATAATCTGCGAACAAAACGGCAGCTTCCCATTTGATACCGGTAGTCACGTACTCGTGCGGGGGTATCACTGCGTTGCATATCTAATTAGCAATGCTTGATCACCACACGTAGTGAAGTTACCATTCTTGAATTCTTCTGACCAAAGGCTGAAAGAACTTTTAGAGTTGGCTGAAAAATCATACACCTGCATTTCAATAAGACAAGACGAAAGATTAAATTCTCACCGGATAAATTGGCAGCTTTGAATGCACCACTCTTCCTGGGATAGGCTGAGATAAAAAAAAAATATTGAAAATTACTACGACAATAAGAATAAAAACACTGACTACCATTAGTCTTGTACAAGTTCTATGCATGATATTTTCTTTAGCACAAATTGACCACTGTTATTGTCAAATGGCTAAGAAACTTACATAACTGGTTTTACGCCTCACTTCAATTTTACTTTGTTGAGTAACTAACTGCATTAACCCTAGCCCCCTTGAGTGATTTGCCAGGAACCTTCCTCACTCCTGCGAATTCCAACACCACATGGTTAACTCTACACCCAAAATGTTGGACTCTGATTATTGGTGTTATGCCTGACACCATGTAAAGCATAATCAGTTTACCAGGGCAGTGCTCACTCTAACAGATTCCAACAAACCCTGGTGTTGGAGTTTGACTGGATGGGGATAGTTAGGGTTAATTAACTTTAATATGGACAAAGTTTGAAAATTATTAAATAATTCAAATATGTGTAGCTGATAACGGCCATATTGCTGAATCATTTAATCAGTTCCCCAAAAGTGTTGATGGCAAAACAGACGTAGGCTATAGCATACCAGAAAGAACAAAATTGCATACATGTACCCCTACAGAGCACTTTGGGGGAATGGCTTGGTTGTTAGGGTTTTGTAACTCATGTTCAGAGGGTCAGGGGTTTGAATCCCTGCTGCTGGCCAAGTGCTGTGTCCTTGGGCAAGCCACTTCATCCCAACTTGCCTCTCTCCACCCAGGAGTATAAATGGGTACTGGCATTAGACTGCGATGGACTGGTATTCCATCCAGGGGGAACAGATATATTCTCAGTTGTGTCATGCAACAGAAACTGCAGCTGAATGCCGGCCTGGTGAGCCATACAGAGCCATGCTTGGAACAGACTTTACTTCTTACTTTATAACTGTTTTCTGTATTTTGCCAACTTACAGCAACGTGGTACTTGACAATATAATGCACAACCCACATTGGTAGCACTATGACGGTGAAGAACCGTTTCATCGTGAAGATCCCATGAAAGAGCCTGTAACCCTGTTGAGAAGAGTGAAAATAACAAGCATGCAATTTTAAATCTAGTTTACTCTGCACTGTATCACAGAAACTATTTCATTAGGCCATTCAACATTGACAATTTTAGGTTTTCATCACCTCCTCTGCCTCGATTCTCACTCCCGCCCCGATTTCTTTTATATTTTATATTTTTTTTCTGAAAGGGTTTTTCCCTCCAAAATTAGAACTTAGGTTTAAGTTAAAATAAACAACAAACAAACAAACAAAAACATTTGGACTGAAAAACAAAACAAATGAAATTCCCTCAGAAAATATTAGGAAATTTTTACGAATCCTCATACTAATTACTATAGCCTTTGTATACAATCACATAATGATATACATGTGGAACAGATATAATGTAATATGCATTTTCGAAGTATTTTCTATTTAACAAAAAGATAGTGGATATTTTGCCGGAGGTAATGACGGCAAACTAACGATTACTAAAGGTTTGCCGGCGGCAATCCATATCAACAGAGGGCGTTGTACTCTTTAAAATAGGGCTGAATTATAAGATGTATTAAATTCCCATCAAAAGTTGTGTAGCACATTTGGTGTAATGGTTAAACAAAGGCTCTAGTAAGCGGGATGACTCGCGTTCGATTCCGACCGCACCACATTTTTAAGTTTTTTTTTTCTCATCCCCAAATAAATAAGAATATTCTTCTTTTATTATTTTAACATGTCTCAAACATTTTATTGCAGAGTATTACATTTTCTTTTTCAGATTTGTGGCTCTGGAGGATTTTTTTTAAAAGGGAAATAAAGTCCGAAATTATAAAATGGTCTGAATCCCATCTTGTGAATACAAGGTCACAACGATAATATTGGCATGGAGCCAGACTAAAATTTGTCACCGGAAAATGTGTTAAGTACAAAAAAACAGTAACTGCGCATGTTCAGTGCATATCCGGCAAACTAACGTTTACTAAAGGTTTGCCGTCTCCGGCAAAATATACACTGCCTAACAAAAATGTAAACCTGGAAATGTTTCTCTGTCCTCCTGAATCCTACTAGTAGATTCATGTCTTTTCAACTTGTTTGCAATGACTGACCTTCATTGAGATGATATATACAGAAAAAAAAGTGGCGCCAGGACGCTTAAATTGTTACTAAAAACAATCAATAAAGTGGAAATTATTTTAGTTTTTACCGTGGCTTCATTGACCGGCCAGAGCAGATTCCAAAACGGTTGCCGTATCGCCCTCCATAACCGGTTCGTTTTGTGCGGCTCCGCAATCGGCTCGTACGACTCCAAAACCTGGTCAGCTAAGAAGGTCCTCCGTCGCAGCCTCTCCTCAGTGATCCAGTTCTTCAAGACGTGGTCATTCTTGGCCCAGCCTGGGACTTCTGGCTTGGCACCGGCGGGCGGACGAAGATCGTTTCTGGACTTCGCGAGAGGTGGACAAGCCGCCATCTTGCTCGACTTGTTTCGTTGTTGCGAAGGCTATGCCGCGCGAGGGCGCTATAACCTTTTTCATCTTATCATTTTTCAGTTGCAGCCGCGGCCGCGTGCATTATTTTGGAACTTATTTTAGTTAGGCCTACATTGAATTTCTGCGAATCTTTAAAATTTGACATTTAATCATACTGACTTTGATGTTTTACCGGTTCTTACCCTTATCTTATTGTAACGTTCTGTTATTATGGCGAAGCGACACACTTGTACTTCAGGTCCTAGGAGGCGGATCAGTCTAGCTTTCAGGAATATTGCAATTGTGCTTAAAAAAGATAATCCTTTGAAAATCAAGAAAACAAATGAAATGTAAAAAAATTATAAAATTTCCTTTAACCCTAAAGGGGCTGGGGGCGGAATCCGCCCCTTAACTTTTTCTGCGATAGCTTAAAAAAAAACACCTTTTTTTCGCGATCCGAGTTCTTCTGACTTTTAAGCCTCGAGCCTTGCGCATCTTTTAGTACCAAAAACATAAAAAAATAGGACAGCGGGTTGCCGCGCAGTTAAAAGCTGAATTTTCCCATATACATGTACATGTACGTAGTGTACACAGAGCAGAATTACCACTCGTGCATATGAATAATTAATTAGCCATAATTCCAAAACCCTTTGACCTATAGTTCATGACATTTCTTGGTTATGTTTACCGAGTTTCAAAATTGTTCGTCACTCGATGGCCGAGATCTTAGGGGAGGGGGCGGAATCCCCCCCCCCCCCCCCCCCCCCCCGCTGAGAGATGATCAAAATAGCCCGGCCCTTTTAGGGTTGAAATAAATAGTTATTTGTTTTTAATTGGCGCGTGTCTAGCCTAACTGCCATGCCTATAAATTATTTCGTTACTGTGTAGTCGTACACGTCAGGGATTGGGTTTTTTTTCTTCAAAACGGTCTGTCAAATCTAGCCGAAAATCGGCTAAAACATCACCCTGTACGGTACCAATTGTACAACATTTGTACGTCTGCTCATTTTGTTAACACCAGACTCCTCCGTCAAATCAAATTGGCTAGATTGACGAGATGACGTCACATACGTACTTCTGACCAATGAGAGACAGCAGGCCATGCGAGCTACGCGTGCCACGTCACGAATACTTCTGGGAATTTTCTCCCGTCTTTAAAAAAATATAAGTCATTTTCCCTCCATTGAAGCTACTCTATCTGGAAATGAAGACTCTTCCTTCATATTTGTTTTTTTTTTAATTGAACATTTTCCACTCACGATAGAAATCATGGAGAAAATTAGCATGTGGAGAAATACACACTGAGTACTTCGACCAAGGCAGCACAAAGACCCCAGTACGGAGCAACAACCAGCGATACAAAAATAACACTTTTCACCTCCATATCATGACCCCGCGCCATGGAAAATTACCGAGAACGGGGTCAACGGACATTTGGGGTCAACGGACACTTTATAGGGCGCGGCATCATTTCTCATGTTCATTCAACGAGAACGGGGTTTCGAATACGCCCTGCCTGGGACTGGGCCATGGGAGACAGCTCACAATGTCTTCCCACTATTTTTGGTTAGTCACCAAAAATTTACCTCAAATTCACAGCAAACCTTGAGACTTTAACCTCCTAGTCTGCCGTCCAGCTTCAAGCCCCCAACGTGGAAACTTGTACATCATACCCTGGAGTCGTCACTGTCGTCATGGGCGGGAGAAAAGCTTCAAATTTTGACGCTTGGAGTATTGCAATTCAACCAGAAAACCGGCCTCATGTACGCGGGGTCACTAGCTGCAGCATTTCGACGCAGACATGTTGCGTCGTCGTCACCCGTCTTGTATGAAAAACTGACTTGAACTTTGCTGTAGGCCTACAGAACTTTTGTTTTACAGAACTGAACTGGACTTCGCAACTGCATTCCTTTGAATTCCTATTTTGTGCTGAACTGAACTGAATGGACACATGGAATTTTTGTGAACTTATAATTTTGTCGAATGATCTGAATAACGTTTTTGGAAAATACTGAAGTCAAGCTTTTGGAGTTCGTCGGGGTAAGTCCAACTTTAAATATGGAAATATCGAGGTGAGTGAAAATTGATCTTCTCCTCCGGTCACACAGAACCAAAAGAGGAAAAAGCATCTCAATATTCTGCATTTTGAGCAATATGGCACCTAATATTTTTGCCTGCATTTTAAACCTCATTATTTTGTACTTCGAAGTAAAGTGGAGCATTAAAATTCCTCTCTTTGACTTTGGTCCTTAAATCGCATTTATTGAATTTTGCATTTTGTGAACATGGGGTTGTATTTTGCATTGTTGAATATTGTGCGAACAAATTCTGCAATTCTTCGCTTTAACTCGGTACCTCATTTTTAATATATCGAGATATTAGAATACGTACGATACACGGTACATGTGTGTTTGTTGCCAACAAAATGGCGTCCTTTTGAGTCTCCTTTACATTGAGTTTGTCTTTTGCATTGCTGAAATTTTACGTTGAAATACCATTCCTGTAGGCGAAAGCCCTTTTGATTTAGAGTAATTTGCATGTGAATACCTGCCAATTTATACACGCACATGTCTTTTGGTGCATTGCGCATTTCACGCATTGCTTCAAAAGCGAAGTCGAGAGCGAGCACGTGAGCCGCTCGTGGCCGGCGCAGCGTGGGCGTGTTCATACATTCCGATGATTCTTATTGGTCGAAAGTTGAAAAGCCGCGCGCACAATACGCGGCCAGGTGCACCGTCTTTGCTACACTTTCAAAGCCATTCCAGCAAGGCAGGGGCTTTTAGGGATTTACTCAAAAGTTCGAGCAAACATGTTTGGAATTTTGTTAAGAGTGGAGGGTTCCTTGGAATTCGGTTTGCCTTTTGTTATAATTGTATAAGTTTTATTGGTTTAAAACTTACCAGAACAAAGAGTTTCAAGCTTTTATTTAATTATTTTAAAGATGAAATGAAAAGCCTGAACACCATGAATTCGAGGAGTTAACGACGGAGCCAACATATTTCATCATAACTTCAAATTATTTAATGCAAGCACACTATTTAGAGTATTATAGGGCGGCATTCCAATGGACCAAAATCAAATTTATGGACAATGTATCTACGGATCTCAAATGTGTATAAATTGCTCAAAATAATGCAACTTTACACCATTATCTTTAGGGTAACTTGTATAAGTTCAAGAGAACAGCCGAAGAAAAAATATTGAGAGCTGAATTATTTTGATTATGATTGTATAAATTTAGATTTTAAAAGACAGCCGACGGAATTATTTGAAGCTCATACGAATTGGAGAAGACCTGCTGTTGAGATCGAGATCAGCGAAAATCGACGTTTGGAAGAAGGCAAATAAGGCAAATTTATGATTGTATAAATGAACGATTACGATTCAGGTTAAGGCGTAAGGTGGGGTGGGTGGGGGTATAGGCACATGGCGCGCGTAGGCAGCCGAGCACACCAGCAGCAGCGTAAAGGAGCTCGACCTGGCCATGGTGTAAAAATAACTTATAAAAATCTGTTAACAAAATAATTACAAAGATACAAAATTACCTTTTCGAGGCACAGTAAAAATCTCGGGCAAATCGTAACTTGATTTTTTAAAATAATTGACGATATAGTCAATTTAAAATCTGTATCGAGGTAGTGCATTCTAGTTGAAAAAACAACAACAATGAAATTAATGTCAGAACATTTATTTTTAATATCTTGTTGATTTTTAAATAAGTAGACACACGTTACTGAGCTCTAAGGTTAGATGGGTTGATGAGCGTCCGTCATTTATAAAATAGGACATCTTTTGGGTGGTTTTCGCGATGTTATAATTGTAGGTATTATCGTCTTCCCGAGAAAGTGTTCACGGGTTGGTGATATCTTATAGGTGAGATGCCGTCTTCCCGAGAACAAATATTTCCCGGGTTGATGATATCTTGTAAATAAGACATCGTCTTCCTGAGATAATGTGTCATCACGGGTTGGTGATATCTTGCTTGTATAGGGTGAGATGTTGTCTTCTCGAGAACAAATTTCTCTGGTCGATGATATCTTGTAGGTGAAATATCCTCTTCCCAAGAAAGAAAACATTTCTCGAGTTGAAGATATCGTTTTGGTCAGATGTCATCTTCTCGAGAAAAAGTATGTCTCGGGTGGATGATGTCTTGTAGGTTAGATGTCGTCTTTCCGAGATAATATTTCATCTCGGATTGGTGATATCTTTTAGGTGAGATGTTGTCTTCTCAAGGAAAAAAAATATTTCTCGGGTTGACTATATCTTTTGGGTGAGATGTTATCTTCTCGAGAAAGTAAAGTATTTCTCGGGTCGATGATATCTTGTAGGATATCGTCATCCAGAGATGATTATTCACTGGTTAATGATATCTTGATATTTATATTTCCTGATACCAAATCAGTTAATTATTTCATTACAAACGGATCATAGATGTCTACCTTCCGTGATAAAAAAAAACTAATTGATTTTATCAACTCATACCTACTACGGAGCTCTTTAAAATATAATTATTACAAAAAAAATAAAAAAATAAGTATCTTATACTGAATTAAAATCTGAAAACAGTTTTTCTAATAACACATAAAAAATGGAAAACAATATGAAAACGTATATCAGTATCAAAAGTTTTAAATCTTAAGTTCAGAAAAAGTCAATTTTTAACGAAAAAGATTAAGACAAAGCTATGTAGTCAAATAAAATATAAAAATGAAAGTGTATCAAGAGCAGGTGGTAATAAAATAATAATAATAATAATAATAATAAATAAAGTTTAGGGAGCTTTAGCGTACCGCAAACAGCGAGGCAGTAGCAGCTTGCAAGACAATTAGGAACTTTGGGAATCGGGGAGGGAAGGAAAGTTATTAATTTTTACCAACGTTATCCTGACAATGACATTGGCATTAATAACGCCAGTTGAAGTATGAAAAAGTTAAGTTTCACCGTTTTGGATTTATTTGAATAATACAAACAGAAGAATCAGCGATGAAGACGAACCTTCGAATATGCTATCATATATCAACAGAAATAGATGTCAAATCAATGGCATTGCCTTGAGCTTTGCCGCATCACAACCATACTAAGTTTGCTGATTATTTTTGTATAAAGACAAAGGAATTACCTTGAAGAATTAATGGTGTAAAGATGTTCATTATGTATTCCTTTAAAACTTTTGCGAAATAATCCTGTAAAGTGTCATGTTGGATAATGTCCATTGGAATGCCGTTAAAGTATATGATTGAGAAAGACAACACTCTTGATGAGTGCTACATTTGAGGAGGACGACACCCTTGATGGGTGATTAATACGACACCCTTGATGGGTGCTATATGATTAACACGACACTTGATGAGTGCTACTATTAAAAATAACCTGACCCTTGATGAGTGCTACTATTGAGAAATACGACACACTTAATGCTACTATTGAGAAGGACGACACCCTTGATGGGTGCTATACAACTGTATTGATTAACACGACCCCCCCTTGATGGGTGCTACTATTGATTAACACGACCCCTTGATGGGTGCTAGTACTATTGAAGATAACCTCACCCTTGATGGGTGCTACTATTGAGGAGGACGACACCCTTGATGGGTGCTACTATGGAGAAGAACGACACCCTTGATGGGTGCTACTATTGAGAAAAACCACACCCTTGATGGGTGCTACTGTTACTACTTTATTGATTAACACGACACCCTTGATGCTATAAATTATTATATGCTGCTATTGAGAAAGACAACGCCCTTGATGGGTGATAATATCAAGAAAGACCTCACCCTTGATGGGTGCTTCTATTGAGAAAGACGACGACACTCTTGATGGGTGCTACTAGTACTATTGAGAAACACGACACCCTTGATGGGTGCTACATCGCCAACACATTTATTCAATAATGTATACAGTTGTAAAACCAGCAAGAGATTATGTTTTGTAAAGAAGACAAAGATAGTTAATGATAATAATTATATTTTTCCAAGGAACCTCTCCGCACGATTCTTAATTAAGACACAATCTTACCAAGCACCAGATGGGAAAGGAATGAAAATCCCGCCGCTTGGATACGCAAAATAAATTGCAGATAATTTGTTTCTAAATGCCAACGTTTTGGGGTGTCAGTAATGTACGATTCTGAAAATAATTGTATATTCGAAATGAACACTAGCGCGCTCTCGGTTCGATTGAAAATGAATTTCAAAAAGAAAAATTAAAATGCAAAAATTCTCAAACGGAACCTTGAAATCGAAAAGAAAAAAAAACTGATTCAGTGTCAATCGTTTTGTTCGATAAGATGATGGATATCGATCTGCGGGTATATGTTGGCAAATGTATCGTTCGTTAACGATTACGAGTTCGTGTTAAGTTCGAGTGCGAACTAACCTAGTATCAAGCATTAAATTTTGTCAATCATTTGTCCCATATGATTGTGTATAGGAAGAAATTAAGATATGGACCTGCGGGCGGTATATATTAAAACAAAACAACATATGTATCGTTCGTTCAGGATTACGAGTTCGTGTTGAGTTTGAGCGCTAACAAAGTTAATGTCAATCATTAATTTTTGTCAATTATTTGTCAATCTTTCGTCCGATTTGTATAAAGGAGAAAAAGACGGTATATATCAACCTACAGGTATGGATTAAAACAGCACATGTATCGTTCGTTCACGAGAACGAGTTCGTGTTGAGTTCGAGTGCGAACAAAGTTAGTGTCAATCATTAAATTTCGTCGACCATTTGTCTGATATGTGTATAGGACGAAAATAAGACATGGACCTGCGGGCGGTATGGATTTAAACAATGTATCGTTCGTTCACGATTACGAGTTCGTGTTGAGTTTGATGAGCGCTAAGAAAGTTAATGTCAATCATTACATTTTGTCAATTATTTGTCAATCTTTTGTCCGATTTGTATAGAGGAGAAAAAAAGACGGTGTATATCAACCTACAGGTATGGATTAAAACGGCACATGTATCGTTCGTTCACGATTACGAGTTCGTATTGAGTTCGAGTGCGAACAAAGTTAGTGTCAATCATTAATGTTATCAATCATTTGTCAATATTTTGTCGATTTATAGGAAGAAAATAAAACGATGGATATCGACCTGCGGGTATGGATTGAAATAACAAATGTATCGTTCGTTAACGTTCGCTTATTAGTACGAGTTCGCGTTTGAGTTCGAGTGCGAAAAAAATCCGTGTTCGAGCTCGAGTGCTAACAAAGTCAAACGGGTACAAGTAACGTTAACAAACGAAAAATGTGTACGAGTACTTAAATAAATGCGGAAGAATTTTGATGCGAAATTAATATGATTGGGCCATGTGTAGTAATATTTTAAATTGATATCCGTTCGATTAAAAATGACTTTCAAGAAGATGACATATATAAATTAAAAGGTATTATCGTCGATGGTAGTAATTAAATGAGTACATAAATGTACTCAAAACTGCTAAACCACGTAGCACCTGCTATCTAGGAAGGATTTTTATGTGGGGCCATGTGTAGTAAATCGTTCTGCTTCTCTTCCATTTTGCAACATCTGCACTTTTTTGTTTAATCTTGCACAATAATGTCCCCCGTGCTTGACATTTAAGGACTGATTGTGAGATGTATAGGGTCATGTTTGTACGTATAATTTTTCCGTTTGTAACAATTCGTGTTAAAAGTTTAGGGCCATGTGTAGGCCTACGAATCAAACTTTTTAAATGTTCTACATTGATTCTCATTGTGAAAAAAATCCTAGGGCCATGTGTACAAAACTTTCATCGCCGTTTTGTAGAGATTTCTGCCAAACCCAATTTTTGTTGCGTTATCTTCTGTATGACAGATTATGTACATGATTCCAGGGCCATTATAGGGACATGTGTTAAGTATCAATAGCTATTTTCAAGCTTAAAAACTCTAATGTTGGATCTAAGTTTTCTTGTATACTCTATGTATTCAGTTCTTCACCTGTTGTAACTTCACCATGGTTCATGGAGTGAAATACTCTGTAGGGCCATGTTTAAAAATCTACTTCATTTTGTCTGTTTGACAAACTTTTTTTTTGAGATCTATTGTTTGACAAACATGCTCTACATGTATAGGGCCATGTGCAGCTCTTACACATTCCGTTAAAAACATGTAACGGTCGTGAAACGTAATTAGAATGATGGTTTCAACGATTCCACGATTATTTTGCGACATGAAATAGTCTCTGATCCTTGTCGAAATGTGTCTTATGACATATATTATTGTTTGTGATTTGTTCTTCCGTAATATACGATTCACCATGTTCGATAATTGCCTTTTGTGCTATAGGGCCATTGTGTCAATTTTGTTTATTGTAAATCAGGTGTAATGACACCTGTTACGTCGGATACACCATGTAATCGCTCTGTCAAGTGTATTGCCTGATTTTACAGGGTGAAATAATAAGCATCAATTAATTTTTTAAACAACCACAACACCAGTGGAGGTTTTGATCGATGGTACTCTCGATTCTGATATGTCCGATCACATCTGGTCGACAATGTGAATGTTGTTTCCCTTCTGGAATTATCATATTTGCGACCAGTACGCCAGATTATGTATTTAGAATAAAGATATCTTTTTTTTCTCAACGGTTGTATCCATTATAGTGCTCTACATGTATAGGGTCATGTGCAGATCATACAGATTCTATGAAACATGTAACGGTCGCGAAACGCAATCAGAATGATGGTTTCAACGATTCCACGATTATTTTGCGACATGAAATAGTCTCTGATCCTTGTCGAAATGTGTCTTATGGACATATCTAATTGTTTGTGATTTGTTCTTCCATAATATCTGATTCACCATGTTAGATAATTGCCTTTCGTGCTAGGGCCATTGTGTAAATTTGGTTTATTGTAAATCAGGCGTATTGACACCTGTTACTGTCGGATACACCATGTAAATCGCCCTGTAAAGCGTATAGCTTGAATTTACAGGGTGAAATAATGTGCATCAATTGATTTTTTTAACAACCACAACACCAGTTGCAGTGGAGGTTTTGATCGATGGTACTTTTAATGCTGATAAGTCCGACCACAGCTGGTCGGCAATGTGAATGCTGTTTCCCTTTGAACCGATGCGCGTTGCTTTGTCCGTACTGGAAGTTTCATCTTCGCGATCAGTAGGCCAAATGATCTATTTAGAGTAAACTAAGCTTACTTTAATTTCTCAACGGTTGAATCCATTACAGTGGTCAGGTAAGGGCCACTAATTGGATTATCTTCACCGTGCGTATGTAAGATACTTTTCACCCAGTTATAGGCCTAAAGTAAATTTTCCTTATATGATTGTATCAAGTTTATAGTGGTCAGGTAAGGACCATTAATATACGTTTTCTTTCTCTTTATACCACAGCACCGGTCACAAATTTGATTGGGAAACCACTGTCATTGTAGTAACCTACACTAGCTCCGCTAGGAAGACTTCTTTTTTTATTTTCAGCAACTTGCAATTAGATTAGGAGGACCGGTAAGCCGAGTCGAGTGCTCATGTCAGGAGCTGATGACACGGAGGAACCGGAAGCAGGGAGGAGGAACGTCGGATGCAGGATGACCCTGCTTGCCGGGCATCCCATTACTGATTTCCCAGGTAAAAATATTAATGTTTTTTTCCTTTTCGAAAAATGTCTTAGGATGTTTCGAGTTGTTCTTCTTGTTGTGTCTGCGATTAATGATACCTTCTTTATTTACAATACGATACATCTAGGGGAAAATAAATTTAATGTAAAATCGTAATCACTTTACAGCTTCAGAAGTCCACAAATAAAAAAAGAAGAGCAACATGCGCATTATTGTCCCACACACATTTTCTTACATGTGTTCCTTTGAATCTTCTGGTAGAGATGACGGTCTGCAAGATGAGATGTCACTCTGGACGAAGAAGGAACCGGAAGCAGGGAGGAGGACCGACGGAAGGACTAAAGACCCTGCTTGCAGAGCAATTCTTCACCAATTCATAAGGTAATTTATAAATTAATTAATTTATTTGGTATATATATAGCAAATTTTTGTAAGACATTTTTTGTGAACAAAAATGTAATAATATCAAATGTATTTCTTTTAGCTTTGCAGATTCCTCTTGCTTCGTTTGAGCAGCAGAGACGAAGAACATAACGGAGTGCAGTTGTTCACAGGGCAGGAAAAAGAATTTTTTAACACTCGACTGAGTTTTACAATAGCCAGCTTCTGAAAGTTCCCATAAGTTTCTCTTAAAAAGTCGTCACATTGGACTAATCCGAGGGATGTATACACAACACCATCCCATTTCAAAATCCCTCCGAAATTCTGGTGGATCAATATAAAAAGCTGCAAATGTCAGTTATTTAACAATTGGTTTAAGTCGTACCTAAGTATATAGCACTAGCGCATAGCAAGCTAAACATTGTGCCGGACATACGGCGGGCGCGCCTTCAATCTGCGTGTCCGTCATGCCTCCGGAAACAACCGAGACTCTTTCGGACAAACTCGGCCGCACTCGGATTTCGTTGCGCGTAAACTAGTAAAGGGTTTCGTTTCCCCTTCTCCTATTACCCTTCCCCCTTTTTTTGTTTAGTTTGTCTTAGTTTTTAGTTGATTGTGTTTCAGTCAAATAAAATAAAACGAGTACGAGTGTGCTGTTTTTATATATGTACATGTTTAAAATGTATAAAAAAGAAAACGATGTCAATGTGTTGTCCCCTTTTCTAAACACAGACTCCAAAACTGTGTTCGGTAAAGGGTTTGTTTTTCCACTTTTTTTGGCAGTTTATAAAATAGCAAAACGGTAAAGGGTTTGCTTTTCTTTTTTTCTTTTGTAAAAATTCAAAAACTCTAATTGGTGAGGGATTTGTATTTTCTTTTTTTGGGTTTTTTTTACAGATTTAAGAACACAAAATGGAAAAGGGTTTTCTTTTCTTTTAAAAAATTCCAAAGCGATAACTGGTAAAGGATTTTTGTGCCTTTTTTGCTTTTACAAATTTAAAAACGGCACTTGGTAAGGGGTTTGCTTTTTCATTTTCTTTTCAAAAAATCAAAACAAAAATTGGTCAAGGCATTGCTATTTCTTTTTTCTATTAAAAAAAATTGCGCGTAAAGGATTTGCTCTTTTTCTTTTTTTTCTGTTTACAGATTTTAAACTCAAGAGAGTCCATTTGAAACAAATCCTTCGATTAAAAGTAGTTGATATATTAAGATTAAAATAATAGGAAAGATGACTGTCAGTAAAACTTGGACAGGACAGGAAAATACGGAAATTAATCAAACATTGTTGATAAAATGGCAGTAAACTCGATTGATGTACAACGCCTGGGTGAGGTATATCCTGATGACGCTGTAGACCTGTTTGTTCACACACAAGCTAAAGTAGCCATCATTAATAATTTGTTGATAGTTTACTCTGGCTAACAAGCATGTAAAACCTACGTGGGTGGTTACTCTTTTTTTTTTTTAACTCAGCCGCATTTGTCAGGCCCTCGACTATTAAATAGGGCAATTTTGCAGAACGAATCTTGTCATTTATAAAATAAAAAGAAAATAGATATAGAGCCGTTAATATTAACGTGTGTGAAAACGCCAGCTGGCAAGCAGCGAGAACATGTGTACTTGTTATTTATTTTAGACAAACTGGCGTTTCAATGCGTATACATGCACGCAGTGTATTTGGAATTAGTGCTACAGATCGGCAGTGATGAGCTTTGAATGATGATATCCTGAGTGGCCTCGCTAAAGGCAACGGGTGGGTATGGGATGGGGTTAGTGGGTGTGGGATGGGGGTGGATGTGGGATAGGGGTGGGTGGGGTAGGGGGAGATCAAAGGAGAGACAGTAACAAGGCCCGGATTATTGCGGGAGGCCCTGTCTGCTCGCAAGATGGAACTGTTCGTACGCAAAATTAAAAACATCCCGTTTTTAAGGCATATTTAGATGGTGACACACATCAAAAACAGAAAAAAAAGACTCTTGTTTTCGTGAAATTGCAAGAGTACAGATGGAAAATTGTCGGGAGAAAACAAAATGCCAAAAAGCACGGCATTCCATGTTCAATTTGTTGCAGGAGCGCAGCCCTTCCCCGCCCCTTTACCGACCAATCAGTGGCGTAAATCTGCGGGTGCTCTTCAGGATAGTATATCAACAGCACATTTTAAAAGTTTTTGTACTTTGTACTTTCTCCACTTTTCAGTGCTATTGAATACATTTTGGTTGTTGGGATGTTCGAAAAATACCTCGAAATCCGCATTTTTTGCTTCGGGTTTTCAAACAAAGGTATTCATAAATAAATCAATTTAAATAAATTTTTCAATACTTGACTAATGTATTGAACCAGAGTTACGTTTAGCCTATAAAATGACGACTATCAAGACATTTAATCACAATTATCAGTGACCTAATTTTAGAAACTGTCGCAAGGAAACCATTTCTCCAAAAGGTTTTTTTTTTAATTCCAGAAATATTTTTAACGTGAGATGCATGCACGTTTCCAATGTTTTTCTTGTGAAAAGGTTCCAATGACTTCATTAACGCAATGGCATATCTTTAAAAAAAAATGGTTTCTTCACTGAAATTGACTCTGGGCGACAAAGATAATATCTTGACATACACTCAACCAAAAAAGAAAGTCCCCCTTCAGATACTTTTTTGTCTAACTCAAAACTACTGAGCACCTCTTGCTCAAATAACGACTGATCAGTACAGAAATTCCTTAGCAATCAGCTATACTCTTTATTTGGCCCAAAACAGTGATAATGTGTACGAATTTATGACAAATGATACCGAAAACAGTGGCACTTTTGTATACGTGCAAGTTGTGGTTCACGCTCACTCTGCACGTATACAAAAGTGCAACTTTTTTCGGTACCATTTGTCATAAATTGCATAATTGTGTACACATTATCACTGTTTTGGGTCAAACAAAGAGTATGGCTGGATTGCTAAGGAATTTCTGTACTGATCAGTTGTAATTTGAGCAAGATGTGCCCAGTAGTTTTGAGTTAGACAAAAAAAGTATTAAGGGGGGACTTTCTTTTTTTTGGTTGAGTGTATTATATTTGATCTCCGAATCAAGAGCCGCATGTTTCTAAATGTCTGGGCCTATTGGGGTCTTAAATGGGAGGTTACCAATTGTGATACAGTTCGACACCGTCATTTTCAAAGTGTAGGGCCTACTGGGACTATGAATTCGTATCAACTATGAATAACTAGAAATCCCCGCCATGTTGAATTTTGCAAGTTTCAGTAAATAGTCGTCTGCTCCATAAAATCCCCTACATTCATAATTTCGCCGATATAGAGATTTCCAGCCAGAACGTGACAACAAATAACGCTGTGACATTTTTCAATAATTAAGCACAGTTGTAATAGAGTAATTATCAATATTAGATAGCCCATAGTAAGAAAATTGAATTTTAATAATTAAATTTCGAACCGCTAGTTTTCCCTTTCAGTTTGCAGAGAAACGAATTAAGCAAACGGCTATGCGTTTTTAATCTTTTTTTCTCCAATCAATTCATGTGTGACAAAATATAATACAAAGAATCACCATAAATGATACCTTCATGCTAACCCTCATGCACAAGGGCAGATCGGGGGGGGGGGGGCAACGGGGGCCACCCCCACCCCCCAACGAACTCAATTTCTTTTTTTTAAGTGACGTCGCAATAAAGGCATGCACTGCCTATACACCACCATCTTTTCCTAAAAAAAATGGACAAAGTAGTCAGAAATTGCCTCAGATCGCATCGCAGAGCATCTAGAATCCATTTTTTTACCGGGCCTTAGCGGGCCCCGAACCCCACGCCGTAATTTTTTGGACCCACTTTTGGGGTGACCAAATTGGGTTTTTTTTTGGCCCCCAACCATTGTGTTCTGGATTCGCCCTTGCTCATGCAGAGATGCACTCTGCGTGTGAAACAGTTACTGCTTTCAACAGTCGTCGGGCCACCTTCAATGCTTTGCTGTCATCCACGTCCTCCCGCCTGGTAGTGCACGGATGATCTCTCCCGTTTGCATGGCAACGTGATTCGGCTTGTGACACATTCTCCATGGCGATGAAAAACAGTCTGCGTGCGATATGACGTCACTCCCATCATCCACTCTTGTATAGATTGCTTCGTCCTCCGATCGCAAGAACGCAGACTTTCCCTTGATTAATTGACACTATTTTTCTCCCATGATATTGCCATTTTGGCGCCAAGGCTGGTAAAGACTTTTACTTGCCAGTGCATGGTTGGCATTTTTTGCCAACCACGGTTTGTTAATCTATGGAAGGTCAATGTTGCAAAAATAAAGAATAGTTATCAATGTTTTCAAACGATGCCAAAGACTTAATAAAATGCCTCTTTCTTACACACAATGAGGGTGTTAAAGGCATTTAAAATCATTTGCTTTTCATACGTTTTGTTCGATTCCAATAATTACACCACTCAAAATCCATAGACGAATGTTCAAAGCCTATTGAAGTTTCAGCTCATACACTTTTCAAGAAAACAGTGCACAACGTGCATGCACAATCTTTTGATCACAAAACATCTTCAATTCCACTCTATATTTCCCAAAATCAGTCAACTGACTGATTGTTGGAAATCACCGACATGTCTCGATTTCTTCTAAATGACAGCAAGCCAGACAGAATAATTTCGCGGAGTTGTAAGCTTTTGTTTTTTATAATAATTCGGTATAAATGTAAATGATCCTATATGCCTTTAATATGCATTGTGGCAAAACCTGTTGCCAACCACAGTTTAACTTAGGCTCTCCTTGGAGCCCATACAAAATGGCGCCCTAGTTGCAGTGTTTACAAACGAGAATAAGGTTTTACACACCCTTGTCACCACAAGCAAAGATGGATACAACTACAAAGAGTCGTCCCTTAATTTGTCCACTTTATCAACGAAAGAAAACAGACAAAACAAACCCCAAAAACATAAAACACAATTTTAAAAACCCCATTTCCACAACAAATTTTAATTGGTGTGATTATTATTTTCCCCCTTTTAACCGCCTTATGCTTCCCAGTACAGCTTGCCACAAAATTCACGTCATGATTTTGGTCAAAGTGATTGGACATATACACTGTTATTTCGGTTGTGGACTATATGAACCTAGCAACCAGTTGTGTAAACAAATTGAACAAGTTGTGTAATATTTTACACAAGTTGTGTAAACAACAGTTTACACAACAGGTTGCATGATTTTTACACAACCGAAATAACAGTGTACGCGCACGGTCGCGCGAGCAACCACCCTTGACCAATCACGTCGAGAGTCGTCCCTCCAATCAATACGTCAGAATTACCAGCCATCCATACAGACTGGACTTAATGGGGAAAACACGAAATTGTATTATTTGCTCTCTTGTGAGAGCGTGGCTCTAAAAATACTTGTAAAATTGGGGGACAATTTCGAAAAATCCTCCGATTTGAAGAATTGCTCGAAAATAGCACCTAGAAAATAAGGACAACCTGAACAATGAAGATATTTCAAGCATTAAAAGCAAAATGTACATATCCGCACCTGTGTGGTATTTATATTCGACCACCCTTTCCATTTCTCACTAAAGATGAACCACTTGATTACTCGTTTTTAAAACGTCATTACAGTGAGATTATCTAAGTATTTT